ACAGGAAAGGTTAATAGTAGTCTACAATTCCAACCAAGTTCTAGACACTAGCAGAAGAGATGTCACAAGGCATGATACAATTGCCAGAGTAATTGTACAGCTAGCCTTCGCTATGAAGGACACCGAGCAGGGAAAGCTGGATGGCAGGGGGACTCAGCAGAGATCAATACACTGGGAGCACAGTGGAGTATGAGTCCCACTGCCGCCCCTGACACACCGTGGGACTCTGAAAGTTTCCTTTGCTTCTCTCCAGCAGCCCCATCTACCATGTAAGGGCTTGAAGAGGGAGGTTGTTGAGATCCCAGCCAGCTATCATGCTCCTAGGTGCTGAGGGCTACACAGGCAGGCGGGTGCAAGGCCAGAAGTGAACTGAGAGCCTCACCCATGGATGTGCCAGGAATAGAACCAGGCAGCTCCACCAGGAAATGCATGCCTCCACTGGCCCCTTCAGCGCTGACCCCCAGGGCTGCCGCCCGGTGGTTCACGTGACCCATTGGGCAGTCTCACTGCACATCTGATTGGGAATTTCCTGCCAGCCAAGCCTGGAACACACCCAGATGTCCCATGTAAGTCCTCACAGTAGCCCCATAGGACGGACAGGGCTGACCTCACCAACCCCATGTTCCAGATGAGGAAACTGACACAGATGAGGGACACAACCAAGGTTCCCCTTGGGGTAGAGACAGAGCCAGAGCTAGACGCAGGTTTCCCGCACATCAGGAGGTTGGCACAGGAGAGAAACAGGGTGCTTCTCTGAGCAGTCTCTCTTTCCCTCCACCCACCCACCCCCACGTAGGTACAAACAGCCAACAAGCCGTACACCAGCTGGGCTGAACGGGCAGGATCCAGCAGGCAGCCACTTTGATTTGCTCCTAATTCTTTATTTTAAAAAGATTCACAACTCAATTACATCAGGTAACAATGGCTCACAGTCAATAATACAAAACACAAACCCAATAAACATCCATTCTGACCAGGAGACATGGATTTAGACAAGGAAAAACAAAACAAAAAAATTACAGCGTCAACTCGTTGAGAGCAGTATCTTGTAATTTCCAGTGAATTGGAATCACTATGAGTCATTTTCCCCACTTGAGTGGCAGGTATATTAATTTCTTGTCATTTGTCAAGCATCAAAAATAAATTGTTTGCAAGGCCTGCGGAGAGAGCTTCAGAGAGTGTCTGCTTATTATTCCCGCGTGAGTTTGTGTGGTAGGAGGCTCCAGGTGCAGGGTCTTCCGGAACCCTGAGGCTGGCTGGGGTGGAATGCAATGGGCAGAGCCCGCTGGTCGGCCTGCTGCTCTGCTCTCTGCATTCTCTCGCCCCGGTACCTCCCAGAAGCCATTCCTGGGAAAGGAGTGGACAGGTCCACCTGCAGGAGTGCCTCCTAGCCGCAGCTGCCCATTGTCACTTACTGGCTGCCCTGCAGACTCTGAATTAGGTCCCTAGTAGCATTACCTCACTTACCTCTCGTCACTGCCTTTCCAGGCAGGTATTCTTAAGGTCACCTAGTATACAGGGAAACTGAGTCTCAGAGAGGGTAAATAACCTACCCAGGTTCACACAGCAAGTGAGGAAGACTGCAGGGCCACGCCCCGGGGAGGTAAGCAAGGCATTTCAGGCCCAAAATGTCAGGAGGTACTGGCTCCTGGGTCACCACACGCATGATCAGCACCTGGAGCCAGGAGGCTCACGGGCCTCATCTTGCCGAGCAGATCACCCTTGTAGTAAAATCTAGAAGCTTCCAAAGGAGTGAAGCGGTAATGGTGCGATTTCAGGCCTCGGGGGCTGATGAGAGAGCTTCGCTTCCCCAGGAGCCCAGTAATTAGGCCAGGCAGGCAGCTGCCTCCTCCCCAGCACTGGAAGTGGCCTCCAGTCCAGAGGAGACATGTGAGCCAAGGCCACCACCCAGGAAAGAACACCGAAGGCCCTGTCACAGGTTGCTGAGCTGTACAGAGAGCGGACCCCAGCACCCCCTCTTTGCTTTGCACCAGGTTACTGCCTTTCCCAACACACTGTTTATCCCCCCACGTGGGGCAGGGTCCTTGTCCTCCTTTTCTTCCTTGGTTGTGGAAGTTGAGACTCTGAGAGGTTGACCCAGTTGCCTGGGGTCCCAGAGCCAGCAGAGCAGGACTAGAACTGGCACTCCAAGCTCAGAGCTCTTTCTAGCCCATCTCACTGCCTAGAAATGTGTCAAAGCAGAGAGGGAGCTGGCGTCCAGATTTGGTTGGGGGCTGGGAAAAAAATAAGAAAGAAGACTTAGGGAAGGAAAAGTCAGGAACAAATAACTTCGAAAATATAATAATTTGGCTAAATTTAAACATGTGAAAGAGTTCAAAATGACTCCTAATGAATGCAGATTTATGCAAATTACTACATAAATGATGCAGAAAGGAATGAGCAGGATAAAGCTTACCTCTCAGCCATAGGCAGGAGGGGCAGGAAAGGCGAAAGTTTTCTGAGCAAACCACACCTTCAGGTTTAAATGACATTTTTTGTGCAGCCTGACCAAGCCCCAGAAACCTGGAGGTGCAAGCAGGCAGGACAGGGTGGAAGCGCATGCATATTTCTGTCCCAAGACTGTCCCGCTACTGCCACTGTCCCCTGCTCAAGTTTCTCTTTTCCAAGCTAAAGAATTCTGTTTCCTCTTTCCTTGCACTATAAGTTTTCCTTTTCTTCATTTATCACCTTGTCCATTTCTAATGGATCGGGAGCATGTGTTTGACCGAGGCTCTGGGGGAATCAGGATGAGGCAGGTTTTTGTGCATGTGTATAAGCCTCCAGGTGTAGACAGGACAGGAAGTATGTGGATTTGGACCAGGCTCTGCCACGGGCTAACTGTGTGGCCTCAGATGAGGCACTTAATCTCTCTGACCCTCAGTTTCTTCATCTGTCAAATGAGAGTGTACCGTCCACTGTGTGTACATATTTGTGGGGGATTCTACGTGAGTGTCTGATGTGTGCACAGGGGATGTTCCGTGATTGGCCCCTGCTTCCCTCCCTAAACCTACAACCATGTCTTCCCACTCCCTCTGCTCACTACAGCCAGAAATACCAGAGGCTCCAGGCCTCCTTACTTCGGTCGCTCGAGCCCTGACTCCTACTGCCCACTCCTTTCTGTTTGTCTGAGTCCCACACATCTGATAACCCTACTGCGAGGCCAACCTCAGCCCCCACCCCTACCCCAACCCCACATCTGAGACCCCCAGCACCTGTCACCACACTCCAGCCCTCTTCTGGCCCTTAGCATCTGATGGTGATCCATACTTTTCACAGAAATTTGCAGTCCTCGGGCTTTCATACCAGTATCTCTTTCTGGTATTGAACCACCATGTGAGTTTAGAAAAGAGGACCGAGGAGATACTTCTCTTGTTAAGGAAAAAGCTGGGCCCCTGGGAGGACTCAGTGGTAGGAATAGGAGCCCCAGGGACTCCTCCCCTTTGCCTTCTTAATATAGCCACCCTTGTGGTAAGATTTCTCTTTGCATAACTATGACCATTTGCCCAGATTCTTGCTAAGCCCTTTGAGGGCCTGGATCCTGTCTCAGCTCTCCTCTTGCTCACACTTGCTCAATAAGCTCTCCCTGGGGCCTGAGCACCCACCAGGACCCTGGGTGCAGGATTCTACCGTTGCATCCCCCGGTGCACTTGGGACCTTGCCTGCATATATTAGCAAGCAGCCAGTCTGCAGGCTTGGCTCTGCAAAAGGACCTGCATTCTGCCTTGGGGAAGCCCCCAGCACCCCCTCACCTGCTCAGAGTGTGGGCCATTTGCTAGAATGTGGGAGGACGAGCTAGCGTGTGTGCAGATGGGCAAAACTGTCTTCTGTGTCTCTTCCTCCTTTCTCATACGGGGATCTGAATACACAGGGACATGAACGTCCTCCCGAGTCCCTCTCCCTGGCAGCTGGTCTCTGGGGAGGCATTTGTTAGCATTTGCTGGCTGGTATGCTAGCTGTCTTCAAGACATGCTGCTCTTCTGTCATGGTTCACAAATTGAATTCTGTCCGCCATCCCCCCATCCATGCTTGACTTCATCTCAACAATCTAAGAAGCAGCAGATAATATTCCCACATCCCCATGCACTGTTTTTATTTTCATCATAATTGGTTGTTTGCTGTCTGCTCACAGATTGCTCTAGAAGGAGTTACTGGTGGGAAGGGAGTAAACAGTCTGGGCTTGTAAACATGTTCTCCTCAACCATTGCATGTGGGACCTCCTTGTTTCTAGACCCCATGGGGAAAATTCAAAAGTTTGTACAAGTCAATTCCTGCTACTACCACCATTCATACTCCTATAATGAGTATTTACTAATGTCTGTTACGTGATGGCCACAATTCTTACATGTCCGATTTGTTAATCCTCATAACACTTGTCGAATAGGAGGTGGGTTCTCTTATTGTCTCCATTGTACTGACGAGCAAAGAGGTTATAAGGCTTGTCTAAGGTCACATGAGTTCCTTGATATTGGGCTGGGAATTCCGCAATGGGGAACTCTTAGGTGTTTGGGACACCATCACCCCAACTCTCTTTTTTTGTTTGATTGTTTGCTTTTGAGACAGTCTCACTATGTATTTTGGGCTGGCCTTGAACTAGTTATGTAGCCTAGGCTGGCCTTGAACTCACTTCAGTCCTCCTGCCTCGGCTTCCTGAGTGCTGGGACTAGAAACATGGGCCACCACGCCCGGCCCCCAATTCTCTCTCTCTCTCTCTCTCTCTCTCTCTTCTGCCTTCCTCTCCCTTTTCTCTAACACCTTCCCAGTCCCTCACCTTCCTGGCACTATGACTGAGGCAACTAACTCCCTGTCCCTCACTGAACTTCACCATGTTCTCCTGACAGTGAGGAGAGGAATCCCTCCCGGCTGGCTTCGTGGAGCTGGTGCGGGCAAGAATCCTCAGACATGTGGGTGCTGTTCTTGGCCCGGTGGAAGCCTCCGGGTTGGCAGGAAGGGGGCCAGGTCTTCATACCACTGCTGGGTCCACTGTGCTTTGTCGGTTACAGCATCTCATGCTATGGAGCCGCTGGCGGGAAAGGAGGGAAGAACACCATGATACGGTCCCACGGCGTGTCTGTGCTGGGCATCTTCAACCTGGAGAAGGACGACACGCTGTACATTCTCGTCGGGCAGCAGGGAGAGGATGCCTGCCCTAGTGTAAGTGCTCGGGGCAGGGCTTGTGCCCCTTACTCACCCGGCGTGGGGAGGCCTTGAAGGACACCAGCACCAGGCACGCGCCTTCCGAGAGCTTGTTCCCATTCAGAGTCCACAGGACTTGCTTGTCGTTCTGGCCTCAAGCGTTCTCCTTTTCCCTGCCGCTCAGGTGCATGAGAAAAGCTGGTGTTCTCTGGCTGCAGGAGTTTTACATCCCCACAGGGGCCGGGGAGAAGGTGATGGTTTTACACGTGCCCCTAAAACTGGAGGACTGAATTCTCTTTGAACAGGCCAGTGGTTATTCTTCTCAGCAGGATATGAACTGGAACTCACGGCCTGAACTTTCTTGCTAGGACACTGTTGTCTTTCATTATATAATGATAAATAGGAAAATGCCAGATTAAACACTTCTCATTTAACTCCAAATCACAGACTTGTGGCCGCATGTAGATGTACATAAATGTGCAGAAAACATTCCGCAAGATCTACGGTATGTTCTAGGGTTTACTTCTGGGGAGGGTCTGGGTTGAGGGTACTGCATCCATAATGTCTGACATTTTTACAAAAAGAATGTTTTCATGTATTACTTACTATGTGTGCAGTTAAAACTTAAAAAAGGTACAGCACAGTCTGAGAGCCATACTCTGAAACCCAGGTCCCCTGAGGCGAAGTGACTGGTCCAGCATCACGCAGCAAATGACTCTTGCTTTTTCTATGCACCGCACTCGCCTGGGCCTCGGTTTCTACAGCCTTTTGCCCGTTTCCACTTACAGCCCATTGCTGAACAAGCCCTGTAGTCGCAGAGACAGCCTGCTATTGGGTTTCTGACCCTACACGAGGCCCAGCTGTCACCGGGAGAGAACTCTAGTGCAGGATCTGAGAAAGTCCAGAGTGGTCTAAAAGGAGGAGGCAGGAGAACTAACCAAGCAGCAGCCATGCAAACCCTGGATGCCCCAGTTGTTCGTCTCCTGCCTGTGTGCGCTGGGAGTGCAGGACCTGGCCGTGCTGGCTTCCTGGCCAGAACTCAGTATCCCGGTTGGGCCAGGCCTCAGCCTTGTGGGGACCACAGCTTCACGTGGAGAGGGGGGCCCCAGAAGGGAGCCCACAGTGGCTCCTTCTCCAGGGTCTTTCAGATGGGGGATCAGGGATGACAGAGAAAGCACTTCAACTCCACAAAATAAACTCAGGGCTCCTAAGAGCCAGACCAGGAGGCAGCAGACGAGAGTAAAGCTCAGCCTTCCTCCCCTGCACGATTTGATTGAGACAAAAGAACAGGAGTAAGCTTGACAGGTGGAACCTTGGGCCGAAGAAATGTCTGCACTCCAGCTTTTATTTAGCAACTATAATCAGACTTTCCAACCCGTTATAATATATTAAGTCATTAAATTACAGGCTGCTGTAATTTTTACAGGAATTTATTGAGTGCTAATGTAATTCTTTCATCTAAGCAGAAAGATTGCATTGACTTCTGCACGGGACTTTTACTTGATTGGATTGTAATCAGTTATGTCTTTTCAGATGACCGCATCTTTTTTTAATTCAATTGTAATCTACTTGTTCCTCGGGGTTGCTGCACTTTATCATTTTTATTAATCAACCTATATGCTCGCAATTGTTGTAGATGTTCAGGAAGAGTTCTCCAACTGGCAGGAGGTGATTCTCAGTCAAGGACAGAGCGCAGCCCCCTCTGCTGGTCGGGCCAGGCATAGCATAGGCAGGTGGGGAAAATCATCAATCTTCCTTGGTTGGTCTACACCTCTACCACCTGAGTCATCAGAAAAGGAAAAACATTTTCAGGTGTTTAGAAAAAATGATGTCTAGAGATGATCTCAAGAGAATGGGGTGCACTCTAAAAATGAAATGGCAAGATTGGCAGCTTTGCTGGCTCAGCTACATCCATTATAGGAGTTGCTCTCCTTGTGTACCTGGCTGCTCCTGAGCTACTGTGCATGGGATGGGCTCAGCTGCTGGACACTGCCTCCTTACACACACACACTCACACACACATGCTCACATGCATGACCCCTCGCTTAGTCCCTGCCCCTCTGGTTCCTTCCAGACTTCACCTGGCAGCCTGAGGTACCATTGGCATTTTGGAGAAAATTCATTGTGGTAGGGGTGGGGGGCTATTCTATGCATTGTACGACGTTCAGCAGAGTCCCTTCCTCTACTCACTTGATGCTCGTAGTGTCCTCCAGAAATGGCCATCAAAAAGTACCTCCAGATATTTCCAGATGCCCCCTAGGGACCAAAAGCACTGGTCTAAAGGTTAAATCCCAGCACTGCCATCATCTTCCAGGCACATACTGTGAAGGGCCAACTCACAACCACACGGCTCTCCATTTGTTCAGACTTACACAGAACACATGTACTGAACACCTTCCATGTGCCGGCCACTGTGCTAGCAACTTGAGCTATATCTGTGAACCAAAGAGAGTTCTCTCCCCAGAGGGACTCACATTTAAGTAGAAAGAGGAAGAAAATATCTGGGGAAAGATCCAGCCTGGCAAAGGCCAAGTCCCTGAGGTGAGAGCACACCTGTGTGCCTATGGGATGGAGTGGAGGGAGCACAAGGAGGAGTAGGTAAGAGACGAGGTCAGAGGTGATAGGGATGGACCACGCCGTCTAAGGATATGTGCAAGCCACAGGAGGGTGTGCAGCCATGCGGTGACATAATGTGATGTGTGCATCCAAAGGCCGCACGCTCTGACTCTGACTGCACTATGAAGAACAGACTGCACGGTGCAAGGGAGAGTCAGGGCAATGGATTTGAGGGCCATTGCATGCATGGCAGAAGATGATGGCAGCTTGGGCCAGGATGGCAGCAGTAGAGGTGGTGAAAAGTGGTTGAACTCTGGGAGTCTTTTGAATGTAAATTCTAAAGGGATTTCCTGCCTGATTACATGATGAACTGAGAGAAAGAAGAGTCAAGGATGACTCCAAGGACTGTGCCTGAGTCACTGTAAGAAAAGAGCTTCTGTCTCCGTGGCTGGAGAACATTATGGAAGGAGCAAGCTTCGGACAAGATCGGGAGGCCAGTGTCAGACACACTGATTATAGAGCCTCACAGGCAGCCGAGTGGGGACTCCAGGGAGTCACCCCAGGAGGCGGGCTGCCGCAGTTCAGGATCAGGGTAAAGCTCAACTTTGGGAGAAATCAGCATAAGCTGAGATAGAATGCCATTGCCTGGGGTGTGGAACTGATAGAGAAGAAGACCGAGGAGGAGCCCTGGGGACTCCCAACATTTACTGGTCAAAAAGAACAGAAGTGGAACCAGCAAAGAGGGCTAAAGAGGAGGAGCCAGGGCAGTGAGAGGGGCATCCAGAGAATGTGGAGTCCTGAGATTCAGAGAAGAAAGCGTACTGAGTCTACCACCTGCTGCTGCTGGGGCCAACTAGATTCAGGCTGAGAATGAACCATCACACACACACACACACACCTGATTTAAAGGAGACATCTGGAGCAGGCGCAGTAAGGGGCAGCCCCATGGGACACAGATTCCACTGCTGCAGGCAGAGGGACGGATGGGGCAGGTTACAGGGCAGTCCTCAGCACCACTGGATCTGAGTAGCCCCTCATTTACAGGGAAGCAAGTCCAGGGACATGAGGTGCCTCGCCCAGCAGGGCCCAGCAGACCTCTGGCAAGAGCCATCCAGAACCCAGCTGGACCCTGTATCCTGTATCTGCCCTGCTGATAGCCCACACTCCTTCCTCCTCCCCCCAGCTTGGCCCCAGGGCCGCCCCATGCAGCCCATGCCTTTCCCAGACCCGTTAGCAGTACTTCCTTCCCACAGCCTCCCGCCCTGCGCAGTGCTGCTTGTGCACAAGAGAAATGCTAGCTCTCTGTACTAGCAATTCAGAATCCTTCATACACACTAAATCCACTCTAAAAAATATCAAATTATTTCCATCATTAAATCCAAAATGCCATTAAACAAATTGCATCTCAGCTGTTTATCTGGAAATTTCTCTAGTCCTCACTGCCAGCACCCCTGAATGCTTTAGCATAAGGAGTGGCTCAAGATGAATGGTCATGTCCACTGGCTGGTTACACAGCAGCATTTGATGGAAATTTGATGTTTTATTGGCTTTCCTGCCATTAAGTGAAAGAAAAGTAATTTTCCTCCGAGGCCAGGCTGATGTTTAGAAAATTTATCTGAGCTGTGGTGGCCGACAAGCAGGTGGCTACTCTTGAGGCCCTGGCCTCTTTACTAAGGGATTCTAGGATTCTGCATTGCAGGAATTCCGGGTCCATTCCCAGGGACCCCCAGATCCGAGTCCCCGCTAGAAGCCTGTGGAGTCCCGAAGTGAGTCTAAATAAAATAATAATAGCAGCCACCCATCTAGTCACCACAGGTGTGCAACACTGTACTAGACACCTTATGTGGAGGATGAGAGAAATGGAGACCCCCCCAAGGTGGGTGGGGTGTCCAGACCCTGGTGCCAGGGCCTCCTGCTCTTCCACAGGGCAGACGGATGGGAGCACTATTTGGGACTTTGCTGGGGATTTTTTAAGACTGGAAATGAGCCATTTGCTGGGAGGAATGTCCAATATGGAGAAATGACTTTCCCAAAGGTGACCCAGGGGTGAAATCTGAGTCTGTCCTTGTACTTCTGTGTTTCGGATTTGGTTTTGGTTTTGCTTCTTTGGGGTGGGGAGCTCTTCCTGTGGTGCTTTAGAACTGCACCTGCTCACCGGCTCTTCCTGCCCAGAGATGAACCCAACTCCTCCAACTGTAGTCAAGGCTTCCTGCCGTGATGTGACTGTGAGGTTTAATCCCTCTCCCTGCACTGGCTTATATTCCCTCCAGCCCTCTCTCACCACAGCGGGGCTCTGCTCGCCCTTCTTCAGCATCCACAGGGCCCTAGCAGGTCCGCCTGGGCCATCTCTCTGCCCAGATGGACTTTGCTGAGCAAGAGACCCTTCACCTTTGCCCCAGACACCACACTTACCTCCTGCCATCTGGGCTAAAAAGCCTCCCTGTCCTTCTAGGCCCAACCTAGTGGTCTTCGCGAACCACCAACCGTCAATAAAGCCTCCCTCACCCTCTCTCGGTTTCATGTAACATTTCTTATCCAAGCTGTCCTTATAGTCCTCCCCTAGTACTACCCACAGTGCAGTTATTTGTGTATTTTTTTTTTCCTCAATTCAACCATGAGCTATTTCAGAGGTAGTTACATCCTATCTTGAAGCATACAAGGCCTGCCTTTGGGTTCTGTAATGAACCCTGGTTGGGGCACAAACTTAATGTGCTTTTTGTTTCTACAGACCAACCAATTAATCCAGAGAGTCTGTATTGGAGAGAGCAATGTGATAGAAGAAGAAATTCGTGTGAACAGAAGCGTGCGTGAGTGGGCAGGAGGAGGAGGAGGCGGAGGTGGAGCCACTTACGTGTTTAAGGTGAGATGTTAGCCAGATTCCTAGCGCGAGGACTCGTGTATGTCGTGCTGTTAGAGCCTCCTCAGGACAGCCCTGGGTCGAATCCATGAGCTGCTCTGCCCCCACTTAAAGATGAGAAGCTGAGGCCTCGAAGGAAGTGCACTGTCTGCCCAAAAAGGGAAGCTCCTCTCCTACCCATGGGCCAGCCCAGGTCCACCTCGCCAGGACTGCTGCAGGGCTGCGGAGGGTCCCTTGTCCCCACTGGGGCAGCTATCTGTCCTAAGGCCGGCTTCTCTGACATCATCACAGCCTGGCCATAAACTAAAGGCAGGGCCTCCTTCTGGGTGCTCCCGTAGGGATGGATACTGAGGGCTAAACCTTGCACTTCCGGGGGTCAGAGCCACAGATGCCTGAGAGTAGACAGGAGGGAAAGAGCACACTTACTTTTAATCCCTAGCATCCAGACCTCTCCAGCTCGTCTGGGATAAGTGCCCTCCAAGATCCATTTCCTGATGGCTTTGCTCAAACCCCCTCCCACCCAAAGCTCCCCCAACTGCCCTGCAAACGTTCAGGCTTAAACATTTAAACCAGGGCTTGGCGCCTGCAGAGCAGGTGCCCAGCTCAGCCTCCTGATCTCTGGGTGTCTCCTCTGGCCAGATGAAGGATGGGGTGCCCGTGCCCCTCATTATTGCAGCCGGAGGTGGCGGCAGAGCCTATGGGGCCAAGACAGACACGTTCCACCCGGAGAGACTGGAGAATAACTCCTCTGTCCTAGGGCTGAATGGCAACTCTGGAGCCGCAGGTAAAGCCCGTGGGCCCTGCCCTCCCCCAGAAAGCCCCAGGCATCCTGCGGGCCTTACCTCACACCCCTGCCATCCCGCCCCTAAGAGCCTCACAGTCACTAGCCCCTGAGATGGCAGGAGCTCACTGCTGTGCCAGTATCCAAGGAGAGAGGGCAGCGGGACCCCAACACCTGGGGGCACCTTGCCAGCCAGCCACGTGCACCCCACGCTCGGCTCCCCAGCCCTGCAGTTCCCAGCACTGACAAAGTCCCCAGAGCCTACTGAGGGTTATCACTCAGCTCTGGCTGTCCCTGTTGTAGACCCAAGCTTTACCGTCCAAAGCTGACTCCCTCTTCCCAGTGCATAGTCGTCCCTCTGACACCTCTCACCTGCATGACCAGAGAACCTCAGCCAGGAGCCCTTCCAGAAAGCCCTTCCAGACCAAGAGACCTTCTCATGGGTCCCCAAGCCCCCCTCCATCACCTCCTGGAGTCTCTGGGAACGGTCACCAGTGAGATACAGTGTGGGACAGTAAGGGCAGGGGCCAGCAGGAAGGTTTGTGTGGGCCACCTCAGCCACATTCTGCCTCAGCTCTGCACATTTGTTTCCTGTGGCTCAAAGCAGCTCAGCTGCAGTGGCCACGGCTGTCACTGGGGCACCCTCCTGCCCTGTCCAGGGCCACTGTGCTCTTGGGCAACTCCCAAGCTTTGGTCTCAGGCCACCCAGAACAGGCTGAGCCTGGGAGTAAGGCCACCTCAAACACTTTCCATCAGATTCCTGTCAGTTCTGACATATGGAGGTTTGTGTTTCTCTCTCTCTCTCTCTCTCTCTCTCTCTCTCTCTCTCTCTCTCTCAACATCCCATGAAGAGGGTTTTATTCTCAAGCTACAGGTGAGGAAACTGAGGCACAGAATAGAGAAGTTCACCCCAGGATTTCACAGCCAGCAGAGAGTGAAGGTCCCAGGGCTTCCTGGGTTCCCTCAGGGGACCTCTGCAGGCCCTTGATGGCCAGCTGCCCAAAGACAGGTGGGTCCCAGCTGTTGCTAAGATGGGATGCAGTCACCAAATAGAAGGTCTGATGCTTCAGGGGTCAGCAGGCAGGGAGGAAGAGCTAGCGGCTGTGAGCCCCCTCCCTGCTTCTGAGCAGGAGGCCAACAGGAAGCAGAGCAGAGGCCCACTCAGTGCAGGCTTGCTGTGGCCCAACTATCTCTAACCCATGGCCTGCTCCTGGCCCCAAGGACCATCTTCAGGAGAAGGTGGGAGCACCCCTCAGAACAACCCCCATCCTGCTACCTTCCTCACCAGTGCCCTCAGGGACATGTTTTCTCCTCTCTCCCCACAGGTGGTGGAGGTGGCTGGGATGATAACACTTCCTTGCTCTGGGCCGGAAAATCTTTGTTGGAGGGTGCTACCGGAGGACATGCCTGCCCCCAGGCCATGAAGAAGTGGGGGTGGGAGACAAGAGGGGGTTTCGGAGGGGGTGGCGGGGGGTGCTCCTCAGGTGGAGGAGGCGGAGGATATATAGGTAAAGATGATTCGTGTTCAAGGTGTCACTCCCTCCCCTCTTAGTCCTAGGCATCCCTTGTCCCTCCCCGCCCTTCTGGCCCTCCCCGCCCCCTCAGTGTGGCCTGCGATCCTGTGATATAACTGCACGCTCCCCGCTCCCCGGCCTGGCTGGGCCAGCCAGAGGCAGGGTGTTGGCTCCCGAGCCAGCATCCTGCCTCGTGGCTTCCTTAATGACAGCATCAACTTCCCATGTGATCCTTGATCTCCCAAGAGCCAAAGATAAACAGGCTCCTCTCAGAGCCGCTGCAAGGGCTCACTGGCCTGAGAGCCACAGAGGCCAAGCTGCCCCCCGACACCTCCCCTTTGGCTTCCGCTTCGCTTCGTGCGGGGCTACTTGGCTCTCCCAGGCTCCTCGTTCTCCCTCATGGCCCACTGGCAGCCGGAGGAGCACCCTGAGGGCCTCTTCGGGCAGCCCGGGCCCAGCCCTCCGGCAGGTGGCCTGCCATTGACTCCCCCGGCCCTCAGAAGAGCCTTCTGCAGCCGAGAGGCTGGGCCGATGGCCCCACGCTCCCTAGACTAGGACACTGCATGCCTGCCCTGTGCCACTCGTGTCTGTGTGTTGCTTTGATGCTGTGTAAGGTGCTTGTGTTAACCACACGCTCTTTTCTGAGCCCTGGGTGGGTGGGAGGAGCCCAGGGGAGCCCAAAGATAACCCCCCACCAAATGAAAGGAGGGACGGGAGCCTGCAGGCACAGGGGCTCGCTCCCTGCCGTGTCTCAACCCTGACCAGTGCAGTGGGGCTGGCGAACAACTCCTCAGAGCTGCTGTCCAGGCCAGTCCTGGAAGAGGCCTCAGGTGTGTGCCGGCCGGGGGAGACCAGAACTTAGGGACTCTTGCTCATATCCACCGGCTTAGAGCAGAGGAGACTCCCCCAGGGAGAGGCCCCAACCTGGAGGGGAAAGTGGTCCCCACCCCAGCATCCACTGACCAAGACCCAAGTACAGCCGCTGTGCCCCGACTCCCTTCCCTCCCTCCCCTGCCCCCTGAGGTCCCCAGAGGCCCCTGGCTTTGCCCAGAGCTGCACGCCCCGCTGATGCGCATGTGTGTTGAGACATGGCACCCACCTCTCTGGGTTCACCTCTTCTCTGATCTGCCGCAGGTGGCAATGCAGCCTCAAACAATGACCCCGAAATGGATGGGGAAGATGGGGTTTCCTTCATCAGTCCCCTGGGCGTCCTGTACACACCGGCTTTAAAAGGTACCCCTCTCTGCCGGGTGGTGGAGCACACTTCCTTAGGCCTGTTCTCCCTCCACACCGAACCTCAGAGCTTCTGGCATGTGTCCAGGACACAGCCGGGCTCAAGGGCCCCTTGCAGCCACGTCTTCCCGGGACTCCTCTTGCCAGGTCTTCAGGAAGTCAGAATGTGTGACTTAATGTGGACACAGAGGTAGTAAACGCACTACCAGGCTGCCTAGTGCTAGAAAATTCAGCAGCCAGCCACTGGGTCCCGCAGGGGTCTCTCCCACCTACACACAAAGCTGCTCACACTTGGCAGCCGCATGTTTCCGCTTGCGATAGGACCTAGGAATGGGGACCCGAGCACACAGTGAGCAGGTGCAGATAAGGCAGGGGGGCGTGGTGTGGGAGTGCGGGCCCAGCCTGAGACTGACCCCCCTCCTTGTCACCAGTGATGGAGGGCCACGGGGAAGTGAACATTAAGCATTACCTAAACTGCAGTCACTGTGAGGTAGACGAATGTCATTTGGACCCTGAGAGCCACAAGGTCATCTGCTTCTGTGACCATGGCACAGTGCTGGCTGAGGATGGCGTCTCCTGCATTGGTAAGGGGGCCGGAAGGGGAGGGGCGGGGCCAGAGCGACAGCCACTGGTCGCCATGGTCCTGGGACTCCTCCTTCTCCGTGTGTAAGCGTCCTGTCCCTTCCTGCTGGTGCTCTGGCGACTGAGCAGAGGGGTCTAGTAGGGAAGGTGGGGCATTGGTCCTGAAGCCTGAAGGAGTGCTACCCCTCGCCCAGGGCAGAGCCCTCTGACTTCACCAAAGCCGTCCTAGCTCACTCACACGCCCGGGGGCAGGGACCCCAGCCCTCCCAAGGCACCTCGGTGTATCAGGAAGTTCCAGAACAGGGACCCTGTTCCTTTGAGCTTCCTCTCATGGTTCCTAACTGACCGCAGTCTTTCAAGTGAAGATTTGGTGGCAGCACCCCATCCTCCTCGAAGTCTGTTCCAGATGAAAGAGCCCATTCCTTCTGACCGTCCAGATACAGCTGTGGGCCTCCACCCCAGCCTGCTGACCCTCCTCTCCCTTGTTCCAGGTGTCAGTGTAGCTTTTGATGCCTGCTGTCCCGTAGCAGGCGAGATGTCTCCATGAGAGCCACCAGCAGGGGCCACAAGGGGCCCTGTCCTCCTCGCCTAGGGATGCGGGGGAACTAATTCAGCCTCACCGGGTGTTGCCCTCTACTATGGGGTCATGCGAGTGTGGAATCCCCTTGGTCCCCAGATCTTTCCTACATGCACCTCTGTTGCTCCTTTCTTCCCTGTCCTATGCTCAGCAGTTGATGTTTTTGAACATCCAAAACTGATGTTCATCCCTTCGCACTTTCCCTCTGCTCCAAAGCTACTGTTATGAAACTGTAAAACAGGATGAGACTGCTCGGTGCCCAAGGTCCCCTGAAAACCCAGGTGGGAAGCAGCAGGTGGTTTTGTCCTGACTGAGGCAGGCACCTCTGACTTGGGGACAACCACCTCAGAGGAGAATCAGCTTGGTGAGGGCCCTGTCCTGACTGTCTTCCAGTGTCACCCACCCCAGAACCCCACTTGCCTCTCTCGCTGATCCTCTCCGTGGTGACCTCTGCCCTGGTGGCCGCCCTTGTCCTGGCTTTCTCAGGCATCATGATAGGTGAGTGTGCCAGAGCCCTGGGGGCTCCAAAAGGGTCATATCTAGCAGAGATGAAGAGTGACTCGGGAGGTGCTGAGGATGGCAGGGTGTCCTTCTGACCTTCTAGTCCCTGGAGCTGGATAGAGTGGTGACTAGGACAGAGCAGGCCAAGCCAGAACCGAAGCTCCCAACCTCCACCCCCAGAGCGACTACAGTACTCCAGAGAGACCCAGTACCCCAGGGAGACCCAGTACCCCAGAGAGACCCAGTCCTGAGCCTCAGCCCAGGGGTGGCGTCCTGGCTGCACCACGGGATGGGATAGTCTTCATCGGCTGACAGGGTGGCTAAAGCCGCAACAAGCACACACACTCCTGGGACTTCGCTCTCAGCCTGCAAGGGCTTCAGTGGCCACAGGTCCTGGCGTAGCAGTCAGGCCCACCACCCACCTCCCACCTCGATCAGAGACAGTGGCCGGCTGGGTTCAGCACACATCTCCATTCTGCCTGTGAGCTGAGATCACAGAGGCTCCGCATGGGCCAGCCACGCTGCTGCTGGCATGAGATGCCCGGGTCAGAGGGGAGGGGCATGAAGACAGGCAGAGGGAAAGGCTCCCAGACACATTCCCAGGCCAGCCCCTGCAGGGTGAGGCAGTGGCGGACAGGGAGGGGGGCACAGGTTGTGTCCCCATGTAGCGCCCCTCTTCAAAGGGACATGTGATGAGAGCTGACACTTGTTGCACCTGTGTGCCTGGCGATTTACATTTCAGATCATTAAATCCTATGGTTCCAATCTGTCACTTCTGCAAAAAGGGGTGGGGACAGATGTCAAAAAGCAGGGACGGGGACAGCACACCTCTCATTTGCTCTCCTACCTCCTCCTGCTCACTCCTGGTATCAGCTTCTTCCCCCGCCCCGTGAGGCCCTCTCACTTTCCTTCTCATCCTCTGTGCCTACCCTCTCTTCCCTCCCCCCTCTGACAAAGAAAGAGAATCCTGTGCCCAAGGTGGCTTCATTTCATAGAGGAGGGCACTGAGCACATCGAGGTTGACCAAGGGCAGTGCTGCCCTGGCCCGGAAGCAGTGGGGCTGGGCCTTCCGGACCCGCCCTCCGAGTGGACATTTTTTTCTGCCGTAGTAGTCTTCAGTAGAGACCAGGTTCATGTGTGATAGGAGCACGGGTTAGAGTCCCTCGAGTGGCAGATCTTCTTAGAATGCTCCAAAGCCACTTTCTGTCAGTGGGCTCATGTCACTATGCCAACTCTAGGGGAGTGGGGAGTCAGGGCTCAGGGAAGCGGGCCCGGAGTTCCTGTCTGTCCAGGAAAAGAAATCAAGGTCTAAAGAGGCCAAGCAACCTGGCCAGGATCACTCCACTTGTAATTAGAGGTGGAATTAGCTCTCAGGTCCTTGGATACCAGTTTAGAGACCTTTCCGCTGTGTGGCACTTCTCCAACCAAGTGGCGGGGCAGCTCTCTGACTGTCAGAAGCACAACTGGCCAGGGCCCAGTGGTGGCCCCTCCCAGGGCTGAGCACCACAGAAATGCTGGGCTGGCCCATTCCCGGGACACCAGCACCCCTCACGTGGCTCCCTCTACCCCGGAGCTCCCAGGGGCCTCACCAAAACATCCTTAGACTGCACGGACTCCAGAGTGTTCCACACGACCTTCCGGCCTCTCCTTCACGCAGGGTCAGACTTGCAACCCAAGCTGGTGGGTCTCAGCCTTCCCAGCGGTCTCCCCCTCCCTCTCCAAGGCCTTTCTCCTAATAAAATCCTAGGTCTTGGGTCTGCTTCCCGGAGGATACAGACCATTAGGCCTCTGCCTGTGTAGGATACAGTCAAATCTTTGCCACTTATGTTTCTTAAAGCTTTACATTGGCTTCAAATGCTGTTCTGATTATTTTGTTAGTATTAGCAAGTGTGATGGAAAGGTTTAGAGCTCAGAGAGGGGGATAGAAATCTAGGGAGGCTTCCTGGAGGAAGTACCCTGTGCTGGCCTTTAGGAGCCAGGCTGCCAGCCCGGGACCCCCGTGCCGCTGACCTCCGCCTGTCTACAGTGTACCGCCGGAAGCACCAGGAGCTGCAAGCCATGCAGATGGAGCTGCAGAGCCCTGAGTACAAGCTGAGCAAGCTCCGCACCTCCACCATCATGACCGACTACAACCCCAATTACTGTTTTGCCGGCAAGACCTCCTCCATCAGTGACCTAAAAGAGGTGCCTCGGAAAAACATCACCCTCATTCGGTGAGTGGGGTGGGAGGGAGCAGCGGCCCAGGGGGCTGGATGTCATTCCAGCACCACAGACTCCTCTGGCCACAGAAGCCAGCAGAGCCATCTCCAGCAGAGACCCCAGCCTCCCAGGGGGACACGGCTTAGTGCACAGGGCCACGTGGGGTGTGGATTTAACACCAGACCGATTCGGGAGTTTATGCTGTGAGAGGAGGACTTTGAGAGAAGACCAGGCCTTTTGAGCATCCACTCCCAGAGGGCTCCTGGTCCCTCCCCCCATGGTGGGGTTGCTGAGTGCACCTCATTCAGCAGCTGAGCACACTGTGCATTTCTGTCATTCACGACATCACCCACACGAAGTCTCTGCCAGTGACAGACTCACCAACTATTCAGTGAATGAATAAATGTTTGAACATTGTCACGAATCCTATTAGGACCTATACTGGCCCGTTATCTGTTGCCAATAACACAATAGCACTGACTGGTTGAGTTGCAGAGAAGAGTATTTTGTTTGGGCTCCCAGTTCAGGGAGGCTAGAGGCCACGTCTGGTGGTGGCCTTCTTGCTGTCTGTCGGAGACAGTGCAGGGTGTCACTCAGCAGGGGCAGGGGGTGTGTGAGGGTGTCCGCACGCTCTGGTCTCCCCCAGGGTTTGATCTTGGGGCTCATGCTAATGAGCTGACGTCACCCTGATCACCTCTGACAGCATGGTTGGATTAAGCTCCCCCCTCCATACCTCACAGTGGGATTAACTTTCAACACATGAACCTGGGGGGAAACAGTCAAACCGTGGCAGAATCTTTCTTACCAGATTCCAGATAAAGAAATGGAGGCCCAGGATCGAGCAGCAAGGCCAGGTTGAAAGTGCTGCTCCCAAGTTGCATGGCAGCCCTTCCCTCTTGTGCACATCTGCTAAAGGTGACCTTGGACTCGGGGCCCCAGCTGCCCTTTTCTTGTGGACCCCCTAACTCTGCATCACCTTGCCTTCTCGCACAGGGGTCTGGGCCACGGCGCATTTGGGGAGGTGTACGAAGGCCAGGTGTCCGGAATGCCCAACGACCCGAGCCCCCTGCAAGTGGCTGTGAAGGTGAGAGGCAGCTTCCTCTTGAGCCTGGCATCAGCCTGTGGTCTCTCTAGGCTGCAGTTCTCAGCTCAAGCTGCCTTCTTCTTTCCTCCTCTCCCTCTGTGCTCAGACGCTGCCGGAAGTGTGCTCAGAGCAGGACGAACTAGACTTCCTCATGGAAGCCCTGATCATCAGGTAAAGCCAGAGGCCCCAGCTGCTGCCTCCCACTCAGAGACGTTTCTAACAGATAGACATCTTCGAGGGAAATGGGGCCCCTGAGAAAACTCCCTGGTCTTCATGACGCATCTTACAGAATGGAAACCCCCAGTGGTTGTCTTGGAAAATGCTGGTGTGGCCTCATAATCAGGCTGCTGTCATTGCCTGCAGCCGGCACCCCTGGTATCATCCACTGGTTCTTGTTCCCCAAGTGACTCTTTCAGAACCAGGGCCCTTTGCCCATCCCAGCTTGCCGTTGTGGCGTGCAGGAATCCTGTCTCTCACATGACAGTGGGCCGCCCCACTGTGTTCACCATGGCAGGGCCAAGGCTCTGCAGGCCTGCACCCTTCAGTGTGTGGCTCTGACCCGGCTATTGCTAACAGCCTCAGTGCTCCAGGCTCCTGCAGGCCGCTGCTCTGACTCACACCCCCTGGGGAAGAGGCACATGTTTTACCTCAAGATCTGGAGGGCACTCAGTGCCTCCAGAAGGCATCAAACATCCTCACAGGTGGGGTAGCTTAGGGGTCCCCTTAGTGGAGGTGGGGGGGGGGGGAACCAGGCCAGAACAGTGTGAGCAAGGTGCTTGTGGGCTCTAGACACCCAGGAGGATATGCTAATTTAAAATTAGCATTTATTTCCTGATTATATACATAATGCATGATTATTGAATAAAACTTAGAAAGATAAGATCATATGGAAGGAAAGCCAACTCAATCTCATCATTAGGCAATAATTAGCCATTATTTTTCAGTGGATAGTCACCCAGGCTCTCAACTCTGTGTGTGTATTGTGTGTGTCTGTGGAGCGTGTGTGTGTGTGTGTGTGTGTGTGTCCATGTGAAGTATCCTAGCCTCATTGCCCTGTGTGTCCTCGCAGGATCACGTTAACAAGCAAACCCAATTCTCGGGGCCGCTTGTCCCAACTCAGTCCCTGCCCCTGAGGAATCTACTGGTGACAGCATGGACCAGTGACCATGACCCCTCTTCCTGGCTCTCTCTCACATGCTGCCACCTGGCAGGTCTCACCCAGTCCCTCTTAGAAGCTTCATAGCTTCTGCCTGAGTTCTTCCTCGGAGAACTCAACCAAGAATTCATGCAGCAATATCTAAAGATAGATACACACACACACACACACACACACACACACACACACACTCTTCCTCCTCCTTGCCCAGGGCCTGCACAACATCCTCCCTTCCCAGCCCATTCTCCTGTACACCAAGCTCCTGGAAAACCTGGCCTGGCTCCCAGCTGCTCAGCAGAGAGGTTGGCTGCTGGCTCAGCAGGGGACCCCACTGCCCACAGCTGCTAAAAGCTTGACTTTGTATCCTGCTTCTCTCACTTAAGATTGTCCCAGACCCAGCTCAGTTAAATTTGGTTGCACCCCTCTGCCCCGCAGCAAATTCAACCACCAGAACATCGTGCGCTGTATCGGGGTGAGCCTGCAAGCCCTGCCCCGCTTCATCCTGCTAGAGCTCATGGCGGGCGGAGACCTCAAGTCCTTCCTCCGGGAGACGCGCCCTCGGCCAGTGAGTGGGAGGGGCAGCAGCGGGGGTGGGGAAGGTGGCGGGAGCCTGGGAAGCAGCATTCCTGGTGGGAGCCTGGGTGCCGGCCCTCGGGGTGGCACAGAGGGTTCAGAAGGTGAGCGTGGCTGAGCCCCAGCCCCGGGGAGGAGGTGCAGAGCTCTACGATGGATTCTGTAGCCTGACTGCCTGTTTATGGCCTTCTGACGCTGGGACACTGAGCTCAAGACAAACTTGGAGAGGAACTTTCATGCCAGCCACTTTGCTAACTCAGTCAAATAACCCTGGGGACCATGTCCCATCCACTACTGCAAACGCTTACCTCATCTCTTGGTAGGGGTAACAACACCTGTCGTCCCACCTTGTAGTTCTGCTGTACAAAGAAAGTCATGGAGGGCTGGGGATTTAGCTCAGTGGTTCCCGCACCTGCCTCACAAGTGGAAGGTCCCGAGTTTGATCCCTGGTACCAGAAGAGAGAGAAAGAAAGGAAGGAAGGAAGGAAGGAAGGAAGGAAGGAAGGAAGGAAGGAAGGAAAGAAGGAAGGAAGAAAGAAAGAAAGAAAGAAAGAAAGAAAGAAAGAAAGAAAGAAAGAAAGAAAGAAAGAAAGAGATGAAATATTTAGCAGGCACCTGAGGTGTGAGGGGAGAGGGAAGCAAATGCTGGGGTGGGCTGCCCCCCCCATGGCCATCAGGTACTGGGTGACCCGGGAGCTCCACCCTCGTACCCTGAACATCCACGCAGTGAACCCTGAGGGTCAGACTAGAACGACTCAGGGGTGGCTTGAAATCATACAACACAGCACTCCCAGCTTCCCAGAGGCCAACCCCTGTCTGCCGGGCCTTCAGGAGGCCCCGTCACTACCAACTGCAGCAGGCCAGAGCCCAGGTCAGGAGTCACCACAGGAAGAAGAGCAGTCAGAGCAGCGGTCCCTCTCCTCCTGGGGAAGTAGAGACAGCCTGGCATCCTTTCTGCTACAGAAAACCCAGACTGGCTACATCGCGGGGACTTAAAGTGGTGGCCGAAACCCTGGCAGGCCATGGCTGCTCCCATCTCCACCTCAATCAGGTCCTGTGTAAAACACCTCCGCCTTAGGAGCCTCCATGCTGTTTTTGCAACTTTGGGAGTGACCTGTCTCAGCCTCTGAGAAGAATCCAAGGTAGAAATGAGAGTCTGCACAGAGAGCACACCCGGCAGGCAGATGGGAGTAGTGGTCACCTCTCACCCTCATCACACTCACACTGTGTCCTCGCAGCCTTCATACCGCTCCGCATTACTCTATGCATAGGCACAGCAGGCTCGCCTGCATTTCACAGATGACAAAACTGTGGCCCAAAGAGGTCACTGATTGGCCAAAGCCACACAGGAAGTAGACTCCTGCTTCAGTGTGTGTGCATTCTAGCCTCTGCTGCTGTCTATCCAAATGGTCCTCTTTGGGAAGCCGAGGGTCTTGGAAAGTCTGGCATCTCTGCCAGGCCTGGGCATCAGCTTCTCTGGCTCGCCCCCACCCCCAGCCAGGTGGATCCCTCACACCCTGAGGTTTCTAGCAGTGCCGCTGGTAGAGGTCACATGGGGGACACATGGCATCACACTTTGGGAAGGGCTCGGCTCTGCTTTTCCCAGTGATGCTTGAGAAAAGAAAGTATTGTGCAAGGACCAGGATGTAGCTCAGTGGTGCTGCTGTCTGCCTCGCAAGTGCAAGGTCCTAAATTCGATCTCCAGTACAAAAAAAGAAAAGAAGAAAATATCGTGCATCCAAAAGAGAAAGTACCCAGGAAGGGAAGTCTGGGGACCCACCTCTTGGCAAATCTGAGGGCTTTGGGGCTAGGAGGAGCAGCACCTTTTCACAAACACAAGTCCTTTTTAATAAAAAAAAATTGCAGAAAAAGTGTTTGTTCGGCATGTATTTATTGAGGGCTTCCTGCATGCCAGGTACAGTCATAGCTGTCTTTCAGTTTCTGTTGATTCAATCCATAATGATAAAAGCCATTCATAAGTCAGTAATCTTGTAATTAAAGATATAGGTCATTAACCACGTCCATGTCTATATGTATTCGGCACATGGTGATACCCACCTGGAGGAAATAGATGCTCAGTGCTTGGATCCTGCAGGTCCACTGTCTGCAGGTGAGAACCTCTGATTTAGGTTGTATTCACTAGGTTTTGGCTGTGCTGATACTAACGCTGGCTCCAAATCCATGAAGGGCCATCTCTTCCTGAAGAAAATTCGGTCCACATCAAGAAGCAGGAATCATAAGGGCCCAAAAGCATGAACTTCTCATCCCTAAATAGATTATGACTGCTTTTTAGATTTTATGTTCCCTGTCTGCATTCTTTGCATCTCTCTTTCATCTTCCCTGTTCATCTTCACATGCATTGATTTTAAAATATACCCCTGTTCTGGTTTTCAGTTGGTGGAAGAGTTCCTTCCCCACGTCCTGCACTTCTTCATCTCTATAAAGTAAAAAGGGAGAGGGCTGAAATTGTAGTTCAGTGGTAGAGTGCTTCCCCGGCATGCAGTGAGGCCATGGGTTCAATCCCCAGGCTCCCCCTACAAAAAGGAGGAAAAGAAGTATCTGTATCATTGTGTATTTTATTAACATAGTACATACTATCTTTTGAGAGTAGCCTCACAGAAGCTGTGACACCAAACGAACCATTCCTGGCCTAGACAATGTCCCTAAAAGGAGAACACATCACACACACACTCACATATACCACATACACAAAACACCTCACACACCCACACCACAAGTTTCTGACTGCCTGCTTCTGCTCAGACTGGTGAAGCAGGTAATTTTCAGGGAGCCCTGACAAAGCTGGCCCTGAGCTAACGCCTGGCAAGATCTCACCCCTGCACCACTCAGTTCCCGGGCATTTGAGACATCAGTGGTCCTGGAATCCTAGGTGATGGAAGCTGAGACACAAAGAGACTCAGGGGAAGAGACTCTTTCTCAAGGCTCTGCCACAGCCAGGACAGTCCTTTAGTAGGAACAGGAAACATTTTCCTGAGGAGAGAAAATATATCTCTCATACCACTTCCCTTGGAAATCCAGCACTCTTCTTTTCCCTGGGAGCTCGGGCTGTCTCTCTCACACTGCCCTGTACTTTGAACCCTAAGAGAGCCTCTGGAGAAGCCACACACAGGGGTGAAAGGGCTCTGAGCCTCAGCAGCCCTTCTAGCAGGAATGTCCTGTCAGGAGTTTTCAAAGAGTTACGAGCTTTCTATCTCTCCAGTTCTTAAACAATTCAACACAGAAATAGGGAGTGTATTAGTCAGCTTCGTGATATATAACAAAACACCCGAGGCAATTAACTTATTTTTAAAATGGTTTATTTTGGCTCACAGTTCTGGATATTGCAGTCCAAGACCGGGTGGCCCCACTGCTTTGGGCCAGCTCAGGGGTGCTACATCATGGCCAGAGTGCATGGTGGAGCAAACCACATACATTATGAGCAGGAAACAGAGAGAAACTGGAGCCTAGGGCCCCACAGCCTCCCTCAGGAGCATGCCTCCAATGATCCAAGGAGCTTCCCTGAGGCCTGGCCTCTCAAAGGCACCCATCACCTCGCAGTACCACCACCCTGGGGATCATCCTTGTAACGCTTGGACTTCTGGGGGACATTCATTCAGACAATTGCTGGGGATTTGATGTGACTGCCCACCTCTGCTTTTCTGCATAGACATTCGAAACACACCGCTTTAGGTAAATCATGGTCCAGAGCTATCAGCAACGAATCAGCCACCCAGTACTCACTAAATACCCAGAATGTGCCATTTTGTGCTGAATGTCATGGAAGAGAAAGATGAATCCCTGCATCAGAGACCTCGAAGTTCACTTGGGGATATGGTAAAATCAACACAGAATGAAAAAACACAACAAAGTGACTATGAAACAGCCCTACATTGTGATTAATTAAAAGAGAGACCAAGAATGAATGTCACCTTCAGAAAGACTTCATGGCACTCAACAGAGGTGTCTAAGAGGCCAGGCCAGAATATGCCCCCCAGGTGGGGTGACATTTCCTTGTACATGAAAGAGACACTGTACAGAACAGCTAGAGATGGCTCTTAATTGCCTATTATTTTCCAAAAGCTTTTCTTTTTTAATCCACTTTAGGTCTGAAGATTCTTGTTGGAAATTAATTTTTAAAAATAATTTAAGACATTTAAAATTACATTATTCCCCCCTGGTTTCCTTACAGGCTTGTTTATAAATTGGGGGCCTTAAAATGGTTGTGGAGGTTGAAATAGAAGCGTGTGCAGAAGACACTGAAAGGGAAAGGACATCCGCCCCATGAGGATTCCTGTGGTTTGGGCATCCCCAGCCCAGGCTGGGGTTAGAATCCCCCAGGAAGCTTTCCAACTTGGAAGCTGTGCCTACCAGAGGGGATTTCTGGGTGTGGGTCGGGCCCTGCGCGTCTGTCTTAAAGCCTCGGGGGCTTTCCAGTGTGCAGCCACGGCCAAGACCCCTGGCAGAGCTGTGGCTGAGTTCGGCCCCCTTCTAAGTGGAAACCCAAGTTTCCCACCCTCCCCACTGCCCCAGAGCTCCGCCAGTGGATCTCTTCTGTCTCCCCACAGAGTCAGCCCTCCTCCCTGGCCATGCTGGACCTTCTGCATGTGGCTCGGGACATTGCCTGTGGCTGTCAGTATCTAGAGGAAAACCACTTCATCCACCGGTGAGTCCAAGTGAGCTCGCTTGATCGCCCCATTGCCTTGGGCACCCTTCCCTGAGCGTCCCACAGGCCAGGTCGCCCCCTCCAGAGCAGAACCATCAGTCTCTGCCCTCCTGCCTGATGATCCAGATTTGTGGGGGAACTGAGTCTCCCAGGCTTCCCCAGCCCCAGAAGTAAAGAGGGTATCATGAAATCTCCGTGCTCGACTGGGAGGCCTGCAGCCTGTGAACAACACTGCCTTGTCTTGGACACGAAAGTCCTGTATCACCCTAAGGTTCCACTGCCTAGAAAACTGGGCTTGTAGGGGCGAAGTTAAAGGCGTTCATATTTTCACATACTGGACAATGGCTAAGTCAGAGGCAATGAAAAGCTTTCATTATCTCCATATCCCTGGCCTGTGGTGGGGCACAATAAATGTTTGCTGGATAAGTTAATTTTTTTCTGGCATACTCTAACATAAAGCATAATAATTATTTTCTTTATTTCCGTATGGCATTTCCCCTGCCACACACAATTCTTGAAAATGCTGTTTGGACTGGGGTGTCACATCCACACTTAATGCTGTAAACATCATAGATCCCATATTTCTTTCCCTGCAGATGTTGATGACGGCTCGATCTGAAAACTGAAGAGTGAAAAAGAGTATTAGGCTCTTTGCAATGAGCATCCTAATGATTTACTTCTAATTTAATAAATAATAGCCTGGTGGACTCATTAAGCCATGTCTTTGAAGATTTTCAGGCATGTTCATAATAATTAAAATATGTAATTACAAAGTGGAAAATGAGAGTGGCTGTATGAGTTTAGAAGTAGAAACCTATGTGAGTGTGTAACGGGCTCTGCTTTCTTTCTCCCTGACAACCTGAGGAAACTGGAGGCCCGGAAGCCCACCTCCCTCAGTTTCCAGTGTCACCTCCAAGGCCAGGCAGTAACTTTCCCCGGCCCAGCTCATCCCTCCACTGCTGCTCTGTCATCTTGGTCTGCACCTCTTCCTCTTGATTCTAAGCCCTTGCCCACTTGTGGGTCATTTGGCTTCATAGTAATAAACAAAACAAAAGAGGAGCTGGAATCCTGCCTCCATGTCCTCATCCAAAGTCTGCTTTCCACGTGGTCTGCTATGAAGTGCTGCTTGGTCCTACTCCTGCCCTTTTCACTGGACCCAGAACTGTCCATAATCTCATCTCTGAGCTCCAGTGCTACTCAGTCATGACAAGGTTGTGCTCGCTTTGAAAGCTATCCTCGGTTAGATCCATCTTTTCTATCTTTTGTCCATGTCCTTCTGAGAGCAACCTGTGTGTCATTTGGGTGACTTCAGATGTCTCCTTTCACTTCTCATTGAGATGACTTCCACTTTGGCATGTCCACCGACACTCTGCACCATAGCTTTGAGAGTCTCTGGCTGGTGGACCGTATCCATGGAATCTACTTTCCTAGAGTCATGACACTGTATGACAATATCCCATGCCCTACTGGAGATGATGGGATAATAGGATCACATTCTCTCAAGATTCTTATCACTTCAAGCTCTGTAACTTGTTACTGAAAGGTGGAATTAGAGCCCAGAGTGATAGTTAGCTTTCTCTATCCTTTTTAAGGGATTAAATTGTCAAAGATCAGATCGAGAATGCATCAGATGATTTATTTTAAACAAAACAAGACTTCTGGCAAAAATGATCCATTTCCATCACAACTTTCCTTCTAGGGTCATTTGGTAGTTTATAATAGGAAAGCGTCTTTTATATCTTCTAAATAGCTAAGAGAGCAATGGCATATTCTCACAGCCTAACTACCTGTACCCCTCTCTCCCTCTCCGCTAAAGATTCACAGACTTCTGTACACATACACCTTCTGAATTCAGAGTGGAACTCCCTCACCAGAGCTGCATGCTCCCATTTTTTTCATTAAATCTATTTCCTTTGCACATAATTTACTGCAATTTTAAGAGTTATATGCCATTCTATCAATTCTGGTTGTGTTCTGTGATATTACGTTTACTTTCTTGTCATTAAGTTCAAGATCACTTTTTAAGCAACTATTTCATATGCACCAGCATAAAGATCTTTTTGGAGCCATAAATATTGTTCCTGGTCTATTTCACTATATTTCTCTTGAGATTTAGCAGCTATATATCCAGCTATTTTTCTTCTTTTTGATGCCATATATATTATGCTTTTATGGTTTTTTAGGGTATTTCATGCACCACTGACCTTCAAAATTCAACTTAAACCTTATGGATCAGGTCAGTGACATTTATTGCCCATGCCAGCCCAGTAGTCTGGAATCTTTTTTTTTTTTTTTTTTGTACCAGGGATCAAACTCAGGTCCTTGGCTTTCGAGGCAGGTGGCAGAACCACTGAGCTAAATCCCTGGCCCGGCCCTAGTCTGGCATCTTAAACCATGACCCCCAGTCCAAGTCCTATTTTTTATAAACACTATCTTTTTTTTGGAACCTAGGATCAAACTGAGAACCTTGTACTTGCAAGGCAGGCCATGGAACCACTGAGCTAAATCCCCAGCCCCAGCCCTATAAATACTATCTTAACAGCCAGTTGTTCATTCTCCAAGTGTTTTCTCAACCAAGAATCAGAACCTTCATGAAACCAGTTGAAATATAAAAACACCATCTGTGTTTCTTCTTGTTTTTTTCTGCCCAGGACTTGATTGTTAGAGACCCATTCCAAACTTCTGGCTGTGAGCTTTATTCCCACATGCATGTCAGTGGGTCTGCAGTCCAAGAGTCAGAATGGACAAGTCTTAGAAGGCTTCCAGTCAGGCCTCAGAGGCATGCTATAGGAACATGGGCCATCTGGAGCCTGACACCAAGGAAGCCAGCTTCATAACCTCAAAGAAGTGATTCCTTAGCCATGCAGCTTGGCACAGACTTTAGATATAACTGTGGGTGTAAGAACCATAATAGTTCCAACTAGAAATATTTGGGAATATCTTAACCTATTTGGATATGATATCCTGGAAGTCACACGGTTCCAGAACACTTATTCAAGTGACTGGCAAAAATAATCCTATAGTGTGTCCATGACAATAGCTTACAGCCAAGCAGCATTTTTTATGCTCCTGTGTTATATGCTTTTAGCTTACATTTTTAACAAAATGGGGATTAGAGCACCTTATTTCTTACAGGGTTGTAATGAGAATTAGACACGAAGTATCTAGAATGATGCTTAGCACATGGTAAAAGGCTAATATGTTCTAGTTCCTATTATGGTTATTTTGATTATTACCGTCCTGTTAAACATTTTCAACAATTTCCCCTAATTCTTTTCCATTTCCCTATTAGTTCTGAGGCTTGGACTTGGCATGGGTATTTCTTTCACATAGTTTAATGTAACAAAGGAAATATAGGGCAGAGGAAGGAGCTGTCTGAACTTCCTATTGAAGGCGAAAACTCTAGTGATACACATTATACATTTATCTTCCCAAGATAAAATTTGGAGATGTGTTCTCATTTTTTTGTCTGCCCCAGGGACATTGCTGCCAGGAACTGCCTCTTGACCTGTCCTGGTAGTGGAAGAATAGCGAAAATTGGAGACTTTGGCATGGCCCGAGACATCTATAGGTGAGTAGACTGCCACGGCCTCTGAAAGCCTGCCCTGCCACCCACCATCCACGCAAAGGAGGGCCTGCAGCTACTTGTGCCTTCCATCATCTCCTGGTACTTTGTCAGCTTTCCTTGTGAAATCTCGGTGATTTCCTTTCAGGCTGTAGGAAACCTTAATTAGTGCCCATGCCTGAGGATCTAATTCTAGGATCCCACTGCCTGCAGTAATTGACACAAAGTGCTTAATTGGGTTGTCTCTCTGGTTCCAGCTCTCTAATCCTGCCATGTTCTGAGACACGGAATAATTTGGATATAATTTTGATGTGAAAAAGTTCCGAGTGAACTTTATAATTTAACCCCTCTCCTCAGTACTCAGGAATTCTAGGAGGATGCAGTAGAGCCCATCACCAAGCACAAGCACCCTGCACTGACAAAGTACTGGACCAGCTCAATGGTCTGCCTCACCTACCTCGGGGACACTGGAGTAGATTCAAAGCCCACAGGGACTTAGCTCGGCTCCACTGTTTTTCCCTGTCATATTCCCAAGCAATATAAAAAAAAAATCTTTGATTGCACATTTTTCGCTCTCCTCTTCCCCACCTCATTTCTCCTTTTTCTAGTTAGATACACTGCGACTCGTTACAGAAGCTGAGCATGCAGCTCCTTCGCATGATCACTAGTTAACCCCTTCCCTAACTCGCAGCAGTAGCAGGGAGGTGGTAGCAGGGAGCTTTAACTGCTTGGAGGACCAGTGAGATGATCCAGACACTTGTGAGGGTTCTGTCAGAGCTGGGAAAAGCTCCAGAGGGGCAAGGGTGCTGCTACCGTCTTGGGACCCTGGGGAGCAGTATCTGCACAGAGTCGGTACAGAGCCCGCCCCGTGGAGCCACCCACTGCTCTCACCGGGTGACTTTCCAGAGCTCTGCTCTACTTCTTTTCTTTTGTTTTGTTTTGCTTGAGATATGGTCTTGCTACGTGGTTCAGGCTGGCCGAGGACTCACTATATAGCCCAGGCTGGCCTGGAACTTGAGGCAGTCCTCCTGGCCCAGCCTCTCTCCGGAGTGCTAGGATTATAGGCACGCACCACGCCTGGCTGCATTCCCCCCCTTCCACACCCAGTCTCTGCACTCCTCCTCCCTACTTTCTCAGAACCCCTTGATGGCCTCCGTTTTAATAGCCACGTGCTGCAGCACATTAGCCGGCTCTTCCTTCCTCTGTTCTCACAGCTCTCTGTGTGAGCCAGCTTTCTGTCTCTGTGACAAATACCTGAGATAAATCAGTTTATAATGAGGGAAAAGTTCACTGTGGCTCACAGTTTCAGAGATTTTAGTCCATGGTCCCTTGGCACTGTTGCTTTGGACTTCCAGTCAGTTGGCCTCATGGCAACCAGAAAGCAGAGGGAGGGAAGAAAGCGGGGAGGGGCTGGGCCCTAATCTCCCCTTCCTGGGTGCTCCCACAATAACATCACTTCCTTCCACTTAGGCCAACCTGTTCAAGGTTCCACACCTCGCAGTAGCCCCACAGGCTGCTGACCAAGTCCTCAGCACATGGGTCTTTGGGGGTACATTTAAGATCCGCCCATAACAGCTCCCATCTCTAGGCTTGGACCACCTTGCTCACCTACAGCCCTGCAGTCCCCCGCATACCTGTCCATTCGTCAGTCCGGCTGGTCTTCCAAGAGAGCTCCTGGGCCTCCCTCAGTGCCCCTCTGAGTCGCTTCCCCTGTGCTTTACTGCTATCTCACATGGAACAAATGAGTCCTTCTTTCGTGTCCCTGCACATTTCCCCTGGCCCATCATTATATGTGTGTTCTGTGCTGCAATTGCAGATGTGTCTGTTTCTCCCATTAAACCGTAGCCTCAGGAGAGAGAGAGAAACTATGACTTATTTATGTGCTCAGCACATGACGGAGTTACTTGATACATACTAAACTCTCAGCACATATTTATTGAAGTAATTAATGTAGGCAGCTGGCAGGAAGCTGCTTCCCATAAGGCACCCAGAACACCGGGCTGTGTGTGGAACTGGCTTAAAGGTAGATGAGTCAATGTATTAGTTTTCATCAGAGTTCTATTAATGACATTGCTAGTGAAAACACAATCAATTAACTCATCTACCTTTTAAACTAACAGCACGCCTAGTCCTTGGCTCCCCTGTCTGGCTGCTTCAGTTATTTGTTGAGGTCCCTATTGAGCTAAATGCTGTCGGCTGAGTGCCGAGGAGGGTCCAGAAGGGGTGGGAGACAGCCCAGCTCCTGGTCTTCCCATTACTGCAGGTCATCAGAAACACACTGTACATAGAAGGTTGGAGTATTGTTATTCATTGTGAGTTATAATAAACAAAACCCAATAGGGAAATCTAAACATCTGCTGGTGGGGATCTCAGTCATTGAATAGATCTTTTCCTTCGTGCTTCTAGTGGGCCATTAAATGACACCAAAGTTCTTAACTAGATGATCTGTGTTCCTTGCTCCCTTCCTGAGTCACCAAGGACCCTCATTAATTTCATTCCTTTAATGTGCAGACTGTGTCATGGCCACATTCTCAAGTTTCCTGGCAGAGCTTCTGCTTAGTCCGATCTCCAGATCAAAGCTCACTCTCTCCTCCTTCCCCACAGAGCCAGCTACTACAGAAAGGGAGGCTGTGCTATGCTGCCCGTCAAATGGATGCCTCCTGAGGCCTTCATGGAAGGAATATTTACTTCTAAGACAGACACATGGTGAGTGTTCTGCTGCTCTCCTCCAGATTTCCCTGCAGCCTGACATAGTGCCACGGGGCTGGTGAACCACCCCCTCTTCAGGGAAACCAGGGCTAAGGGGGAAGAGAAGAAAAGACTGGATGTGCCCACGACAGTGGTTCTCAAGTGTTGGTGTATCTCAGAATCATCAGAGAGGCTTCATCCCAGGACAGCATGATTCAGAAGGGCTGAGCTCTGGCTGAGAATGTGCATTTCTAATCAGTTCCTGAGTGACTAGGAGACACAGGGAGAAGAAAGAAACAGGCCTCAGGAGGGAGAACACCCCTGGGAGACTGGCTTCTGATATCTGACCTTCAGAACCACGATGGAATAAACATACTGTTTAAGCCATCGAGTGCATAATATTTTTCAGTACTGAGGATTGAACCTAAGTCCTCACACATGCTAGGCAAGTGCTCTATTGCTGAGCTATATTCCCAGCTCTTCTGTATATTTTATTTTATGAAAAGGTCTCACTAAGTTGCCCAGGCTGGCCTCAAACTTGCAATCCTCCTGCCTCAGCCTCCCAATTAACTGGGAAACAGGCATGCTCCACTGCACCCAGGTTGCATGGTAATTTCTTGTAGCAGCCACGGGAAAGGAACACACCCAGTGAAACCATCAAGCCAGTTGCCCCAGGTCTGAAAGTGTCACTTCTATAGAGTTTCCATCAGCTTTCTAATGCTCCAGACTTAAAATAGGAACAGCCAGCCCAGAATTGACAAATGTTTAGGAAGAGATTCTAACCTGAATAAAACAAGCATAAGAGAAAGATGTTGGAGGAGGAAAATGCAGAATACTTATGGAAACTTCTTAAAAGCTATAATATGCACAGAAAGAGAAATTATTACAAACATAAGCATAGTATAAAAGATTACTTAAAGTAGTACTTGTAGGAGGCAAGAGCTCTTGGAAATGCAAATATGAAGCTAGAAACCTCCAAGGGGCTGGAGCCTGAGTCCTTTGGAGCATGTATGAAGCTGCTATATGCTTGCAAAGAGTCCAGGCATGAGTAGCAGAGGAAGAGAGTTTACAGTGGAGAAACCTGACAAACAAAAGCTCACTAGTGCCATGGCCTGCATGGCTGAAGGGTCCATGGAGTGAGAATCTCAATCTCAGTGAGGGATTAAGAAAAAACAAGAGATGCAAAAGAACAAAGCTAGGGCCAGGTGGAGCCTTCTTCCTGATGGGAGAAAAGGTCTGGCTGGCAACTGCAGCGTGTTTCTGTACAGTGTAGACCTAAGGGAAGTGCAGGGGGAGGTCAAAGGGCCTGGTCTGCAACTGCAGCCAGAAGAGTAGCTAAAGTCTGCAAAACATCATGCTTTGATGGGGATTGGACGGGGAGGAGGACAGTCCTGTTCTTGGCCAGGCCCTGCTCTGCCAGGCCCTCTTGTCGCCTGTTCTCCTCCCTCGGGTCCCTGCCTCATCTGTGGGAGGAGGCGAGTTAGCCCCAGCCATAGTGATCTACAGCACAGCGCTGCCAGCACACTAGGTGATCAAGGTCAATGTTAACCACAGTAAGTCACGTTGGTAGCATACACCCTTGAGCTGACATAAGGAAAGTGGCCCTTTACCACTATGTCCAGTGGAGGGTATTCCACAGAGTTCTGACCAGTCTTCAAACCAGGCAAGGTCATGAACAAGCAAAGTCTGAGAAGTTGTCAGCAGTTAAGAGGAGCCCAAGCGAGTGTGACAACTAAATGCCATGTAGTATCCTGATAGGATTCGGGAATAGAAAAGGGAAATTCAGTAAAAACTAAGGAAATCATTAGTAACTAAGTTTTAGTTAATAACGTCTTGATATTGGTTCATTAACTGTAACAAATGTACCACAGTAATGTGATGATAAAAATACCAGGAGCTGAGAGTAGGATATGCAGGAATTCTGCATTCACAATTTCTCTCAACTTAAACTGTTCTCAAAAATACAGCTTATTTTTTAAAATATGATGCCAGAAATGTAAAAGTAATAGGAGGGTTAGAATATAATGTTAAATAAATCTTCTGGAAAATAAAACATCTCAAGAGAGATAGGATACATTGGAAAGAAAAGAAGATTAAGAGGATTAGATCAATAGATCAAGTAAGCTGACAAAACAGTAGTCCAGAAAGAAGGAACCGAGGAAATGAAGAGAATAAAAATATCAAAGGAATAATTGAGGATTTCCCAGAATAGACCATAACTCTCCAGAATGAAATCACCCACCAAGTTCCAAGCCTGATGGATCAAAAAGAGACACACGGGAGCTCATCATCGGGACATTTCAGACCAGTGGCAATGAACATTCTGCGTGCTCCCAAGGAGGAAAAGAAAATAATAGTAAAAAGTGGTCAGAGACTCCAGGAGTTCCCAGTGGCCTGCAACATCTGAGCCACACAGGAACAAGATGACAATGAACAAATGTACAAATGTCCCCAGGACTCTCTGATGAGCACAGTGCGTAGAGCCCTTTCCTGATCTCTGTGTGAGCAGGATTGTCGCCTCTAAGTCAGTGAGATTTGCCTTAACCTACCTAAACCAATGGGGTCAACCTAGGTCTAAATAGAGTCAGTGGGTTACTGGCATCGGCATCACCCAGGAAGTCATTAGACGCGCACGTTCTCAGACCCCAACTCAGGCCTAGGAAACAGAAGCTAGGGGTGGGCCCAGTGTTCGGTTTTAACAAGTCCTCCTGACCATTCCAACTGCACCAAAGGCAGAGCACCAGCCACCCAACCTACCCAGAGACAGAAGAGTGTGTAAGTAATGTTGAGAACTGTTCTGAGCACATCAGATCCTATGACCCGTCTGCTCTACATTACAGAAAGTCTAGCCCGAAGAGACTTGGGCAAAGGCATTCATTTGCACATTGTTTATGACAGAAAAAAGGCAAAAGCCAACCTAGTTCTCCATCAAGCTGGCTTATTTTTACCAAGAAAACTGCTCAGCAGTATAAAGGAACACACCAAACCTGCATGTATCGACATGAATAAACCACAAAAATGATATTTGGTGTGGAAAAACCAAGTTACAAAAAGGAATAGAGTAACATTTAAGAATAATTTTATAAGACAAAAAGTAAGTCTACAATGCATATTCTTTATTGTTTATGCCCTTACATCTTGTTAAAAGGTGTGGAAACACAGGAGAGGAAAATGCATTCTAACTTCAGTAGAGGAGAGAGAAAGAGGAAGAGGGGAGAAAAGGGTGGAGGTGGAGCTTGCCTGTATCTATTTTATTCAAAATAATACAGAACTGGCCAGGGACTTAGCTCAGTGGTTCCACTGCCTGCCTCACAAGCACAAGGACCGGAGTTCAATCCCTGGTACCAAAATAATAGAGAACTGACACAAGAAGGCAAAATAATCCGTCTGGATTCTCTCAAAGGACGTTAAGATCTCTTTCTATCATCTATCTACTTATCTACCTTTATATCTAAATCTATCTAGACAGAAAACAGATAGCAAGTTCTTAGGCCTTGCTTGTTTGATTTTGCCTGTTTCATTTTCCCTTTGAGGCCAGAAAGACCACAAACATAGCAGGAAAAATACACAAGGCAAGATTTAATACATGGTAAATATTTAAATTTTTAAAAATTATTACAGTAAAACACATATTGTCATTAGTCCTCCTCAAAACCCCCCTTGCTTCATATACACTTATCCCATAATTCTTGCCAGTTTCTGAATGATTTCTACAAGTCCTCTTTCATGAGTGTCTTTACCAGGTGTGATTAAAAACAAACAGACAAAAAAAATACAGTGAATGCTGCTGCCAAGTGCCATCCAATAGAAAAGCAGACCATAAAAACATTATAATTGTCCTCATCCACTATTCACCAGATCTGATATCATAAAACTCTGGATCTTCCCCAAAGTCAAAATGACCATAAAAGGTAAACATTTCCATTTGACTCAAGACATCCAGGCAACCACAACAGTTCAACCAAAGACACTCATGAAAGAGGACTTCCAGAACTGCTTCAGAAAGAGCCAAGAACAATGGGATAAGTGGGTTTGAAGCAAGGGGAGAGTTATTTTGAGAGGGTTAATGGCAATGTGTCTCTTACTGAAATAATTTTTTTTTGAATTTTAAGCATTCACCATATATTTTGATCACACCTCATCTATGCCAGGGAATTTGTAGCGGCAGAAACAAGAAACCCGTTCATCTATTCCAGCCTGTCCTGGGTAGTTGTATTGTAACCTCCACCTCAACTTTTCCACCTGAAAAATATGGAAAATATCTTTGCCCAGCCCTCCTCACAAGAGCTTTTAGGGTTCACCAAGATGATAATGAAAGCATTTCATTGTCCTTGGGAGTACAGTCCTCTACAGTTTTTGTGGTGATGTTTATTCACAACAGAAGACCACATCCTGATAGAAAGCAAAGACAGGCTTTCTCGAAAAAGCTAATCATTAAATTAAGGGTTTAAGATAAAATTGTAATCAAAATATCAAAGGGGATTATTTAGAACATGATAAAAATCATTCAAAAGAAATAACGAATGAGAAATCAAATGCATTTTTTAAAAGATAGAAATAAGACAAAAATGCCTTATTAGATATTAAATACATACAAAAAAACCAGATCGATATCAATGCAAGAAAAGGAAAAGTGAATGGATGGATGGGCCAGAAAGAGATCCATTTTAATCATAAGTCAGTAGGTAAAAGGGAAGTTATTTTGTGAATGGTGTTGAAGTAGTAGTTCTTTGGAAAACCAAACTCATTTTAGAGCTTTACCTCAGCAAATTAAATTCCAACTGATTTGGAGAAGAGAGAAAAACAAACACAACTGAAAGAAAATACCAAATATTTATCTAATCTTTGATGAAGGGAGGATTGATTGCAGAACTATAAAATAAATGGAAACCTCAAAATTTTTTAAAAATAAATTCAACTACCTCAAGCTAAAATTTTTGTTATGCTAAGACATAGAATAGACAATAACTAGCCAGGTATATATAGTACATGCCTGTAAACCAAGCAACTTAGCAATTTAGCAAGACCTTGCCTCAAAACTTAAAAAAAAATAATTTTGGGGGGCCAGGGATTTAGCTCAGTGGTTCCACTGCCTGTCTCGCAAGTGCAAGGTCCCAAGTTCAATCCCCTGTACCAAAAAAGAATAATAATAATTTTTTTAAAGGGCTGAGATACAAAGGCTCTGAGATCAATCCCAAGTACCATTTTTTAAAAAAGAAGGAAAGGAGAAAGGGAGGTATATAATAATAGTTGAATTTTTGACAAAAGGTTGGCATCTTTGATACATATAAAGAATGTCTACAATGCGAAAGGAAAACTGATAGATACAAAAATATTTTATCCAGAGAATTAAAATGAGCAAAAGATCTGAACAGAAAATTCAGAGGAGAAAAAAAGATGAAATTGACTAATGAACACTTAGGAAAACATTCCACTATGATAACTATCAAGTCAGTATACAAATTTGAAGCTATTTCCCATTTTGTGTTCCCTTATGAATAAGCATACTGGGTTCTGTCCTCTCATGCAGTGAAGTGCTGAATGAAGACACGCATTTGGAAACCAAATCGAGAGGGTGTACCAAGACTGTCAGTTTTCATATCCTTTTGATCTAGATTATCCTAATCTAGTCATTCAGAGAATTTATCCTAAGGAAATCCTCCTTTTAAAAACGTACAAAGATATTCATCAGTGTTTCAAATATTTTGAAAATTTTAAATATGATGAGACAAAAAATGACACAATTACTCCATGGGATATTTCACAGCTACTTCAAATTCTTTTTATAAAATGTACCAACGCAGAAAATGTTTATGCTACAATGGAATGTGCGAAAACACCACAGTTGGCAATTACACATTGAAAACAACTGCAATTAGGTAAAATAAAAAATCTAAGTACAAAAATGACTGAAATTAAAAAAAAAAAAACATCAGCAGGGTTTACCTTTAAATGATGCATCACGTGTGGTACTCTCTCATTCCTTTTCTTTCTCCGCATCCTAACTGTCCTCTGTACTGGAAAGAGATTAAGATCTTACGAGCGTATATGCCTGTGTACACATCTGCATATTGGCTTCTGTCCCTGATCAGGTCCTTCGGCGTGCTGCTGTGGGAAATCTTCTCTCTGGGGTACATGCCATACCCCAGCAAGAGCAACCAGGAGGTTCTGGAGTTCGTAACCAGTGGAGGACGGATGGACCCACCTAAGAACTGCCCCGGACCTGTGTATGGCTCCTCTAGGAACATTCTTACTAGTCGCTGAGCGCAGTTTCCCTTTTCAAAAAAGCCACCTATACCATACGTGAGGGGAGATGAAGGGGCAGATGGGCGCCTCAAACAGTAGGCCCCAAAATGGGACTTTAGTGAGATGGGTTCAGTCTTCCAGCCTCAAAAGCAATACCGCCATCCAGAAAAGCCACCCACTGTCTGGCTGGAGGCCTCAGATTCACCGGGCCTACACTCCCCAAGCACCCCTAGGGATCTGGGTTCCTGACTCAAGCCCTCCCGAGTGTCCTTTAAGTATGTCTGTCCCCTGAATTTTCTGCTGTCCTGGCTGGCATCCCTCACCTCCTTCCCACAGGCAAGGCAGATGGGAAATAGAATATTCCACCCAAGAAGTGCCTTTAATCCGGGAATGGAGGGGAATCATTTAACGTAAACTCCAGGATGTCTGTGTTAGAACACTTTAGGAGCACGAGTCCCTTGTTCATCAGCAGGGGGCAGCATACACCAACTACCAGGGCCCTAGATGAGTTACTACCCCGGACAATTTGTGCCACTCTTAGTCCCTCCCATTTAGTACTGGGGAACAGTACCAGGAGAAATGGATTTCGCATCCTTGTGCTGGTCTTGACTTTAATTAGTGTGCTTATTCTTTTAGATACCGGATAATGACTCAGTGCTGGCAACACCAGCCTGAAGACAGGCCCAATTTTGCCATAATTTTGGAGAGGATCGAATACTGCACACAGGTATAATAAACTCTCTCCCCGTGACCACCAGCCTTTGCGCTCTATGGAAATGGCTTAAAAGTCTTAAATGTCTTAAATGTCTTAAAAGATGCCAAGTGCCACAACAGGAAGTAAAAGTTAAACCAGCCAGAGAATAAGATGTATGGTGATAAGAACGAACACTCAGTTAGCTGTGAAATGACCGGCATCTCAGCTGGGCCCTGGGAGACAATAAACACTAGTAACATTCACCTTCTTCACCAGGACACACTGCCAGGCAGGAGTCGTAGGGAACTGATTCGATTCACAAGTACTCACTAGAAGTATGAAGCAGCCCACTCCCGAAGAATTTATAGCCTGACTAGAGAAATAACAACATGTAGAAGAAATAATACACAGTTGCTAAATTGTATGCCCAGCTATATATATATCAGAGTATTAAGAGAATGAAAATTCAAAGTAATCTGGAGAAAGTTTAACATCATCACAGGCACTTATGCAGATTTTTGCCATACCAATCACTTTTTACACATTTCTTCTTATCCTCATCGAAAAACATACATCATCCCACTTTACAGATGAGAATTTTGGCTTGGAGAGGTTGTCCCAGGCACACAGTTTCCTAGCAATCTCACAATCCCTGTGTACAGCCCTTTCCCGCTGCCTTCAGTGGTGACCAAGGTTTCACTTCTCCCCTTGTCTTCAGCAGACCATTATGCCTCCCTCAAGTATATACACGATGGAATACTACTGTGCCATAAAGAAGGGCACATCTGCATCATTTTGAGGAAAATGGATGCACCTTGAGACCATAATGTTAAATGACATAAATCAGGCACACAAGCTTCAATATTGCTTTTCTTATATGAGAAACCCAAAGTATAAATAATTTAAAGAGCTAAAGAAAAGACAGACAAGGGCCAGGGATTTAGCTCAGTGGTTCCGGCACCTGCTCTACAAGCACAAGGTCTCGAGTTCAATCCCCAGTACCAAAAGAAAGAAAGAAAAGACAGACAATAGGAAACAGGGAGACAGATCTTTCATAAGTGGAAAGAGGACCTTGAGATAGATGGAGTGGGAAGGAAAGGTGGGAAGAAAAAGAGAACTGGGTATGTTATGTGTATGCGCCTACTCCCCACAATGAACGTGATCAGTATGTACTTCAAACGTATGTGCATAGAAATGTTTAACTGTAAAGGCGTAGAGGTTATGGACTGGGCCTGCCGGCCTCCTGCCTGACTGCTCTCAGCACCTCCCACAGCCCCCTTCTTTGCCCAGGGGCCCCTGGCTGCCCCTCAGAACTTGGTCGTCAGCTTCTCCCCTTTTCCCCGTGTCTGGTCTCCCCCCTGCCGTAGCCCTCCTGCAGGATTCCTAATTCTGAGGCTATTTCAGAAGAGTGCAACAGTGACCCCACTACCTCCCTAGAAGCCCTCAGGGGGCCCGAGCGGGACACCTTCTCCGAACTGTCGTGACCTCCCGTCCTCGCTGTCCACCGCTGCAGGCCCTGGAGCAGGACAGGTGGACGGGCGTCTTCCTGCCCGAGTCCCCGGGGATTCTTCCAAAGAGGCTCGTGTGATGACGTTTAGGTTGTGACGGCACAGTATAAATGGAATATAGCCACCTGTAAACACCTTCTTTGGGGACTTCTTCTCCAGAGTATGTTAACAGCCCTCTCAAAATCGGGCAGTTTTACACACGAACATTTTAAATTACTCACTGTAGAAAGTAATAATAAACAGGGAGGGAATTAAAGATTAAAAAGTCAGAAGACAGTTATTTTTCGTTCTTAAACTCTTTCAGTGATGAATCTGGATCAGTGTGTTCTGCTAAGCTCAAGTAATGGGGCTTTTTTCTCAATCTGCATGAAACGTTAATGAATTACATTTCCCCAGAGTTAAGCTTTCTTCCACAAATTTCCCTTAAACCTCTGGCAGCTGCTTCTGCTTTTCTGTTATAATCTGTTACCACAAAAGCGATCTAGCACAGTTGTTTGGGTAAACGGTTTTCCTCGTAGCACGAGGGTTTCCTGGGCTCTAGCAAGGGCCCATGGGATCAAAGGGTCCTGAAGATCTAGCGATCCTCACGCCCGACCCAGCCAGGCCCCCAGGGCAGGGAGGACAGGCGGAAAGAGAGGGGAGGGCCAGCCTGGGAGCCAGCGCTCCTCCCTCGCCTCCCTGAAGCGCGCACGCACAAGCACTGGCGCACACTTACTTGACATCACGTACTTTCTCGTTATTTGGAAGGATTTTATTGGGAATAGATGCATCATTTTTTAAAGATTTTTACAGTAAGCCGTTCATGTATGAAATTTGGTCAGATCTGCTCCTCCTGTTCGAAATTCCCCGTGCCCTGGCCCAGCACCCACCCTCCACGGCCTTCGAGGACCAGGAGGAGGCCGGGCTCGCTCCGAGCCGGCGTGCCGTGCTGCGGGTTCGCACCCTCACAGCGCACAGCACTCGACCCCTGCCCCAGGTCGGCTGCGGACCACAGGCGCACGCTGCCTGGGCCTGAGTTTGCGCGGGTCCCTCTGTCCCGCAGGATCCGGATGTCATCAACACGGCCCTGCCCGTGGAGTACGGCCCGCCCGTGGAGGAGGAGGAGAAAGTGCCCGTGCGGCCCGAAGACCCTGAGGGGATGCCGCCTCTGCTGCTGTCTCCCGGGCAGGCTCCGCGGGGCGAGGAGCGCGTCCCGGTGCCCGCGGTGCCGCCGCCCGCGCCCGCCTCGTCCTCCGGCAAGGCTGTGAGGAAGCCCGCAGCTACCAGGGGCCCGGCCGCGGGCGGGGGACACGTGAACATGGCTTTCTCCCAGGCCAACCCGCCGCCCGAGCTGCGCAGGATCCAGGGGTCCAGAAACAAGCCGACCAGCTTGTGGAACCCGACTTACGGCTCCTGGTTTACCGAGAAACCTGCCAAAAAGAACAGTGCTCCAGCAAAGAAGGAGCCACACCAGCGGGGCGGCCTGGGCAGCGAGGGGAGCTGCACCGTCCCGGCCGCCTCCAGCGCCGCCGGCAGATTGCCCGGCGCCTCCCTGCTGCTAGAGCCGTCCTCCCTGCCGGCCAGCGTGAAGGAGGTGCCGTTGTTCCGGCTGCGTCACTTCCCCTGTGGGAATGTCAACTACGGCTACCAGCAGCAGGGCCTGCCTCTGGAGGTCACCACCGCCCCGGGAGCTGGACACTACGAGGACGCCATTCTGAAGAACAAGAGCAACGCCAGCCAGCCCGGGCCCTGAGCTCCATGCTGGCTCACTTCTGTCCCTGGAGCGCCCAAGCCCACAGGGGAGGGGAGGCCACGGCTCCACCGCAAGCCAGACCAAATGTCACTTTCATGTTGTGCCAACTTGTTTTGAAGTGCCACATAAAACGCTGTATGTCCAAAACGCTTTAGAAAGGTTCTGAGCATGGGTTCACTTTATTCTTTCAAAAGAAGAATGTATCCTAAAAACAAGTGACCAATACAAGGCCCAGACTGGTTGCATAAGGTTTTTACGCATGGCTGTTGTGGACTTCCTTACGCTTCTTTTAAACTGTGTGTGCTCTGCTTCAGTGTAGTGAGAACTAGCTGCTTATGTGTCCATAGTGGAAGTCATAGTTTCCTTACCCTGTTGATGTGGACATGAACAATTTGAGGGATGAGGGAACAGCAATAAAGACATGCATTGTAATGACTCAGCATGGAGAAAGACATTCTTTACTTGGAAAAGAAAAATCATAACTTACTGAGTGACACATCACTTTAGATGGTTAGATGCTTTTAATTGTACTGATTCGTTGCCAATTGTAAAAAAAAAAAAAGTCATGAGTAGCTCCATAGTATAGAGAAAATGTATATACTGTATACTCATCTAAATGGAATGCATACAGCCCAAGTGCTTTGAGTATGACAACACACTCGTAGAGATCTGGAATCCACCAACCCTATTAATATACCTCATGCCTTAAGAAAATCCTCCTAAGAGTGAAAAACTGAGTGTGAGGTTTCCCACTGAATTTAAAGCTCAAGACAAATTGTTTTCAAACTTCCCACTACTTCAAATCTGATAATTTAGAAACAAAAATTCTGAGCAGCAGTAATACATCAGAGCATAGAAGCATATCCATTTATGGGCATTTGTGTCAATACATCTTAGGACAAAACTTTCTAACAGTTTCAGTCCTGAAACCCACCAAACTAAGTTCCTCCTTGCAGTGGCAGATGGGGTCACAGGAGGAATAGCCCCTCAGGAGTCCTAGGGAAGTGCTGATGCAGTATCCCTCCTTCTCCTGTTCACCTGAGTTTTCTCCCCCTTCCTCATGCGATCCCAGCATATTGGGAACACAAATATGATGAGACATTCATAGCATAAGTTCTATAGCAACAAATGCAGATTAAACAAAAGATTTTCCTGTAGGTAGCAATGGGAGAGAGGTTTAGGAGCTCAGAGAGTTGAGGTGACACTGACATGTGATAGTGAGGTTCTGAACCTGGTTTTCACAGATGAAATTTATTTCTATGAAACTGAAATGAGAACCCATTAAATTTTACATGCAAGAATGTTTTTATGCCCAAATGTTCATTTCATTCTTTCTTTCTGCTTCTCCTCTGTTCTCATGTCCAGTTTCTTTTCTTTCCTGGTGGCGGCTAGGCCACAGCATCTCTTTGGGAGGAAAATCATTTTTAGTTACTTGTTAGGTATGAAGCATTCCCAAGCAAAAGAGCTGCGTGTGTGTGTGTGTGTGTGTGTGTGTGTGTGTGTTTACGCGCCTGTACCTTTCTTCCTGCGTTCTCAGTTGGATCTACATCAAAAGGGTCACTTTGTAGGTGAACCATTGTGTTCTATGACGATACCAGACAACTCTTCATTTCCCTTAAGGCAGATGCCTGGTCCCAGAGTTGGTTCTGCATATTCATAGATGCACCAGTACCCTAGGGACCACTTTTCCTCATCTGACTAATTACCAAAATATTTTTGTCAGACATGGATGAAGTGGCAACATCAGTGGACTCATCTCTAAATATCTGTATCAGGAAAGTTTTGGTTCATGCCACATTTGTTTTAAGTTTTGGTGCGAAAGTAGTCTAAATACATAAGCATTATTCCAGCTCACAAATTACCCAAAGGGGCTGTAGAATCTCACTTTGAGAAAGCATTAAGACAGAGGAGCTTTCAGTAACTAAGAAAACAATTCCATTTTATATTTGTAACACCAGTAACCAGTTAAGCAGGAAGTGTGTCACACAGATAGTCAACTTCTCATGGTAATTAATGAGGGGGAAATCCCGGTTCCTTTCCTCTCTACAAATTCAGGTTGTGCCTTACTACCACTAAGACTGATTTGTTGCTTTTCTTTAACTGTCTTCATTGTCTCTCAATGTTATGTAAGTGATAGTCAAATCTTATCAGCCTGTGTACATGGATAAGTAAATAAACAACTCCACACTGAGATATGATGACCTCAAGATCCTTCATTGAAGCTGGTGTGACCCCATCAGCATGAGATCATTTTGGACTACTGTCCACAGAATATCGCTCCAGTCATATGGCCACAGCAATTCACACAGATGCTATGGACTAGAATTCATTAATTATGATAGCAAGTTCCATCTAGAACATGAACAGGCACATTTAAAGTTTGTAGGAGTCATGTTAATTAAACCATAAGCTAGTATGATATAATTATTTATATTCCAGATCTATAAAAAAGCCATGAGGAGGCCACAAGTGTTCCACAGAGAAACCAGCAAATTGTGAGGAGTGATTAGCTTGTTAATATGTGGTGCCTCAAAGTTACAGCAAATCAAACTACCAAGAATACTTTTTTTCAGCTTCATGTGCACTTATCCCATCATTTTTGCCACTTTCTGAAACAGTTCTGGAAGTCCTCTTTCTTGTCTTCCATTGTGCTCTTATGGTTGACTCAATGTCCTGAGTTGATTCAAAATGTTTATCTTTCATGGTCATTTTGACTGTGAGGAAGAGCCAGAAGTCACATGGTGCCAGATCTGGTGAATAAGGTGGATGAGGACACATCACATTTTTTTTTTACAAGCCTTTCACACGTTTGATCACAATTCACTAAGAACCAAAGGAGGGAGGCCGGGGATGGAGCCAGCACCTGCCTGGCGAGCGTGAGGTCCTGAGTTTGATCCCCAGTACAAAAAAAGAAGAAGCCTTTCAGAACTGCGTCAGACAGTGGCAAGAACAATGGGGCAAGTGTGTTTGAAGTATGGGGATATTCTGAGAGGAATGAATGGCAATGTGTCACTCCAATACAACTTTTAAACAAATTCTAAACATTTGCCATGTCAGGGGAGGATGCAAGCTATGAAAGCGCACGCATCCCTCCTGCTTGGGCAGCTCCAGCTATGCGAGGCAGGTGGGTCACTGCCCAGGGTCCTTGCTCTGGCCTCTGTAGCTCTCATACCACCACACCCAGCCTCTTGGCTCTTCCGTCTGTGCCACATTCTGCTTCAGCTACTGCTTAGTTTTAACACTTGTAACTAAGTTCCAAGAACACCGGAAAGAAGCTATGTGATCGATCTGAGTAATTCTCTTTGAAAACCTTTTTTGGTGTCTCCACATAACACTTGGTGAACCCTAGGGCTGTAAGACATTGTGTAACTGTGGATTAACTATTCTTTAAAATATAGAGCCATTATATCTAAATACACAGGGAAATGCGAAAGACTGCAATTTTAATAATTTTCTCTAATAATATAGCAAGATCAAACTTCCTATGAGCTTTGCAGACCTAAAACAAGATGCATGTGAAGTGAGGCTACACTAATAGACTTCCCACAATAAGATTCATAAAACTGTATGAAGTGTGCTGGTGTCAATCTGTCTTTACTTAGTGACGTTTTAAATGCGTCCCTAAAGAATCCAAAATTTGACTTTGCTGATTTCATTGCCGCAGATGGGTCCCCATGTCATGTGAACACACAGAACCAAACCAGCCTTCTCCAACCCTGAAATAAAGAGATGACTGAGAACAAACAGAAAGGCTGCTATTAAGATTCTGTTTTCATTTGGTGTCCTGAGCAGGTGTATTTAATTTTTAATGCACTTCTTAAATACAAAGCTATCGTTCTAGCTTAGCGAGGCTGACATGAAAAGTTTGACTATTAAATGCAATTAGTGGGGGGAGGGAGCAGCTGAGTGAACTGTGACTACAGAGCCGAGGACCGTCTTCTCTTCCTTTCCGCATTCAGGGCCTGTAACAAGCTGCTGCCCTCCTCATCACCAGTCTCCTCCTCATCCCAGTCTAACCTCAAAGTACTGCACACGCCAAGGTTTGTCTGTGGGCCTTCCCACACCCACTTCTCGTCCCTCCTGACACACCCCCAGCTCTCTCTCGCTGCGGGGAGTAACCGTCAAGGCCTACTGTCCCCTTGAAATTGATCGCTCACAGTCAGCTTTCCCTCCGGCACTGACCGCCCTTCTCGAGGCTCGTCTCAGCTGGCACTAGTTGAGACTCACTCTTCCCACACTAACTCACACGGCCCCTTAGCAACGCTGTCTAGAATATGTGCATTTTATAAGACACAATTTGCCAGTATAGATGAGGGTCGGGCCGTTAGGGTTTCAGGCGATCGTGTCATCTTGGAGGGCTGAGCACTCGTCAGTTAGCAGCAAGCAGACTTGGTGGGAGCTGAGACCACAAGGACCCACCATGGGACTCGGGGACGTACTTAAGGACCCACTTTCTCATTTGAAAACGAAGGGTTTTCCTCAAAGGCCCCTTCCTACTCTGAGGTCCATGAACCTGGGGAAGATCAACCCCAACCTCAGTAGGACATAGGCAGCAGTACACGATTGTGTGTTTCCCGGACCCTGACTCGATTCATTCAGAGCCAAAGCCAGTAAACTCAGGGTGCCATCCTGGTGAACCAAATGGTACGCTCAGAATGTAGATCCGAACATTTAGTATCAGTTCCCTGGTTCCTCGGATTTCCTTAACCAATCACATCATTCCCAGAACAAAAGGAAGTCAGCCAGAATGGCTTCCTGAAAGAAGCTAAGTCCCTTTGATGTTCTTCATGCCATCAGTGCCACACTTTCTTTAAGTGCAGCCTTCTTAGCAAAGTTAAACCCTAAATCTTATCATTGGAAGTTTATCTCCTACCACCATGAATATCTGATGAGAAAACTGATGCCCTCCGTTGGCAGTCAATTTGCACCTCCTCACAGCGCCCATTCCCAAAGAGCAAGGTGGCAAAGTCCAAGGTGTTTGGGACCAGGAGGTGCCTGGATTCTGGTGTTGCTCAGCAGGTATGTCCGGGTGCCAATATGATGGGGGGTTCACTGAGGAGTCCTCTCTCCAGCTACCGCTGGGTCCGAGTACACCCCTCTTTTCAGGTGCACAGAGATACCCACTGCCACTGACGGCAGTTTTTGGAAACCTGTTGTGAATAATAGAGCTTCACTGTGGATCTGGAAATGAGGAATCCAAAAAGACAGCCAATTCACACGTCCCGCAGAGATAAGACTGTGAAGACTGCAGACAAAATTTCCTACATTTTACTCCACCTAATAGTTGAGGAAAAAATAATTTAAATCTTTTTGCATTATTCCCCAAATAATATTTATGTAGTATTTCGCAGTTCTCAAAAGAAATATTCTTAAAGACAGAAACTCATTTTCCCTGTGTATGTACCAATAAGCAGCTGGTGATGTTTTATGAAGGATAAGAAAATAAAGTAGAACATTACACTGAATTTTCCTCTGACAGACACCAGGGACTGTGAAGCGAGGCCACAGAATCTCAGGCAGTTTCTTAATTCCCTGACTCTGTTCCCTTCAAGAAATAGAAAAGATCACTTGGGAAAATTTCAATATTTTTACCTGATATATATAATCTGTTGGAATTCTCATTAGAAATCCATTTTTACTAGTAGGTTCAAAAAAATTAAAATCTTTTACTTTGCTCTTCTGCTCTGTAATGTTCTACATACTTGCTCTATAAAGCAAAATCTGCTTCCTCTGCATCAGTATGGACTTGTTATGATCATTAAAATCATTTTAAAGTCCATTTTGGAGGTTTTTTCCTCAAAGATACTAGATAGTAACATCGAGCCTTCACAGCAGGAACTGCCAGGCCAACCAGTGTCATTAACTGTGTCAACTGACTTTAAGGTCAATCTCAGAAGTCCAATCACAGAAAATACAAAGAATGGCGTGAAGCCGTGTGTATAATCGTAACGTGATCCAACTCCATGTCAGTCTGACTTGATTGTTCTGTGAAAGATAACAATTAGTTCAGTTTTCAGAGAGGCGAATCCACTCCGAGCCAAGTCCTGCAGAGCCTGCTGGGCTGGATCTGAAGGCTCCTGACTCCGCAAGGCTGGCTCCGGTCAGGGACCACAAAGGCTTTGGATACTGAAGCCTCCCATGCTGCAGAAATTCCTCAATTCCAAGCTCGGAGCGAGACAGGCATTTCTGAGACTCCCTATTCAATTTCATTTACCCAGCTGAAACAACTCTGATTAAATACTCGGTTCTGAGGCCAGATTCTTCCTGACAGAGATCTCCAGCAGGGTGTGTGCGCACATAGTTATCTGTGCAGAAACAGACTCCAACACCGGGGCTCATTCAGGGGTTTTAGAGCTGAATTTAAAACATACTTAACAGCCTTTTTAAATGACACCGGTGAACAGTGAGAACAGGTTTTACTTTGATAGCTTCAGTTAAAACGTTTAAAATATCTTTATACCATTCAAAGCTCCCTGCCCTTCCTCAGCAGCACCTTATTTGAAAGGTACAGAAATGATGAGATCTGCTATTTATCATCATGAAAACTCTATTCCTTCGGGGACATTCTAAAGAGGGAAAAGGTGCCTCGCTGCTGCTCTCATGGACAGCGATGAGACAGAAACAGTTTCATTTCCATCAACATAATGCAACTATATTAATGTGTGTCTGCCCTAATTCCTCCAGATATACTTTCCCCCTCCGATAAAAAGGAACATTTGCAAAAATTTTGGTAGAAAAAAATCTTTTTGCATACGCAAAGGCACCACATTCCATTGTTCTAAAATCATCAGACATTCCCTAAGTGTTACTTGGTCAGGCTATTCACAAGCTCCACTTGGAAGGCTTGCTGTATATTCAAGCAGCTTGTGTGACACTGTAAACAAGGGTCTATGAGGTACAAATAATCACTGAAAATGTGATAATACGAGTTTTATATTAACTATTGTACCTATATTATAAATAAGTGTAGTGGAGCAAAGGACACAACAAAATTTTTTCTTGAAGTTCTACTGACTTGCAATGTGTTGATATACATTATTCTGAATCAATTGGTCAGATAACAAATATCCAGTAGTTACAATTACTAGATCTGTTTCTCAAATAAGAATGATTCTTAACATGCTAGGTTTTTAGCCACTGGCCAATCAGATTCAAATAATATTATCATACATCCTAAAGAAGGAGCCTCAAAATGAAACTACAATAAAATATGTAGCATGAGAGACCAATGTTTTGCACACTTGCACACCCTAGTGTCTGGTTTGTTCCCACACATATGACTACGTTCTCTAAATCATCTTCATATCAAAACAGAAATTCAAAGTGTCCCAGAGAAACAGAGAGGGAGCTGTCTCAGTGACCTACTGTGCTTTCCTCCCGTTTCTCCCCTACCACTCAACATCTTTTCATTTCTCACCTGTAGCTCCTCAAGAGTAAAGCTGTTGCTACTGGATCCAAACCTTCCTTGTCGTGTCACCTCCTAGCTAGTTAAATTTCCCTGTCCCAGGGCCCAAGCTCTCAAGGCCACCACTCGCGCTAGCCAGACAGCATCTGCGTTACACACCCAGTGGCGCTCACTGCCTCTGTTTGCTGAGCATCTGCTGGGTGCCAAGTATTATTCTAAGTGTGAGGATAAAGTGGTGAACAAAACAGTCAAAAATCTAACCCTTGACCTAGTGACAGTGGGGAAAAAATAAAAGTTAAGCATGACCAGGGGTGGTAAATGCTAAGGAGAAAAAGCAAGAGGCAGACAAGGAGCAATTGGGAGAAGATGAACTCACACCAATGCCTCCTCTCAGTCCACCCTCAGCAGTCACCTGTGTGTTGACAGTTTTAAGCAATTAAAATTATTCCCTAAAAATTATCCTAAAATAAAAAGGCCAAGTGTTTGATCCCACCCTAAATAAGCAAATGAAATCCAACCTATATAGAAGAAAGTTAAGGAATCCTAGAAAACTAGAAACACATCATCAAGAAAACCCAAGTTTACTTGTTGAACAAAAGTATGATACCTTGTAGGATCTTTTCTAGGGACAGGACAACTCTAAGCAGTTACTATGGCGGGGGAAGGCTTGGAGCATGAAGACTCTAGTTAGGGAGAAGAGAATTGAAGAGAGGGTAAATGACAAGATACCATTTCAAACCAACAGCTTCCCTTTTTATTAATGCTCAAAAATGAACTTTGACATTTAATAAGCAAAACACAGATGAAAACATCTAATTTGTATGTATAGTATATGAAACACAAATCCTATATGGCTTTAATAATCCCAATCTTAAATATAAAGAGAACAACTGGTTCTTTGACCTCAAAAATAAATTCAGTTGGCATTACTGCTTTTAACTTATTTCATATTTAACAGAATTATGACACCCAAGTTCATTATAGTCATGGATTTCATGTTAAGATATAAATAGAGTTTTTAAGAAATAATTTATATAATAAAATAAGTTTACTTTCTAATTGCAGCACAGTCATTTTCTTCAATCAATAAAAATATTCCTTGATTATAAAGCAGCCTTATTTTGCAAATGTATTTCAGGAAAATAACTTCAGTAGTATTTGAAATACCACACTTTAAAAAAAAGGCAACAGAGTGACAGAATTTAGATTTAAAATAGTATATTGCAAAATAGCTTAGCATATATTTCTAAGCACAAAGCAAGCTCCATTCTGAAGGATACTTTTGGTCTTATAAAGCAAACTCTTCCAATATTTCTGTGGTAAAGTCTAAATATTTACAATAAAAGATAAATCTTTACACATACAGGATGGAAACTTCAATACATTTCCAGAAGACAAATGTGTCATTATCACATCGCTCTGTGGTGAAGCTTAGCTTAACAAATGCTTGAGAAGGGAAATGACGACAGCCCTGCTCCGTAGCCCTGTAACAGGCTAGGCTGCCTTCTGCAGTCACTGGAAACACAACTCCAGGTGCATGAGCAATAGAACAAGAAGTCCAGAAAACACACACATCTACACGAATAACTCATGCACCCTTCCCACCACATCTGAATTTGTTCTCTTGTTAAATACATTTTTAAAAAATGATTTTCAAATTCCAGGAGGAAAGGATGGCAAATTCTCCACAAATATGAAAGTGCATCATGTTTTGAAAGTGCAGTGTGTTACAAATATGTCCAATAAAGAAGTTAAGTAAGTATGTGCAAAAATTCTGACTTGAGTGTGTAACCCTTAATCATGGGCTTTCTGTAGTTTATGTGATACAGATGAGGCAGGTGAGCAACAGAAGAAAAATCTTGGCTCACACACTTCATACAGAGGAAAGACACTGAGCCACAAGTTAGGAGGCCCCATTCTTCCTTAGCTGTTGCTCGGCTGGCTAGCAGCCCTGGGCCAGACAGACTCCATTTCACTACTCGGCCGGGCCAGAGGCAGAGCCAGACAACCCTCCAAGCTCATCCACCTCCTGCGTTCTAGCTTCACATGCGCCATTCCTAAAATGGCAAGTGATTTTACCAAAAAATATTACAAATACGCTCGTCACAGACCCACTTATGCTCTTAAGGTACTTTTAAAAACACACAAAGAAAAATTTAAAAAACACTTAACAGAAAGAAGTCACGTGAACATTATGTTCACCAAAGCTGATGAAAAAAACCTTCCAATTATGGCACTATGAAAAATACATTATGTGCAAAAATGAAACACAATGAGCAAAGTAACACATCAATTGATCACCTAATGGCACATTTTTATGAGTCCTGGAGTTCTCTTGGGAACTAAGGCTTCAGAAGCCTTAAAAACTTGCTTATTTTGAAATTGTTTTTAAAAGAACCATGATTCTCCAGAGTTCATACTTGTGGCCTTTTAAAGGTATCTCTCTGAACTGTTATAATAGTTTCTGTGAAGATAACTATACTGCATTTTCAAAATTTAAATACTGGCCAAATAAACCATTTGTCATGGACTCTATTTTACACCATGTATAAGAGAAGGGGCGGGGGACATGGGGGGCGCTCACTACTTCAGAACTTTAACTATTCTCATCCACGAGCTTTGACCCATTAATTCCCCGGTAGGTCACTCTGCTTGGCCTCACCAAAACTCCGTGGTTTGGCTTACAGGTGAAGTAGCGCTTGTCACCCACAGTGCCATCGTTTCTCCCCTTGGCGCTTCGCAGCTCCAGTCCGAGCCAGACACCCGACGCGAAGTCCGTGGGGCCCACGTACCTCACGGTACCCATCTCGTTCGAACTCGTGAGCAGGACGTGGGAGCCCTCGTGCAGCTTCACGCTCCCCTCCAGGCCGCCTGCGGCCGCGGCGCTGCTCCAGCTGCGGCGCAAGGCCGCCTTTGACCTGTGCGGAAGGAAGAAAGCAGAACCGTGCTGAGGTGCAAAGCCACGGAAGGCGCCTTACCATGTGCGTCCCACTGTCAGTCACAATCATTTTAACTCCAAAACAGGACACTCCTTATGACTACAATTTGACCTTCCTAAATTCTCAATAACAAGAATACAATGTACTTTTAAATTCTTATCTCCAACGTGAAATGCATAAATACAACACTAACCAAGGCAATATGGAATACCCGTGAGAAGCGGTGTAAATCTTTACTGAAGATATGCTATGCAAAGGAAAAAGTTAAGAGGAACATACATGTGTTCTTCAAATTCGCTACAAATGGCTATTGTTTTGCAACCTGACAAAACTGTAATTTTCACATAATGACAATAAACTATCATTTCCTAAGCACTTAACATAGGCCTAAGACCTCACATGCATTATTTCAGTCTCACCAAAATCAGCAGAGAAGGTCACGTTTCCTTCCTTTCAACAGAAAGGGAACGAAAGGCTCAAAAAAAGAAAAGGAACAAGCTCAGCTACCAGCCTCAGGTCAGACAGCTCCAGGCTGTGCAAGCAGAAAAGCCAGGACCTCACAACCGCCCTGAGTACCCACAATGAGGAGAGCTGGAAAATGGTAAGATTTAGATGGCTGTTATGTTACACTGTAAAGTTATAATAGTTCAAACGGTGTGGCTCTGGCACAAGAATACACTTCTCACTGACACAGAAAAGACATTTCAGAAAAATTCAAAGTACACATAATTATAATGTGATAAAAAGTAAAATTTCAATACAATGAAAAAGGAGTAAACACTAAGGGAGGCTGTAAAAATTAGTTATTTGGGAAGAAATACATGATTCTTAACCTCTCATTAAAATTCTAAAAACTCAAAAATAAATTCCAAATAAAGTGTTGATGCATACATTTTTTTAAAAGAAAGAACTAGGAGAAAGTTAAACTGGGTATTTCTCTTATCTCAAGAAACACACACATGAGCTGGGGAGGTGTGAGGAACAGAAACAGAGGCAAACATGTACTAAAAGTCTGGCATCTAGCCAGGCAGGGTAGCACACAGCTATAACCCCAGCACTCTGAGAGGCTGAGGCAGGAGGATGGTAAGATAGAGCCCGGCCTGAGCAGCTTAGTAACCTAGGAAGACTCTGCCTCAAAATAAAAATGAACTGGGGATATAGCTCTGTGCAAAGGCTGAATTCAATACCTCAAAAAAAAGTTTGACATCTATTAGTTAAGTTGTGATTCTTTATTATTATGACATAATATGATATAATAATAAATGGAGGGTTGTTTTTTTGTTGTTGTTACCAGGGATCGAACCTGGGACTTTTTGCTTGTGAGGCAGGCAGTGACACCACTGAGCTAAATCCCCGGCCCTAATAAATGGAATTTTTGAAGTGCAGTTTGAAAAACACTGGAAAAGTTACAGTGATTAAAAGCATTAGAGAATATGAGATTATGTTTATGATGTATTAAGGGGGAAAGCTTTCTAAAGGACATGCAGAGTATGACTCATCTAACTTTGCTAAAACATTCAGTTACATGCATTAGAAAAAAGTTGGAACAGAGCTAGGAGTGGTGGCACAAACCTATAATCTCAGCACTCTGGGAGGCTGAGACAGGAAGTAAATTCAAGCCCAACCTAGGCAGCATAACTAGATTCTGTCTAAAAAAAAAACATAAAAAAGGTCTGAGGATATAACCCATTGTAAAGATCCTGGCTTCAATCTCCAGTACTGCAAAATGAATGAATGAATGAATGAATGAATGAATGAAAAGTTAGAAAAGTATATACCAACATGTTAATAGTCATAATCTCATCTAAATGACAAGATTACAGATGATCTTTATCTGCATTTGGCTTTAATTTTCCAAACACTGTATAATCAACTTTCATACACAAAAAAGCTTAAAAAGAAAAAAAACAAATAATTCAGAATCTAAGCCAAAAATGAATGATTTGATTAAACACTTAACACTCTAATCAAATTAATTCTGGTTGAAACTTACGTCGAAGCTCAAAAGCCCAGAGAACTGAGAAACTCAAAATTACTGCCATGTTTGGGGACTACATTTACTCAAAAACTGGCCACCTAGGAAATGGCAGGCATGGGGCTAAGCTCTAGAATTTGTAAACAACAACCAATAAAATGTGACAAACTGTAAGAAAGACTGTGTAAGGTATAGTGTCCACAAAAGAGGTAGAAATCTCCAAGGGAAGGCATTTCAGAGGGGAAGTGACAACTGTGCTAACTAGAAAACAAGGAGACAGAAAAAGGAAAGCAGAGAGCATCACGTGAGCAAAATACAGGTGTTACTGTTTGTTTTACTCTTGTCTGGAAAGCACAGATAGTTTAGAGGATGGTTTCCCTTGTGAGGATTCCGGTGCGCGAAGGCAGGAAGCACAGGCACTAACCATGCAGGCTCAATCTGCAGTGCCCAATCTGCACCAGGGCTTAGAATTCAGGCAGAAAACAGCACATGATTGAAACCCTGGCCCCTCTGGCAGCGGGACTGCAGGAGCTCGACCTAGTCGCTCCAGCCTGAGCTGACCCCGGGCCCACAGGCTGGGCTCCACACACGGGCACACCACTGCCGTGTAAGCAGAGGTTCCTGACAACAGGGAGAGGGGCTGAAATCAGAGGGCACCGATGGTGACAGCAGAGAGAGGATGTACACTTTGTGCCCGGCAGGCCTCTGTGACAACCACGTTGCTATCCAAGCTCACTCTCTTTACTACTCAAATTATTGGTATGAGATGTATATGGAATTCTAAGGGCAGAAGAGTTGCTTCCAAGCCCCTCTGTCACTTTTTCCTCTGAATGAAAGAGTTCTTTTTATTTTTACTCAAAACAGGCAAGTGTGCTACCCCTTCCTGCTGTCTTACCCGCACCTGCTGTCATATCATTCCCACAGTTCAGCCTCTTATTTTCTGCCCCTCATTTCCCTCCCTGCCACACGTTCTTCCACTCGCCACCATCTCGACGCTGATACTGCTCGCACTCTCCCTTCAGAATCTGTTACATCCTGGTGGTATCTTCTTAGTAACGTGTTGCATTCAACCTAAGAACTCCTGAATATTTTCAATTAACTGGAGCATACAGTGACTGTTCTTCAATGCTTTAGCTACTCAAGCAAGACCAGCTTCAAAAGTGACAAAATTGGTGATGGTTTTGAATAGTGTACTCTTTTTTTTTTTTTTGGATCAGGGATCCAACTTGGGTCCTTGCTGTTGCAAGGCAGGTAACGGAATCACTGAGCTAAACCCCCCGCCCTGAATAGTGTACTCTTTAAGGGCAAGTGGGAACACTTTGGAAAAAAATAATTGTAAGAGTACCTTAAGCAAACAGGCCTTACATTTCTTCCAAGTATTGCTCACCCTATTAAATTAAACCTTTGATTAATTCAGTAAAGAGTTTAAAATCAATTCACCCTACTAAATAAAAACACAAAATGTAAATTCCTCCAACTTTTATTAAGACTCCTAACCTCTTAGAAGAGAAAATATATGCAATGCACTATTTTTAGTCACTTGTGACATTTTTAATTGAGCTTTCAAAGGAGGAAGAATTCAATACACTGATCACACCTTCTCTCTTACGTGTTAAAATTCTACCAAGCAATGTACAAGATAAAAATTCCACTTCTCTTCTTTCACAGAATCTCATCTTGTTCATCTTGAAAGCCGTTTTTCTAAATCTTCTCAATACTCACTTGGCAAAAGCATTTCTCCTGTTAATCTCTTTTTGGGAAGAAGCAGAAGTTGTGCTAAAACTTCTCCTAAAACCTAAATATGAAAATTAAGGTTAGAAGAGGAAAATAAATCACACATTTTCAGTTCTTACTGAAAGTTCTCTTTTATCATTTCTTCTATAAATGTTCTATGATATCAAAGTTTCTTTAGATAAAGAAGACAAGTACATATACAGAATATAATTGTAGTTTAGATTTCTTGACAGATTTTTATCTTTACTTTTCTGATCAAACTACATTCACATAGGAATAAGGTAAGATTATGATATTACTTCTGGAGATCTTACTCTATGATTCCTGGAAAATACAATAAAACTTAATCATATACTGAAAAGGCTATTCCATTTATTATAATCCATCTTACAATCTTGACAATCGTATGAAAAAAAGGCTAAAATTCGTTTTTAAAACATTATCATTAAAGGTATCCATCCCATTTATAAAGCATTAAACAATAAGCTTCAGAAATCATGATTGTCACCATCACCATGAAGAGAGTTTAAAAAAAAAGACTTCACAGAAGGTAAATTTTTAAAAAGGAACAGGATTTCCAGTGTTGGCAGTCATGACAGACTACACATGCTAAAAGAATCTCTTGATGGAAGAGAATATAATTTCATACAATTGTAACTTTAAAAAAAAATACTATTAAGTTGACATAGTAGTACAATTTCAAAGAGGCTAAAAAGCAAAAAGAGAAACCATGGAGGTGACTAGCACCAAGCTATTGCTATCTTGTAACATAGGGTTTCCGCTCCTTCTAGGAACGAGGACCCCTGCCTGCCTGGCTGCACAGGAAGGAGTGAGGCCCTGCCCTGTGGGCACTCACAGAAGACTCCAGATGAAAGGAGGGCATGCTCAGTATAATCATGAGAAACAAAGGAAAGGCAGTTTCAATGAAGAGAAAGGAAAGTGGCTTGTGTCAACTTTCATGCTTAGCAGAAGGTCAAATTTTCTCTCCTCATAATTTGCGACTATGAGTTAAATTCATGTTATCTGTGTAATACAAAAAAATTGCAGAGACTACAAATTAAAGTAGTTTCAGGTTGGCAGTGCTTCCAGGTGACTGGCAGGAGTAAACACAATCTCTGGAGACATCAACACAGGCCTCAGAGAATTCTCATGGACAAAATTCTGAGTAAGATAAGCATCTCACAATAATACACTACAAAAATCCCAAGGAAAGAAAGTGCCATGAGTTAGGCACTACAGAAACAGACAGCAGACTCAGACTCTCAAAGGCTTCAGACACTGAACTGCTTCACACAAAATAAAAGACTTAAAGTATTTCAAGACATAAAAGAACTTGAAAATTCAGACAGATAAGTGATGGTTAGTAACAAGCAGATTTGCAAAGAAAAAAAGAAAACTTTATAATTAATAAATTTGTGGCTAGATTAAGCAGCAGAATTAACACAGCTGACAAGAGAATCAGGAAATACATAGAAGGCTAACTCTGAAGATATTGGAATGTGATCCAGAAGGACAAGTTGTGAAACATGAAAAAAGGTAGGGGAAAGAAAATGTGAAACTAATACACAGAGTTTCAAAAGGAGACAATAAAGAGAAAGGAGAAGAAATATTCAAATGTAATTCTATAAAGAGTTTTATAGAATTAATCAAAGATATCAACTGTTAGATCCAGGAAGACAGTTCATGCCAAACAAGGTAAACAAAAAGAAATCTCCACCCAGAAATATCATAAGAAAACTGTAATTCAAAGGGATTAGAGATCTTTGAAAACAGCCAAAAAAAAAAAATTAAAATGATAAAATCACCACAACAATAAGGATTAGTTAGATTCACAGCACAGAAGTCAGAAAACCAGAGAATGATACAACAAGGTTCAGAAAGAATTATTTTTCAATCTAAACATTTAAGCCCAGAAAAATCATCACAGGAAAAGGCAAACAAAAACTGATAGACTGTACATGAGGAAAAACAAAATGATCAGAGTAGAAGTTGTGGGGATTAATAAAGACTCTAGTAAATACATGATTATAGTTTAGATGTAAAATGTCACTCAAAAGTCTCATATTTAGAGGTAGGGCTTTTGGAAGGTGATGGAATCATGAGAGTGCTATACTTATCAGTGTTATCAACCACAGTTCATAGTGGAATGCGCTATTGAGAGGTGGGGCCTGGTTGGAGGTGGGTCACTGGGGGTGTGACCTAGAAGTATGTATTCCTGTTCCTGGCTCCGCCCCCCTCTGTTTCCTGACTATTATGGGTTGAACAGCTTTCCTCTGCCATGCTCTTCTACTAAGTTTCTCCCTTGGAGCCACTAACTATGGACTGAATCTCCTGAACCATGAACCAAGTTAGACCTCTCCTTTAAGTTACAAGCATCAGGCATTGTGTCCCAGAAATGGAAAAGGTAACTAATATAATGAATGTTAAATAAATTATTACTATATAAAACTTGATAATGTCAAATATACAGGGAAAATAAAACAGAAATAAGACAATACCACTTCTAAAGATTTTCTGATATTTGGGAAAGGATAAGAATGAGAGTAGATTTTAGGGCCAGGGATTTAGCTCAGCGGCCCCATGCCTGCCTTGCAAGCTCAAGGTCCTGAGTTTGATTCCGGGTACCAAAAAAAAAAAAAAAGAATGAGTAGATTTTGAAATGTATATTAAATTATCTACAGCAATCACTAAAATGTTCGTTCATAGTATGACTTATACACAAGTAAAAAGGGGTAAATGGAATGGATAAAAAGCGGGTAAGGATATAACCATAAGTCAAGAGAAGAAAACCATTTATTATGCACAAAAAATGGATCAAATAGAAAGCAAAACAGCAAAAATACTATCACTAAAATATCAGTAATTATAATAAATTTAAATGAGTTAAACTTTTACATTAATGGTATTGCCAAATGATATTTTTTTTAAAAAGTAAAACTCAACCAATTATATTTTCTTTGGGAAATAGTCTAAAAGCATAATGACAGAAAGGTTACAAATCAATGGATAGAAAAAGATATTTCAGGCAAGTACTTAACCAGAAGAAAGCTGGTATAAGGTAAAAAGAATTATCATAAGAGCAATACCATTTATAGTAACACCAAAATAATTAAACATGTAAGTATAAATCTAGCAACATGTACAAGTCCATGTGAGGAAAACTATAAAATTTTGATTAAAAAAATCAGAAAACAGATACAGTGGCACTCCTTATCCTCAGGAGACGTGTTCCAAGATGCCCAGTGGATGCCCGAAACCATGGACAGTACCGAATCCAATACTGTGTATACAGTACTATGTTTTTTTCCTACACACACATATCTAGGATGAACTCGCACCTTTTCACTTGAGGCACATTTTCCTCTTTCACATATCTGAATCTTCAGCATTCTTCTTATATCTAGTTCCATTATTAAGTAAAATTAGCATTACTTGAACACAAGAACTACAGCAACAGTCAATTTGGTAACCCACAGAGGGCTACTAAATGACCATGAGGCAGGCAGCACATACAGCATGGTTATGCTAGATAAAAGGGTGATTTACATCCTGGTCAGGACAGAGCAGTACAGCATAAAAGTTCATCGTACCACTCAGAATGGTGCACAATTGAAAACTTATGAATTTCTTCATTTGCAACTGTTCTCTAAGGAGTATTTGTTGTTTACCTCCATGAGCATGTGGCTGACTGGGAGCTGCAGCTTACATCTGCTAACTAATGGTCTAATGGACATGGAGCAAAAGACTTGGTAAAAAACAACACAAGAGGTAGAATAAAAGTGCAAATGGCTCAAGTCCTGACAACTAAGAAAAGAATGGAGCAAATGGTCCTGAGAGGATTCCACTGAACTCAACAACATTGGGGCCAAGGGGGTCGTGAAGTAACAGTGTCAGTGTAGGGCCAGAGATTCTGTGCAAGGAGCTGACAAGTAGCCACAGGCAGAGCATCAGAGCACCTGATCAGAGCTTTATGGTCATTGAGCCTTCTATAGCTAAAGTATGCTCCTCAATACTATTATTTTTAAATTACTGAGTACAAATTTCTCAAATAATATTTTTGAAAGAGTAATGTGTATGAAAACAATTAAATTCAATGTAGCATAATGAAGAAAGAATTGTTTTTAAAAATTATAATTATCTATAGTTTCTGAATAAAAATTCTTCCAAATTGGAAATGTAGCATAATAAAAAAGAGTTGACAAACAACATACATGATCACCAATATGTTATACTGATGTGCAGAGGAATACTTTTTAAATGGTCCCTTTGAACATATAATTTTATAGAAAATATACTCTTTAAGTATCCATGCAATCTTTCATCAGCACTATATTTATATCACACTAACAGAATTTTATAAAACTTCCAATAAGCTAAATTTGCATGTTTTCCATGCATATGCTGTGTAAAATCTACATAGTATTTAAACTTTTACATAGTCTTCTTCAACAGAAGTGTACAAGTAAGATGTGCAACCTCTCGACATTCCTCTGATCAAAATGTATTTTATTCCTTTGTAACAATGAAAGGATCCAGTGTAATCAACAGTTTCTGCACTGATATGCATAACTTTGACTGATCTTACCTTGTGCTTGTAAGTCCCCATGCAATGAGACAGGCATACAATATAAGTCTGAAAATTGTAAACAATTCTAAATGACTCAAAGCTAAAGTTCACATTGTCCTGGAAGGTAGCATATTGAATAATCCTGAATAATATATGAAGTATAAGAAACTCCACGGGGAAATGAAACAATCTAGATTGTTAAATTACCTTCATTTACTATCTGCTTTTCCTTTTTTTGATTAAGTCTTAACATGACACATGCATAATTATGTTTCTTTAAAATCAGAGAATTTAAAAAAAGATGAGATATTAACCGAGTGCATTTTATAATGAATAGTTCAGTGGGTTCCTCAGATCCTAGACCTTATTTATACTTTATCTTTCATAGCATTGTAAGATAAAGATTTTAGTGGTCAGTCATCTGATGCTTGATGATTTTCCCCTTTGTGGATGAAAAGTAAAATGCAAAAGAAAACCCTGAAAAATAAGAATGGAATAAAAAAGAAATTCTAATAATTAAAAAAAAAGAAAAGACAAGCCACAGACTGAGAGAAAACATTTTAGAAACCTCCAACTAATAAAAGGTCTGGAATTCAAAATACAGAAAGAACTCAACAATTAGAAAATAACAAACACAATGTAACTGGGCAAAAGACTGAACAGACACTTCACCAAGAAGACAGACTGATTGCAAGTGAGTACATGGACATACTCAACCGCTGATGGGGGCTGGATTGCACAGCCCAAAATTCATATGAAGCCCTCACTTCCAATACCTCAGAATGTAACTATACTTGCAGACATGATTTTAACAGGGTAATTAAGGTAAAATGAGGTTAAGGGGGGCCCTACCTCAATATGACAGGTACCTTTATCAGAGGAGGAGATCAGGACACTGATGCAACAGTGGAAAAGACAGTGTGAGGGTCTCAGAGGAAGACAGCCTTGGACAAGCCAAGGAAGCCCCAGCAAACCTAAAGCACAGCACCTTACCAAGGAATTTCAAATTAAAGCAACACATCTCCTAGAATGGTGAAAATTCCTAAGTCATAAAAGTTAGCCTCAACAAATATTTAAGGATTGGGATTATACAAATAACTTTCATGGGTAGTTATCTGTATGGAAAAGAAAGCTAAATTAGAACCTTATCACACACAAAAATCAATTCTATAAATTGACAAATGTGACAAACAAAAATATAAAACTTTTAAAGAGCGGTATAAGGAAAATATATTTGTGATTTTTGTCTTAGGGAAAGATTTCTTAAAATATAAGTCGTAAAATGATTTGCTCTTTTGACTGCATAAAACTTACAGGCTATGCTCATCAAAAGACAGCAAAAAAGAAAAGACACTAACTGGGCAAGATATTTGCAACACAAAAAACTGACAAAATATTAGTACCCGAAATATCAAAGAAACCTACAAATCAACAAGCTAAAAAACAAACACCCAAAAGAAAAACAGGCAAGAGACTTGAACAGGGACTTGAAGGAAGTCTGTATGCCCCACAGGCTGAAAACAGGCTCAGCCTCATTTGTAATCTGGAAAATATAAACCAAAGCCACAAGGAGATACTAAAACCCAGTACTCGGGAGGCTGAGGAAGAAGGACTGTGAGTTGGAGGCCAGCCTGGACAATACAGTACGATCCTATCTCAATTGATCAATCAATCAATAACCATCAGGTTGGCAAAAATGTCCAGGCCAAGCAAGGCGAGAGTTGGTGAGCTGAGAAGGGACAGAGACTGCATCAACAGCCAATGGGGGTATGCACTGCAAAGAGCTGGCATTGCCTAGGAAGGGCGAGGACATGGCTACTCATGCCTGACAACCTTAGAAAAATGCTTCATGCAGATACAACAATATAGTCTGTAATAGTTAAAAACAGGATGTAACCCCAAAGTCATCAACTACAGAACACATCATGTATTTCAATGGAATGCTAAATGACAAAATGGCAAATACTCATAACTAAATATACCTTATTTATTGAACCATCTACATATGTTATAAAATATAAAGAATACCAAGGGAATAATCCATATAAACCCAAGGTCCATAAGCTCAGGGGGGGATATATGGGCAGGGAGGCAGATGAGACAGGGGTGGGTACTCAGAAATTTCTACAACACCAGAAATCATCTTCTTCAAATGAGGGTGGGTATAAGATGTTGCTCTGTGATTACATGAACTATGCAAATGCATTTCAGATGATATAGACAGACACGTGTCACAGTGAAAGTTTTCAATGAATGAAAGCAAAGGAATGTTTATTTGGAGCACAATGCGTGTCATCTTACCGGGATAAGAATGATTCTGTTTGTTTGAAGCAATTTCTGAAAGGGTATCCAGGGAATCTGTTAGTCTATGAATAAAAACAAACAAAGCACGCCTCGTTAGAAGTAGCGTGTTCAGGCTTAAGACTGCATCTTAAGTGAGGCCAGTTTTTATTTCACTCCTTCGACAAGCATTTATTGAGCCCCTGTGTGAGCCAGGAATAAGCTTCAATCAAGCATGGGAGACAGCCGATAACCAAGGAACAGGTCTAAGGTAAGAACAGCAATATGAAAAGGTCAACTTAAAATGACTTCCTTTAAAACAAGGACCTGATTGTATTATTTTTTGGGAACTTTATGAAAATAAATATATTTTATATTAAATGTACCAAATGCGAAATTAAAATGGTGAAAATATCACTAATTCTTTGTGTTTTTTGGCTGGGGGGTACTGGGGATCAAACTTGGGACCTTGCACTTGCAAGGCAGGCAGTGGAACCACTGAGCTAGATCCCCAGCCCAATGTCACTAATTCTTAAACTGGAAAATATACTGGGTAAGTTTGCATAAGTCTGATTTTTCTGATAAAGATATGTCTAATACAATTCAAGGCCCTTAATATTTGACTCTAAACACAATCATAAAGGTCACCTTCCCAATGGGTTTCTGTTTTTTTTAATATTTAAATCATTACTTTAAAAAAGCTAATCCTGACAGCCTCATTTCCTTTCAACTGCTTACTGACTTAAATCTGCAAGGCCTTCATTTGTCAATCACTTCTTCCAACATACTTTATTTACATCAAGAAATCCTGCAATTGTTGCAGTATTTGCATTTTCATTTCAAAATTCATATACATCATTTACATATCTACAGTATACCACAATCAATAAGGGACAGATGGACACACAGAATATAATCTGATGAACAGGACAGACACCCGAAGTGACAGTTGAAAGGAACATAATCTTAGAGGTGATCAGTTCATTAGAAATAAGTGCCTAATGGTAAGAACTAAGAAAATGAGTACTACACTACACTGAAGACCACGTGGGAGGTGGTACAGGGAGAGGGAGGGGTCAGATTTGGTCTAGTTAGTAAGTTTTCTTAGAGCTTCTCTACAGAAATGCTGAGATACATTTATAGCTACATATAATATAGATATATTAACCTCAAAAAAGTATTAACTAAATGAAAGTGGGGTAATGGTCTAGAATGTCATCCAAACAGAGGAAATAATATGTGCAAAAATTCTGGCATAGGAGGCATATTTTGAAAATGGAAAGGGGGACATAAAGGCCACCTACAAGTCTAAGGAAGAGAAAATGCAAAGTGAGACTGTAATCGGTTACAATTTTATTAAGGCTGTCTTCAAGCAGACCTCAGTTTAAAATCCTTCCATCTTGAAGATCAGCAGGGTCTTTAAAAAGCTCAAAACCGGTTTGGATTAGAAACTCCTCCAAATCAGAGACCATGTCTGTTTTATTTGTTTATAGAATGCCTAGCACAGCACAAAGTGCTAAAAGACACTTAATAGTATTTGATGAAGATGAATGAGACAATCAGAAGATGACAGGAAGACAGCTGGATTGAGATAGCAGTTCAGTGAGAGAGAGTGTCCTGTTTCTTTTAAGAGGGGGCTGCTTTCAAATGCACCACCTTAAAGAAGACAAATAGGAAGCAAAGAAAACACAAAGTGAAAAGTGTGTGCTCCACAGACAAAGCAAGGGAACAAGATGAAACCATGAGAAAGAAAGTGGCTTCACAAAATAAAAGAAGAAAAAAGACTGCTCCAGAATAGAAAGTACTCAACTGGGAATCAGATCTGATCAATATTTACCGTGCCGAAAATACATCAGACTCTATACTCTTGAGTAATCAAACATGGATCAAATCCCAGTCAGTGCTCATGACCCAAAGATAAAACCTGCAGGAGCCTGTGGCAGTGCTGAAGATGCACCTAGTGACAGGAGCACAGAGCCTGACGGGTGACTCAATGGGATGGGACTCCCGAGTCAGCCCCTGGCAAGACAGAGCCCGAGGAGAGTCACAGGAGCTCCTTCACGCCTCACGGAACTATGGTAAGAGCACACACTCCACTTCGTTCCTTCTCTGGGCCGTATTGTCCTCATCTGGGATCAGGGATAATTACCATGCCTGACCCAAGGGCTGTGGAGTAGTAAAGCACTAATCCATGGACAGCACTGAAATCAGTGCCCACCACATATACTTGCTACTCATTAGCTAGCATCTCCTTTCTGTCATTTAAGAAAGAAAAATGAGCAAAGTGATTAAAAGCATGAGCAACAATAAAATAACAAACATGGGCTTAGTCTCAGCTCCCCCATTACCTGATCATATGATTTTAGCTAAGTTACTTTATCTCTTGAAACTTGTTTTTCACCTGCAAAATGGGAATGATCATAATAGCTCATAGCTACCTGGGCCTGGGGGGTAATGGGGTAGGCACTAAAGGACAGAGTACAGAGCCTACTGGTTATTAAATGCTCAATAAATACTTGTAATAGTTATGGTTATTTTCCAGCTTACCTGACCAAATGAACCAACATTTAAGTGAAGAACTACAAAGCATTGCATACAGAATGCTTTATTGCTATGAAGAAGACAATGATATCAAATACATCTTAAAAGAAGGAAATTAATACAAAAAAGTATATGTAGTTATTCAATAAGAAAAATAAACTGAGGAAGAAAATGGATATAAAAATACTTAATTTTGGGCTGGGCATTTAGCTCAGTGGTTCTGCCGCCTGGCTCGCAAGCGCAAAGTCCCGAGTTCAATCCCCAGTAAAAAAAAAAACCCAAAAACAAAAAACTTAATTTGCCTGAACACAAACACCTTCTTGTTAGAAAACCTGATGCAACTCCTGGACCATGACCACAATTCTAGTCTCACGAATACAATCACACCACATACGTTATCTCTGACTCAAAGAGTGGCATGGCAGCCACTGAAGAGTGTGACACGCAGCTTCTTCCAGCATGTAAGAAAAAGCACTTCACAGTTCACCTGGATTTACACAAGGACTTGTTTCTGCTCAACTTGTTTTATGTTTTGTTTTGTTTTTGGAACCGGGGATCAAACTTAGGACCTTGTGCTTAAAACCAGAGTGAGGTGACACATAAGTGTGCTATTTCACAAAGAAATACCACAGAGGTTTATCATATATAAATCCTTGAAACTTCACTTCCCCCAAAGATCTACTGCCTATCTATTTTTGAAAACTAAAGAAATCAGAGAAAAAAGCCATTTTGGTTCCATTAGGTTTGTAGGAGAATGAATGGGTGCCTGCTGGCAGGAAATTTAATGTAGTTAGGATGTGACTGAAGCAATCAGAGAGCATTTTTACTTTTGTTTGTATGACAGATTAAGCTTGCTGCTTTCACTGTTCTTAGCCGCAAACACCACTTCTAATAGCCTGCACATACTCACAGGGTTTACAAATGAGGAAGAAAGAAGGTTTTTAAAATTGCAAATCCTCAGCAAGGCAAATTTAGCTTTCCATGAGCCCTCTCTGAGGGGAAGGTGGTTGGTTAACCCCTTGCAAGAAGGTGTGTCATCCAAATAAAACTAGAACCTCTTCGTGCCCCACAAATTACAAAAAAGTTCATGCAAAGAAACAAATTCCATTTTCTCACCTTTGCACCCTGGATGGGGGAGCAAATATTCCATATCTTGGAGAACAACTAAAATACTGCACACCTCCAACTGAACCATCATTCTTGCCATGGGGTTTTTCAAGCTCTATACCATACCAATACCCTAGAACAAAAATATTGAGTTTTAAAAGCATCAGCACTTTATTCAATATCGTTATGCCATCATATGAACCCCAAGTCTAGATGGTTTAACATTTTCACAAATGACCGTAATGATGGAAGATCCTGTTCATTAAGCTTTCAAATGATAAAATTACAAAGTAAAACTTGAAAATTTAAAAAGTGGAAAAAACATTTTACCAGCATAATTGCAAAGCTGTACATTAAGAAAGGAAAATAAAATGCACAAACACAAATTTGTAAAGGATTAGCTATTAGAATACAACCAAAATATATCTTAAAACTATAATGATAAAGAAACTGTCCTTGACTTTCTAATATAGTTCAATGAGAGAAGTGTAATATAATATTGTGATGTATAAATCATAAAATGAACATGCAATCTTTTCATTTCACTTTCTCAATATCATAACACCAGAAACAGTTCTTAAATAATTAAAGCACACCCTGGGCTCCATCCCCAGCACCATAAAATAAGGCTCTGGAGAGCTTTTGTAAGACAGGGACTAAGAAATGACCACTGGGTGCAGCCACGAGGCAGCATTTGCTTTTCCAGAAGTGGCGTGTGAAGACGAGGCCCAGCCTCAGCCTACCAAGTTTCCAGCCTCTGCTCTTTCCTCATGCAGGACCCATGGGTCTGAAGGCTGGGCTGGGACACCACAGGATGAGCCAGACAACAAGCCAGGCCACTTCCTAGGACAGGGCTTGTGTAAGGGCCTTTGATCTAGATCACAACACCATATACCTTGCAGAATATTTTACTGTACAAAACTCCCCAATGTTGCTCAGCTAGTAAATGAACCACAAGCAAAAAATAATAATAATGATAATTAAAGGACAGAGATAATATGGAAAATATCACTAGACATCATGGTGACTCTGCTTTCTCTCTTTTTTCTCCATCAGATCAAGATGGAAAGAAAAATCATTTTTAACTTAAATGAAAAGATTTAGGTTAGCTAATAGGAAGAATACTATAGATAACTTTTGGTACTTAAAGGTCTCATGGTGAGGAAAGTAATAGGATATCCTCTTCGATAGAGCTTAAAACTGAAACAGAAAGATTACTTTTACTGTCTTTCCACCAAAATAAGGTAAATGGACATATTCCTAGTACATCATAACTAATCTCAATCACTACATGGAGGATCTAAGGAGGTCATGAATTATAGAACATACAAGCCATCTCAATTCATTGGCTTGCAATTAGAAAGTGGTACAGTGATGCAATAGGAATGTGCTGTGAGACAGTTCTCTGTGGCTCTCAGGTTTCTGAGGGTCTTATAGCCAGGGGGACTGACTGCTTGGCTCCCAAGTGTCTTTGCCTAGATGTCTGTGAGGAGGACACCCCAGGGGGAGATAGTCTTTCTCCAGAACAAACGGCAGGCACACTGATCAAAAAGGTTCAGATTCCCTCAGCATAGGGTGCCTCTTCTGGAACATGACCTGCTGGGTATGCAGCCATCACCTGGCCCTGTCTGCCCCACCCTGCGGGGCTCAGGGAATAGGCCAAGAAAATGCTAACTCTCGGGCTAACGGTGTTAGTTGTTGTGAGTCCAAAGGTCTTTGTCCCTGGGTAGGACTCTTACATCTTCCACCAACATCTGTCAAACTGTGGCAGACTAATTTGCTAGCTGCAAACAGGATAAAATCTCAGCTCCTGCACAGTTATTCATAGTCTGCTGCACTAGAGTGATTGTCTTTTTTTTCTTTTAATCAATGTTCTAAGTAACCTTTCCCTAAAATGCTGCAATGCCACCATGTGTTAAAATAGCATATTGCTATTTAAAACATACAAACATGGTTTCATTCAACTGGCTGCTATTTAAAATTATAATCTCTGAAAATACAAAAGAAAGTAGTTACTTTTGAAAACATACATTAAGTGTAGACTGGGGTTAACATGTGAACACAAAAACATGTATTTTTAAGGTCCCAGGGTACAGAAAAGCTTTATTTTCTTTTGCTGTTCCCTTCAAGCCACCCCATAAAAACTATACAGTTACCTCACTGCCTGCTCATTTTTTTTTTTGGTACCGGGGATCGAACTCGGGTCCTTGCACTTGCGCAGCAGGCAGCAAAACCACTGAGCTAAATCCCTGGCCCATTTCCTGCTCATTTTAAGGCTATCCTTGGAAATACACTAATCCTAAGATGTTCTCACTATCATTTAGCACATTTGGCAATCAGTATAAACTTGGGAAGTGACAACTAATTTTAAATTAGACAAATGAAAACATAGTTGGCAAGAGAAATTTCTGGACACCAGTTAATCTGAATACAAACAATCTGAATTTGTACCATGCTTTCACATATTCTGTGCTATTACTATCATCCACTAAAACTGTTAATCGCAAATTCCCTATGATTAAACCTTATTTACCTGTAAAATTTTAAACCTTTTGTATTCTAAACAATCAAACTGAGCAAAGAATATTCAGATGAATTACCTGGAGCAAAATTTGTTGTTCCGAAGAACTTAATGGTACCAACTCTCTGGCCTACCACCAACACTCTATCTCCAAGGCGGGGCTCTCCTTCACCACGGGTGTCATTTGCTATAGACGTTGCCGAGGAATTCAAACCTGTTTAAGCGGTAGGTAGGAGACAGGGAGAGGGAAAAGAAAATAAAGGGGGAGTAAAAAAACATCGCTATGATTTCTAGTGAGTCAGAGGTTTCAATACTCAAAGCCTTTCGTTACATGTCACCTACAGTGTGTTTCTTACACGGAAGTCTAGGCACTTAAGGAAATGTGAAGGGCTTCCTGAGAAAATACCTGCCATGGGGAATTCACACAACCTGACTCTTGGTAAAGAATCCACTCTTCCAGGATTGCCTGGTGCACTCCATTAGAAAAGGGGTCAGCACACTTTTTATGTGAAAAACTGGACAGTAAATAGTTCAGGCTTTGCAATGCAGAAGTATTTGTCCCAGTAATTAAATTCTGCTACCCGAGAGCAGAAAAATCCCATATGAAAAGGAATGCACATAAGCCAGGTGGAAGGTCAGATTTGGCAAGGGGGTTGCAGTATGCCAATTCCTGGACCACTAAAAATGCTAGGATTATTATACTTCACTTGGACTCAGTGTAAATGATATACACGGGAATGTGACTTGAAGGTAAAACTGTTGAGCATCCCTAATCTGAAAATTCAAAATATGGAATGTTCAAAATTTGAAACTTTTGGAGTATCGGTGTTCAAATTAACATTTATATTAGAGTGCCAGTGTTCAAAAGCTTTCAGATTCTGAAGCATTCAGATGTTTAGATTAGAGATGTACAATCAACGAAGCCAAAGCATATACTCCAAAATCCCCCCAAAACTCCAAAACCTGAAACACTTCTACTCCCAAGCACTTTGGGTCAGGGTTATTCAACCTATAACTAGCCCTAGTTAAACCACACTGATTTCCTACTTAAGAATAAAACCACTCCACCCTCAACTTGATTCAAAACTGAACCCTAAAATGCACACTATTAAACATCAGAAGTCCTAGAGAAATACTGTTTTGAAGCTGGTCAAATACAACAGCTGGAAGAGAAGAGGTGGGCCGCTGGGGCTTGTCCCATAAATCCATAATCAGAGTGAAGAGCTGCCATCTGGGAAGCTAAGAGCCCTAGGTGAGGCCGGGAAGAACAGTAAGTCACACTGTGAGAAGGCAGAAAATAAGTGTGGCAAGAAATGAAAGAACACAGGCCGGTGGAGCAGGATCTGGACAAACTGCTATTCTAAAAACGCCTGGTCCCTCTTATATAACTTCTATTCTATAGTACTTTGTAGCTTGTCAAGTTCTTCGCATAAAAATCATAGTGACAAACAAGACACAAACTCAAGATAGTAGTAACTAAGCCATAGGGTTTACAGCTCACAGGTGGCACAGCCAGATTAACGCCTGACTCTGTGATGGGAACCCTCAGGTCTGTCCTGATTGCTGCAGATGAGCAGGACGGCAAGCCCAGCAGTGGAGTTCAGCGAGCCCAAGGCCCAGAACGCACCTCGCCCACTCTAACCCTGTCTGCTCCTCGCTCTGATTCTTTACCCTATCTTGCCATTATCAGCCACTTTGCAGTTCACATCCCCTCAAACACAAAAACTTATTATAGAAAAAGTGTAATATCTATTCATTCTTGAAACATGCCTTAAGGAAATGTCTCTGGGGTTCCACATAGGGACTTTCTCTCACACTTTCCTTTCTCCACCCACTTCTCCCTTTGAAAGGTCTTCTTTCTCACGGATAAATTATCCCTGTTGTCTTCACTATTCAGTCTATATAACCCTTAGGTATATAAACACATTAAAACGACTTCTTATAAAAGGGTTTACAAAAAAGAAAAGCTCTTGGGGACATCAAGTAAATGTTCAGAGCCCAAGTCCCAAATGAAGGGGGCCCTGAAGTATAAATAAGGCAAACAGGACATCGCACTGGCTTGCCTTTGTGCCTCACAGAATGGGGGGGGGGGGGATGCTGTTCAGAGAACACTTTCTCCAGGTAAACAATTTCAGGCAAAATTTCCAGGTTCCTTGCTTTTAGGGTTCCAACTTTTAGGTTTATTATATCGATTTTACTGCTTGAGAGTTTGGAGGTTTTTTCCTCCTCCATCAATAATGCATTTTAAAGACAAAAAAATCATGTCATGAATATTTTCTATAATGAATCACTGGCTCAGTACAAGTATTAGAGGTATTACCCAACAAGAATCTGGCAATCATCATGAGGGTCATTAGGAACAATTTATGCCAAAATGGCTTCATTTCCTTTCTAGACAAGTTTACTATTTAATATGTAAATTGCAATAGATACAATCTATGTTGATTTCAACAAACCTGACAAAGTATCCTGTGTCTCCTCACAGATGGCTGAAGAAAAGTGGACTGAGTGAGAATATGTAGGAGCCATGGCCACCTGAAAAGCCACGTGAGAGCTGCCCATCACTGTCATCCTGGAAGAGGACCCTTGGGCCTCTCTGACAAGAGTTTTAAACAATAATTTGAATAAAAATAGAAAAAATTTGCTTTTTAATATGAGGATGACATAAAGGCATGTGAAAAAATTAATACACAAAAAAACAAAATTCATATGGGATGAAACCACTAAGAATAAATTAAGGAAAAAATAAATGCAACATCTTATATCCAGCAACAAAACCAAGAGACCTGGCATAGATCCAGGGGAGGCAGGCAAGGTTAAAACTGCAAGTGGGGCCGGGGATTTAGCTCAGTGGTTTCACCGCCTGTTGCACAAGCGCAAGGACCCAAGTTCTATCCCCGGTACCAAAAAAAAGAAAAAAAGACTGCAAGTGGTACAATCTGACTGACATAAAGGATTCCTTCTACACATTTAAAAAAGAGCAAATCTACTTACAAACAAACCAAGATAAAAAACATCAAGAAAGCCTGGTTGAAAAAGCCATAGATACCAGCACTGGCTCTGGATGACAGAGAAGAGCTTTTGCTCATGGTCTTCTTGCTATTGCTGCTTGCATTCGGTTTCTTAGTGAAGCTCTGTTTGTGCTCCAAAGAAGACGTAGAGGAGGAGCTGCTGATGGATCCGTGCAGGGTGACTATATGGGGAATGCAACAGATTACACTGAAATGCGGAGAATAAGAAATGGTACAATAGGATGATTTTCCAGGCAAACCTTTCTAAAACGCTCCATTTAGCTTCTTCAACTGTGGATTAGCTAGTCCCAAATTAGATGCTTCATTTCATCCAAATGAGTCGTAACTTTTTAAGGATCCACACTCTAGGATCACAATCTTATATAGAGGCTGTCACCATATCCCTTAATGTTACTGAGTAACCAGCATTCCTTACCTCGCACCTTAGTAGAATCCCATCTTATTTATACAAAAATCCCATTAATAGGTTTTAAGGTGACAAACGTTTCATATTAAAATGTTTTGAGGGAAGCCTGAAGGCAAATAGGAATACTCAGGCTCTAGTCACCTAATGAGTTGACACTAAGACAGCTTCAACATTTTTATCAAGCCATCTGTACTACGACATTTCCTTTTATTCCCTCTAGTAACCTAGTCCAGTACTGTAGTTCTCTAAGTGTACATAATAAAAAAAGTAGAGGATATTTTTAAAAGTACACATTTTGAGTTTCTTAGGAGATTTTCAAGGGTAACTTTTACTATGATGTTTTTTCTTTGCCAAATTTAAAACTTAACAGCCATACAAGCTGTTTTCCCACTATATTACTTTAAAGTTCCACCAGGAAGTTAAATTTTGAGCAAGAGAAGTTATAAATTATATTACCATCTTTCTCTGCTACAGTTTTCAATTCTTCACTAGGAGGCAACGAAAGTGCTGATTCAGAAATACTATTCTTTTTTGATGTCATCAATCCTACACACACAAAAAAAAATTGCAGTGAAAGAGAATTTTGCTTAGCATTAAAACATAAAAATGAATTTGTTTTTTAAAAGTACATCTGTCCTTTGTTATCTAACTCTTACCCATTTCTGAAAACACATCAGATAATAATTTCACAGACAGTGTGAGCCAGTATTTCACCATTTCACTATTTAAAGGAGGAAAAAAAGGTTGGGGTATGGCTCAGTGGTACAGGACCTGCTTCACATGTGTGAGGTCCTGGTTCATCCCAGACTGGCAAAAAGAAAGATAAAGGAGGAAGAAAGGAATGCAGGAGAATTACAGCCAACACATAAAGGGGTCCCACATCCCCATGTTTACTGTGACTCAGCCCGTGACAGCCAAGCTACAGAAACAGCCTAAGTGCCTGTCAACAGATGACTAGAGAAACAAAGTGAGGCACAGATACACAATGGAATGAAAGCAAATCTTCTGCAGGAAAATGGATGGGATTAGAGACCACTATGTTAAGCAAAATAAGCCAGATTCAGAAAGTTAAATATTGCATGTTTTCTCTTATATAAAAAAACCTTCAAAAGGCTGGTAGGGATGACAGATGTAGAAGGTAAATTACTCAAGAGGAAGATGGGGATGGGGATGGAAGTCAGGGAATGAGGAGGGGGTTGAAAATAATCCAAATATGTTATCTGCATGTACCAGTGTATCAAAACAAAATCCATTATTCTGTATTACTAAGGTGTATAATATAATATTTTTCAAAAAATGGAAACCCCAATTGTATGATCCACCAAGGATTTCTAAATAATATGAAGCATTTAACAGACAAGTGCTTAACTGTTTTTGTTTGTTTGTTTTGAGACAAGGTCTTGCTTTGTAGTTCAAGCTGGCCTCAAACTCATGATGATCCTCCTGCCTCAGCCTCCCCAGGGCCACCACACCCAGCTAACTGTTTCATTCTTCCCCACCTCTAGTACTGGGGACTGAACTCAGGGATCCTCTACTGGGGGCTACGGTCCTTTTCATTTTTTCCAGGGAGTCTCACTATAGTACCCAGGCTGGCCTGCAACTTGTGATCTTCTGCCTCAATCTCCTGAGCAGTCGGGGTCACGGGGATGCACCATCACATCTGGCTACTTCATTCTTAATTGTTTCATTCTGGGTTTTTTCCTCCCCATGGGAAAAACTTGTTTTTATTGATACCACAGTGTAGATTTAATACAAGCTAAATAAAAACACAATGGTCAGATATTTAGTCACCCATCCTGCAAAACAATACACCAAGATCAATTCTGAAACCCTTATAAAAGCTAAAATGCAGAAACTACCTCCCTTGATTAATTCTAAGGAATCCATATACAAATGAAAAAAGGGTACTCGTCAACAATCACAGCAAATGTTTGTTACTGGCTGAACAATTTTTTAAAAGGCTTTTTATTTTTAAATTAAGTAGCTCTAGGTAAAAGCAAGGAATTTCCTGCATCTGCTAGCTCTGTATTTTGCAGAGACTTCCGAGGCAAAGGCTGCTTCTAGCTTTCTGTACAACTAGAGGTGACAGGCTGTGTGGCTGAGTTATCTCTGATCCTTTATTCTTCTTTTCTGACAGATCCTTAGCTTCTTTGGGAAAGGGACCATGAACTGGGTTCCATGAAACTGGGTTATAAAACGCTGGTTCGGGGTAGCAATTTCCACTGTAAAAAACCTGTGCGCTTTCCATTGGCTTAAGAATAGCTCTTTGCAGATGGATGAGGCTTATTTTTTTCCATTTTCAAACCATTCCTTAAACTTTCTACTATTTCCTTTTTCTCCTGTCATTCAGTTTCTGTTGTTTTACTTTTTCCTTTTATTACTTCTTCAGCATTTTTAACCATTTTTGATATTTTTCTTTTGCTTTTTCTTGCAAATGTTCTTTCTCCAGTTCCTTTGTTGCTTTTTTCTCCATTTCTTTGAGTTTTTTGTTCTTTCTTTCCTTTTCTGTTCATTCTTTTTCTGAATCCATCCTTTGTGATTTTCTCCAACACTTTTTTTTTTTTGCACTTTCTTCCATTTCCTTTGCCTTAGTCCCTCCAGAGCTTCGTTGCAGCTTGTCTTTCTTCTTTTCCTTTGCCAACAAACCATGCCTCCCATGGTGTCAGGGATCATGTCTGCTAAGCGCACCCCTCTGCTCTTCTCCAGTATCTTCTGCTTCCACTTCACTGCTGCCCAGCCCAGCACCCCAATCCTCTTGGGCCAGCCCCCTGGGACACATGGTGCGGGGTGGCAGCCACTGTGACGACAGCAAGCCCTCCAGTGTCACCTCTGTCCCCCTTCCTGAGGATGAAGAAGGTGCCAGGAGGACAAGCCCAGTCTGGAGTCTCAGAGGGGAGCAACATCACCAGGCCTGCCGAGTATCCCTCTCTGAATGGACTCTATCAGGGTGTTGGCACCACGCTCACAGGAATGCGGGAACTCAGCACTCATAGATACAGCTGAGGGGCTCTCTCTGGGACTTGCAAACAATTTATGTGACTTCACTGGTGTGTGCACACAAATACATTATGGTAGGTTTTGTACGCAGACAGTGAATTCGGGGCAAAAATTTTTGCCAATAATACCAACTATTCATTTAAATGAGAGCTCAGATTGTAAAAAATCCTGTGCTCTCTGCCACTGGTATTATGAGAATGACTACCATACCACCTACCACAGAAACATCACTTAGGGAAAAAACATTAGGTGACAGTCCGCCATATGAAGACATCTGCTTCGGTTGTATAGTACAAAACTAACTTAAGTAAGACACTGAACAGACTGTACCCAACTTTATCTTCTGGCAGGTTCCCTTTCCAATTCTACTCACTAAGGAAGCATTTCAAGTAAAGAACTGTGCTTGGGACTCACAAGCCAGACCTGGTTCTAGTTCTGAGGATGACCTTTTTAATTTAATATGACAGAAAGAAATGAGCCTAAAATGTGAGGACACTTTTTATAAAAGCACTAGCACAGGAGGAGGTGACAATAACTGGCTACAAAGAAAAATCAACCCCTCATATCAAGATCACATTCTAATGGGTCAGAGTTTCTCCCTACAACACTGGGTGTATGGTCATAAAGAACTATGGGCGGGGGTTCTGGGTGGACAGAAAGACACTTTACAGTAAGACCCAGAGAATGGTGATTGTGTGGCTCAAACAAGAGTTCTTCAACACAGAAGTTGGCCAGACAGGTGACGATACATCTCTCGGAGGGTCACATTTCCTGAGTAAGAAGCTGGAACTTGGGGCTGGGGGTGTAGCTCAGTGGGAAAGCACCCGCCTAACATCTGAGGACCTGGGTTCAATCCTCAGCACCAGAAAGAAAATGCAACTTTTCGGTAAAGAATGAGCCTGTGGTCCACGGGTTGGACACTCCAGTGTTGTAATAAATATTTTTAAAATAAAGGAAGTTTTGTTACTTATACATGTTAAATATATGACACAGTATGTTATACATGGCCTAAAATAATCCTCTACACTCAATGCAGCCCAGGCAAGCCAGGTATTTCCAACCTGCGGGCAGCAGGTCAGACACACCTGGCAAAAGGAAAGCAGGTGGGATGCAGAGAGCAGTGAGAAGCTATGACAGCAGTCAGGGGAGAGGGCCTGCTCTGGAAGAGCCGAAATGGAAGGAGAAGACAATTGTGGAGTGGACTTCATATTTTTTTAATTATTGCATTTTTTAAATTTCTAAAATATCCATTTCCTTGTTTTATTTGAATTTTATCAGGACAACTGGAGACTCAGATGAAGTTGTAAAAAATTATATAAAAATACTCTTTGTATATTTTGCCCAGTTTCCCCAAAGGTAACATTTTATAAAACTGTAGTATAATATTTCAACCAGGGTAATGGCAGTGATATAACAACAGACCTCACTCAGATTATCCCAGATTTACTTGTACTCATTCTTGGGGTGGGGGGGTGCACCCGTTGATTCTCTTTCCTAACTCCTATTTTTCTGCTGAGTGTCCGTTTTTCTCAAGAGTGTTTACCCTTAACTCTTGGAGCATGGTTATATTTTCTTTAAAGACCTTGTGCTCAATGCACTGCCCATGACATCTCAAGGTTGGCATCCTTTGACTTTTTCCTTGTAAAAATATGGATTTTCTTGGTTTTCATATCTTAAGTTATTTTAGGTGTCCTGGATATTATGTTATAGGACTGTGGGTCTAATAATCCCTCTGGTTTTGTTGCTGGGGTCATTCTGTTCAGCAGGCAGTTGACCAGGCTAGGTTCCACGCACTGCAATTCTACGTACTTGAGCTTCCAGAACCTTTGCAGTGACGCTTGAGTTCAACTCACGTGCTTGTTACCCAGCCGGCAGTATGGCCCTGGCAATGGTCTGTCCAGGAGACCAGTGTTCACTCAGGTCCACACATGCACGACTTGGGAGCAGGCCGGGGAGTTCATATCCAACATTCTGAGGATTAGTTTCCCTGCTCTGTCATACAGTCTCCTGAGACTGATCCTGCATCTGGAGCCAAGTGGACAGAAAACAGAAGAAAAACCAATGGGGATTCTATCCATGCTGCTGGGATCACAGTTTCTCCCTTTGTAGACAGGCTTGTCTTCTGCAGCATTCTGGGAGTTGCCTACCCACCACTACTGCTACACATACAGGGCTGCCTGGGGGCTGGGTGGAAGAGAAAAAAACAGGCAAGAAAGAAAACAAGATTTCCTCCCCTGTGTTCTGTTTAGTAGTAAACTGTTCCTGCTCCTCAGACTATGTATCAAGGTCTTCTCTTAGAGCCTTCTGTCCACACCCACTGGGCACTTCCATGTTTCAGGTTAAGAGGACATCATTTACAATGGCACCATGAAGTACTAAGGAACAGATATAACAGACCAGGAAAAAGGACCTGTATGAAACATTATAGAATGGCATTCAGATATTTTTAAAGGATCAAATTTAATAGAAAAATATTCCAAGCACATAATTAAAAGACTATTGAAAAGATGTCCGATTTTTACGAATTGATCTCAAGTTTAAGTGTAATACCAATTAAAACCTCAACAGAGAGCCAGGGATTTAGCTCAGTGGTTCCGCTGTCTGCCTCACAAGTGGAAGGTCCTGAGTTCGATCCCTGGTACCAAAAAAAACCACCAAAAAAACCTCAACACTTTCTTTTTAAAAGAAACTAATAGTTTACTCTAAAATACATAAGTAGGATGTATGAGGTTCCAAAATAGGTATGATAATCTTCAAAAATAAGGTAGGGTGATCTCCTCCACTGGACCTAAAGGTTTTTTTAATTAGACTGATGATGAAGCATAGTATCATCACAGAGATATTCAAAGAACTCAATGGGACAGAATATAGAGGCCAATCAAATTTTTGGACACAATCCTTTCATGACAGTAGGAAGCCTTCTGCTTTAGCTACTAAAGAGTTAACAAATATTTGTTGAGCACCTAGTTTGTGTTGTGTGCCACATGAATAGAAAAATACAAAATACTCCCACATTCCCCTTAAAGTTGAAAATTCTGCTGAGAGAATAAAAGATTTGTACGAATAAAGAAATCAATGTACCAATAAAGAAATCAAGTCCCAGGTAATAAATAACAATTGGGTATGGACAAAAAGTACAAGTAAGAGAATGAAGAGAATAAAGGGAACTGGAAGGGGATGCTTCCATGGCAAAACAGATGTGAATAAAGAAGCAAAGAATGGTACACTAGTCAGGAGCAGCAGAATACACCTATAATCCCAGCTCTGGGAGGATGAGGCAGGAGGATCACAAGTTTTGAGTCTTGCCTGGGCAACTTAGCAGGGTCCTGTTTCAAAAAACAATTTTTAAAGGGTTGGGGATATAGCTCAGTGTGAAGGCCTGGGGATATTCTCCTGCACCACAAAAAATAATTAATTAATTAAAAAAGAAGGAGGAGGTGGTGGTGGTAGAAGAGGAAAAGCAGAAGAAGCAGGAGGAGGAAAAGCAGAAGAGGCAGAAGCAGAGGAGGAGGAGGAAGAAGAGGAGGAAGGGGAGGAGGAAGAAATAGTGAGGACCTCTAAAGTCACACCACAGCACCCACAGAAACTGCCTAAGACAAGGCAAAGAGCAAGAATGATGCCTACACAAGACAGGGAAGAGCTACAACAACCACAATTCAGCTATGGAAGGAGAAAGAGGCAACACCAAACCAAGGAAGATGTGCTAGGTAGCCAAGACATGTTCTGATAGAAAAGCAGAGGGGAAAGTCACTGAACATCTCTGAGTAGGTGAGGAACACAAGGCCAGATGTACTTCAGAAAGACTTACTGGAGGTGCCAAACCCAGCTGTGCAGTTAGAATACATGGGGTTAGAGGAACGGACAACATGAAAGGAAACGAAAGGACAAGTCTGAAACATTCCTATTAGGAACTGAAGTCAATCATAACTGAGGCTTAAAAACACAAGATGCAGGTTTTCTTAAATTTAGGTTTCACAACTGGATAACAAAAAAAGAACATAGCTGCCTAAATATTAGCAATCTCACAAATAAAATAAAAATGTACAAGAACATCGTTCACTTCCCAGTTTGACCTACCAGTGTTCACCTTTGACGTGATGTGAGCCACATCAACCCTCTGGGGCTTGATGGGAGGTACAGTTTTTGAGGAAGGAGGGTGTGCTGTATTCTTCCTTCGTTCTTTTGCTTTACTTATCTTTGAAAGAGGGGCAAAAATACCTACGAGAGAACACAGAATTTTAGTTACCATGAATTAAAAGCATTTCAAATAGAGGAGCAAGTATAACCGTTCAGTAACATAAATCTAAGTTTTTTTCAGTAACAACTACATGTCCCAAAATGAGAGTCAGAAAAGTATGTAAGACATACTATTTGCCCTCAGATATGTAGTTTACAATCTAGTGTTCAAGACTCACAACACATGTAATAATTTAAGAACCACATAAAAGACACATAATCAAGTTTTTAAGTGAAACCGGGAGAAGAGAAATGAGTGAGGGTAACAGCTATTATTTCTAGGCTCCTGGCAAACAACAATGCACTGTGTAATATACAAACCTCTTCTTCCATGTCATTTATATCTCTTTAGGATTTATATTTTTCCCATATTATAACTTTTTATATTCATGTCTTATCTTTTCTCTAGACTATATTTTTAAAACAAATTTCAAATATTACTCATCTCTGCACTCCCCCACTGCAGCTAATTATAGTGCCTTACACATCATACAGATAAAATAAATCTTTTTGACCCTAAGACATAATGTTCCCAAAAGACCTCACCTTCCATTCCTGACAATCAGAAACAAAGCAACGAAGCAGTGAAGCAGCGTGTGTGGACAAAGGCAGGATGAGGGAAGGGCTGCTCTACAGCAGCTTAGAGTATAAAACTCCACTGAAAAGGGTTTATCCAGGCAATAAAATACCTGCTCTAAGTGTGCACACCCATGAGAGATAGGGAACACAGACTATAAACAACAAGCTTAATCTCACTAAGACATTAAAGAGGGAACATAAAGTCATGATATGTATATTACATTCTTTCATTGAGTGTTTACAACCTAACAAATATATATTATGACTAAAATGTTTTCCAAACAACTTGTTTTAAAGCAAGGTTAGAAGTGCTCGAGACTCTACAAAATTACTTTGTTAATAGCTGAAAAATGCCAACTATGTTACTTTTCTCAAATCTTGAAATCTTCCCTCCCTTGGACTCTATTCCTTACCCTGCACTTCCTATCTGTTCCTTTTTTTTACTACTTGCAAGTTTCTCTCCTGTCTCCTACCTTATGTGAATCTCGTCTTTCTTTTATTCTCCATTTTTTTCACTGCCAAGCACACACATCAGCACACATATTCTACTAAGGCCTGACTACGACTATGACTACAACAATGATTATATCTGGTGTTAACAAAGGTTTGAAGAGAGAAAGCCTATATTCTAGGAATGCAAATTTGCACAGTATTTCTAGAACACAAATATCCTGACCTAATCCGCTTTATAAAATGAATTACAAGGCAATAGAGATGCATACAAAGGTCATATTTGTATATCTATTATAAGAAAAATATTTCAAGAGCTAAACAATTTCTAGTCTACTAGAATGTCCTAATTTCTAATTGACTAATAGATCCCAATCACACTCCTGGAAAATAAAGAGAAAATTATACAGAAGGGAAGAAAAGACCACATATCAAAGTAGGTCATCATTAGAATATTATTCATAAGCAGGAAAAAATACAATTGTCTGGCAACAGGATGAATGAAATCAATCATACCTGTGAACTACAGCGCCCCTCCCGTCTATGCCAGATAGAGTCTAAGGCATTCTACAGATGCCTGAAACCATAAATAATGCCAAAGTCTCTATATATTATGTTTTCCTATTCATACTTACCTATAATAAAGTTTATTTTATGACTAAGGCACACTGAGAAATTAACAATAATAAAATAGAACAATATACTGTAATAAATGTTACGTGAGTGTGGTCTCTCAAAATATTTTACTGTACTGTGCTACTTTTTTTGGTACATAAATGACCACAGGTAACTGAAACCATGGAAAGCAAAACCAAGAACAAGGGGGACTACTGTACTATATCCCCATTAATAAGTAAAACAATAGAGACTATGTTGTAATACATAAAAATATGAAAAGTCAAGAAAATAAAAATCAAGTTACATGTTTAATTATATCATGAAATTATATTACGTTTGTGAAAAACTATGTGTGAATATAGGCAGACATACTGAAAATTAAAAATTTATAGATTATAAATTATTTTTCTAATTTGTTTGATTTTGTGAGTAATGTCAATAATTATTGTGGGCCAGGAATTTAGCTCAGTGGTTTCGCCACCCGCTGCACAAGTGCAAGGACCCGAGTTCGATTCCCAGTACCAAAAAAAAAATTAAGTTAAATAATTATTTTAATCTGAGGGAAAATATGGTATTCTTTTAACGTGTTCTATCTTGAACCACAATGATGCATGCATGACTATCCTATCAGGTGGCTTTTTCTTAATTTTATTAGTAAAAAGACCAATAAAAGTGATTAGATCTGTTTGTACCATCAGTGGTACAAGCTGCCTTATGGGACAGTCATTTGTGTACCACCAGTGGTTCAAGCCACCTGGCAGTGAGACATGTAAGAATTATAGCTCCATCATGAATGTGTTAAGGTTTTACCAGAAATTTCCATTTGACAAAGTAATTGGTTTTTTAGAAAGAACCAAATATTTAATTCTCTAGCTTAAAAAGATTTCTATAGCATACTAACCCTGCATTATATAGATCTCCCACATCTTGTTTTTTTTAAGTTAACCAAATCATTTCCGTGAACAGAAATTAAATTTCAAGCAATGACTGTCTCTCAAGCTCAAAGTGAGCGCAGTATCCAAGCCACCTTCCCACCACTAATCAGTATACTCATGCCAATCAGAATACCAATGCGATTTCCCTCAGCTCTTGATATATAACTGTAAGGTTTAACTAAAAATAAACAAATAAAGAAGAATTACCTTAGAAAGAAAGAGTAATAAACTTCCAGATAAACATGATCCATTTGACACACTTGTTTAACTCCAATTCCTCCAAAAACTGCACTAAAATATCAATATAGAATAAAAATGGTATAAACTTTAAAAGAAAAAAAATGATACATAGGAGAAAAAATACTAAAAGCTTCTGAGAGGAGGAAAAAGATCAAAAACAAAAAAAGAAGACCTTGAAAACTTCTACACAGCAACAGTGGAAGCTCAAGAAAATAGATGGCAAACTATGGCCCAAGGAAATATCCCCACACACTGCTTGTTCTGTAAATAAAGTTTTATTGGCACACAGCCACAGCCATTTGTTTACACATTGTCTGTGACTATTCATGACAACAGCAGAGCTGAACAGTCACCACAGATACTATGTAGCCCACAAATTAATTACTGTCTCTTTACAGAAAAAATCTGCCAAATCCCACAGCAAACAATTGTCTCACCTTCACATATTGAGGGAATTTGTACTCCAATGTAATATTCCTTATCCCAAACTATCACAAGAAGTATGAGAGTATAAATATATTTTTTAAAAGGAGGGTCTCAAAACATTTTACCTCCCACTAGTCCTCTATAAGAAAGCTACCGACAGATGTGCTCCACCAAAACAAGTAAATAAACCAAGAAAGAAATTGCCAGAGAAAAGTAAGAGCACTAAATCTTTCTCTTCACTGTGCAAAATCATTAGATGTATAAATGTGGAAAAATCAAGAATCATATAAATGTATTATTTATAAACATGCATATTAATATCAGAAGATACAGCTAAAGAAGTTGGAAAAGTTCTCACCTCTAATGAGCGAGACTCAAAAGGCAGGAAGTATAGTTAAGGGAGGGCTTTGTTGTTTTCAGCAAGCCTGACAAGGCAGTCTAACTAATGTGAGGTATCCCGCCAGGCTACACCACGTGAGGGCCTAGTCTGGGAAATCACTGAGGCAGAGCCTCCCCAGGGGCACCTGGAGAGGGGTTCACTTAGACCATATAGTCCTTCATGAGTGAGCTGATTAACTCCCCAATAAAGAACAACACACACGGAGAGCCAATTATCAGCATCAAGGTAGCATCAGAGCAGGAGAGCTGGAGTCAGAGCTGCATGTCTATTCCTTCAGCAAATCTGCCGCACTGCAAACACAGCTACTAAAAGGTTATAGTGTTCTTTAGTTCATAGCAGTTTGAGTCTTATCAACGGACTAGGACATGCAGAGACAAAACACCAGCCCAGTGACTTTGTGCATGTCACACATTCATGGCTGAGTATGTTGTCATTCTTAGATAACTGTGGCCTGTTTTGCACATGTCCCTGAGAAAGGAGTCGGGTCCTTAACTGTCCTCAGACACCCTCAGATGCCCGGGGTTTGAGCATAGCCAGAAGTGATACCCACAACTAGGTACACGTATTCACTTTGATAATGATTAAAGACATAAAAACAGTATCACCTCCAAGTATTAATAATTTATTGTAGAATTCCTACAATTAAAAAAAACTTACTATGTGTTAAAATTAAAGTTTAATGGAGCAAAACAATCCTGACATAAACCATAGCATTTATAAGAACTTCATTGTAATAAGATAAGCACAACAAGCCAAAGGGAAAGTAATAGATTTAGAGAAACCTAGAGAGATAGAGAATATTTTCTGGGAAGAAACAATGTTTTTAGCTTCTGGTTTGCCAAGTGATTCCCCAACTCCCTTGCCCTCTACCTTAAATAGCTTAGCAACAACTGGCTGAGAATACTGAGCTGATTCAGCAGGAAAAGCCACTGGAATTTATATATAACCTAACACATGACCCTGCCTCCAATATGCACCAGTGTATAAAGGGGAACAGACTTCCAGTTCTTTCCAAATTAGGCTTGCCTCTCCTTGGAATAATCAGAGTTCAAGGTTTCTATTGGCAGAAACTATTTTCCATAAATCTTATTTCTACCTGCCCTGTGTGCTGTTAAAAGTATTAGATACTGCCCTCAGTCTGTGTGGCAGCTGCCAAAATTAACTACAAGAGGAAAATTCAAGCCTTAACCTCACACCACTAATCAGTAAGTTCCAAATAGATTATGTAACTTTGCGTACAAAAATTAAAACATTAAAATAAAAATATAATTTATACCTAATCCTTGAATTATGAGGAATTACCTATGAAAACATGAAAGCAATATATAGAATACAGCAAAATCAGAATTTATAAAGCCAGGCACAGTGCCATATGCCTAATCACAGCACTAGGGAAGTTAAGGCAAGAGAATCACAAGTTCAAGGCCAGCTTCATCAACTAAGCAAAACCCTGTCTCAAAATCTAAAAAGGCTGAGAATGCAACTCATTGCCTGGGTTCAATCAACAACAAAAATAATAATAATATTTTATAAAGAAAAGGTCTTTTAACTGTATAAAGCTGTGTGTCCCATAACACTGCAAATGAAGTTCAAAGGCAAATAATACACTGGGAAAATATCTATAGTACTGTAAATATAAGAGTTAATATGCTAAGTATGTATTTTTTAAAACTCAGCAGCTTGTTAAAGCATGAATATTTCAATTTTACTATGCAAAAAATAAACAGCTAAGTGCCAAAGTAATGCAAAAAATACACACACTACAACAAAACATTTTAAATGTTTTATTCCACAAAAAATCTGACAAATATGAATTCAAACACAGAAATACTTATCCATTAAATGAAGCCATTAAAAACACATTTTCAAACAATATTTAAAGATTTAGGGAAATTATAATAGGATGTCAAATAAAAATGCAGAATATTTAACTATTGTGTAGATAACCCAACTTTGTAGAAAAAATACTAGGCAGAAAAAATGTACAGGTAATTTTTATTTTTTTTCTCTTTTTTATGGTTTGCAAATTTTGCATAAGCATGTTTTTATTTAAAAAACTAAATAGACAAAAAATAGGGCTCCATTCTAAGTGTGTGACAGCACTAGTAATTTTGATAAATTTGTATTAGCCAATAGCTGACAGTGGTTGAGTGATAAAGGGAATCTAGCACTGTTGTAGGTTCCTGACATACTTATCAACACATTTCATCCTCACATGAACCGTGGCATACTGTGATCCTGTCCTCGAGAAAACAAACCAAGTCACAGGAAGAGAAAGATGTCCCACAGCTGACAGGTAAAGAAGCAGACTCACCCATGCAGTCAACTCTTCATCATCACACACCCGGCCTTCTCATGGGGCTGGACAACAAGGTCACACAAGACTGTTTCATTGCAAGGGAAAACATTCAGGACACAACCAGTAACAAAGGCAAACTGAAACCAATCAAACATTTGTCAGAAAGAGAAAGACACATCCCAGCTTAGGAGTAGAGTCATAAAGTTGGTATCAGGTGCTTCTATAACTTTTCAAGTTCTTTAAGACTTCAGAGTTCTGTTTCCTTGATATAAAGTCCCTCCCGCAGCTCTGATCCCACCACAGCAGAGTTTAAGAGAGGCCAACAGCACCAAGTGTGCTCCTGATGCCTTCTTCCAATCACCACCATGCTCACAGCAAGAACTAAGGGCAACCTCGCCTCCCAGCTCTATATTTTACCAATGAGAATATCCATCCTCCCATCGTCACTGTCTCCTTACTAAAACCACACCAAAGATCAATCCCAAGGACTGACATCCTTCCACCAAACACAAAACAATCCCATCATACTGCCAAGTTACTCACCACTACCAGGTGAGCCTGAGACTCCTGACAGCTGGGTCTCTAAACCCACTAGCCTGACCCCAAACCCCAAGTGTCCTCCCTCCTTCCATCCAGACCTCCCACTGCAATCCCCTGCCTCCCACCAGTAAGCCTCTGTCTGTCTGCAGGCCTCCTTCATCTCCCCTCTACAGGACCTGAACCCCTTCATCCCTGTCCACCCCACCGAAGCTGCACCTGCCATGACAACCGCCAGTACCCGCTAGGCACGGCATAAATGGTATTTGTGTTTATCATCAAATTATTTCCAGAACACAGCCATTCTCAGACAGAGACAGACAGACAGACAGACTAATGAGACACTCACCGTCAGAATGTACCATCCACTACCTCTCTTTCTGGAAGCCACCAAGAGAAGCCAGAGTTATTCTTACTCATCCAGTGAAAACTTTTCACAGCTAGCTGGCTCCCTGCCTTTCTCTCCTCCACTCCTGTCTTGGCTCATGGTGACTTCCACACCAACCCAGGAAAGCCACTAACACCCAGGCTGCCTGTTGCTTCAGCTCTTCCCTTTCAGTGAGCTCTTCTCCACCCAGCTTAGCCAGCTAGGCTCACCACAATCTCTATAGCTCCAATATTTTTACTGGAAGCATCGACCATTGGCCACTCCAGATCACTAATGCCAGCACTCCACTCAGCTTCTCAACCACATCAGAAGCTGTCAATCCATTCTGTTCGCACACTCCATCTTCCCATTCACATCCTCATTTTCCTCCCTATATCCCTTTGCACTATTTGTCACTATAATGATTTCCTTGCACATATCCTCAACAATTTTGCCTCTTTCCTTCCACTGTACATTTGAGAACAAAATAACCTTGGTGAAACCAGACTCCCTACTTATCAGCACCTATATCCAAATGGTTTAATAGCACTGGAGAACACTCCACCTTGCACACTGGTCTCACAGCTCATGATCACGATCTCCAGGGCCCCCAGCAAAGCCTGGCCACCACCCATACTGTCCTGACCTGGACACATCCCCAGTCTCCTGGCTGAGCACCTCACTCCTCCTCTCTCCTCACCTCCAACCACTCTTCCCTCTCCTATCACCACCAAATGACCTCACTTCTCATTTTTAGCAAAAACAGAAAGAATCCCAAGAGAAGCCTCTCCTTTTCCAACCAGGTCTCTCCTTAGGGAGGGCAAGCTGCTCCTGATCTAACCCTGGCTAACCTGTAAGCAGAGTTCCTTCCCCTTTCAGCTTTCCTCCCAGGACTGCCCTTTCTCGCCTGAGCATCCTCCTAGTGCTCTTCACACCATTCTTTTCAGACTATATAAAATGCTACACCAATCCCCTTTAAAAAGTCTCCCCAAATGCACATTCCCGCAAATACTGCATAAGTAACCAGGAAAAAAGTTTCATTTAAAACTAGAAAAGAGACTGGAGCTGTACCTCAGTGGTCAAAAGTGTGCTTACCACACATCAGGCCTGGATTCAATGCCCAGCACCACCAAAATAAATAAAGAGTATATTTTGACTTTTTAGGTTAACTGTTGCTATTAAATCATATTGACCTTACCATATTTGGGGGCACATTTAAAGTACTGGACTTTTCCAACACTTCCATTGTTTTTGCCTTCTGGTTCATCTAATTCAATGCCAGCCCACTGACCACTTGCAAATTCAGTTGTTCCACAAAATCGTAGTGTCCCAATCTAAAGAAAATACAAATGTACATTACTTTTAATATTACTAATAATTACAAGCATCTTACTCATAGTGATTTTATCACAGAAGTTTTTTAAAACTCTCTCAAAGTAAACTTCAGAATAAGAAACAGTACCAAAGGTAAAATGGAACATTAAATAAATGTCAAGAGTCAATTCACCAAGACAACAGAGAGTCCTAAATGTGTAGGCACCCAACCAGTGAGCTTCAAAGTGTGGGAAGTTTTTATCAATAGAACTGAAAGGCAAAACTGACAAATCCACATTACACCCAGAGACTTTAATATACCCCACTCATTTCATCAACAGATCAAATAGGCTAATAAGGATACAAAAAAATTTAACCAGCTATAAATTTTGACTGAACTGACTTAGAGAACATTCCATCCCAAACAGCAGAATACCAATGAAAATAATAGAAATTATAAAAATATGTTCTCAGACCATAAACTAGAAATCACTAACAGAAAAATATATGGAAATCTCAATATTTGGGAATTAAACCGTTTACTTCTAAATAACAGGTGAGGAAGAAAAAAAATCACAAAGGAAATTAGAAAATATTGTGAACTGAGAGAAAAATATCAAGTTTGTGGGATGCAGCAAAAGCATTAGATAATTGTCTTATGAAAAGTCTCAAACCAATGAACTAGCCTTCCACCTTGAAACTATAAAGACCCAAACCCCGCAAAAGGAAAAAAATGATACAAATTTAAAAACTGAAAACAGAGAAAACCAATGAAACCAAAAACAAGTTCTTTGAAAGGATAAAAATTAATTTTTAAAAATCCTCTAGTTGGAAACCAAATTTAAAAACAGAAAAAAGCAAATTACCAACATTATGAATAAAAGAGGGATGTTATTACAGACCCCTGGTCACTAAAAAAGACTGTAAGAGAATACTAAGAACAACTCCGACCATACGTTTGATAAATGGGGTGAAATATTCCAATTCCTTGAAAGATAGAAACCATCAAAACTCACACCTGAGGGCCAGAGATTTAGCTCAGTGGTTCTGCCACCTGCCTCACAACCACAAGGTCCCAAGTTCAAACCCCGGCACAAAAAAAGAAAAAAACACTCACAGCTGAAATGACTTAGTAATTAAAAACCTAAAAAAAAAAAAAAAAAAATCCAGGCTCCGATGGCCTCATTGGTGAATTCCACCAAACAACTTAAGGGCAAAGTAACATCAATTCTACACAAACTGTTCTAGAATACAAAAGTGTAAGTATCAATTCCTAGCTCATTTTATGAACCCAATATTACTTTGATACAAAAACATTATAAGAAAAACTGTAAACCAAATATCACTAATGAACACAAAAATAAGAACCTTCAATTAGTCAGCCACAATGACAGGACTGTGAGTTTAAGCCCTGCCTGGGCTACACAGTAAGACTCTGTCTCAAAATGCCAAACAAAATAAAACAAAATAAAGCAAATCAAAGTCAATAAAAAAGAATATATACATGATAACCAAATGAGATTTATGACAGGAATGTAAAGCTCATTCAGTATTTAAGAATTAATCAGGGCCGAGGATTTAGCTCAGTTGTGCCACCACCCGCCTCACAAGAGCAAGGTCCTGAGTTTGATCCCCGGTACCAAAAAAAAAAAACAAAAAAAAGAATTAACCAATGGAATTCATCACATAAACAGACTAAAGGGCGGGGGGGGGGGGATTTGCTATTTCAAAAGATACAGAAAAAGCTTTCAGCAAGTTTTAACATTCTTTCATAGTAACTTTTTAAACCCATTTTCCAGTTAGGGAAAAAAAGGTGCAACTCACTTCCAGCATTCATTTAATTTTTGAGGCTGAAGCAAACCTAACTGGTTTTCAATGTGAAAATAAAACATAAAAACTATTCCTGGGTTATTTCTAAATAGAACATGTCTCCAATCCTAATGTAAGAGAAAAGTATATTACGATCAGTATTCAATAATTTTGTATGCAGTAAATTTCAAAGCACAGAACAACACAAAGCAGAACATCACATTCCACACAAAATAAGTTTTTCTCTGGATCTTCTTGCCCTTTTATTGTTTTTTTGTTTGGGGGTTTTTTTTTGCTTTTTTTTATACAAAAGTAATAATTTATTTGCTCACAGTCTGCAATTTGGGCAGGCACAGGGCTGACATCACTGCTGTGTTAGCTGGGGCATCTCTGCTCTCTGCTACTGGAGGATCTAAAATGTCTTCATTTCCGAATCTGGTGCCTCAGCTGGCAAGGTCACAACACCTGGTGTCTGGCTGAGCCTCTCTGTCCAGCAGCATAAATGGACTTATTTACATGATAACTGGAGTCCAAAAGGGCAAAACACCTCAAAAGTTATTCTTTCTGGGTGTGGGTGCAATAATTTTACAAATTATTTTAGTTACTTTTCTCCTTGTTGAGACAAAATACCCAAGACTCAAAGTTAAAGGAGGAAATGTTTATTTGGTTTACAGCTCATAGTTTTCTGTTCATAGTTGGCTGGCTTCAAGGCAGGGTGGCATGGCAGAGTGGCATTGCAGAGGAGAAAAAGTTCATGGCAGGCAGAAGGCAGCAAGGCAAGCAACAAGTGGCAATAGCAGCTTCTTTTTGTTTATATTCTATCTAGAACATCCAGAACTATGCCAAATCAATCAGTGCACTAATTTACTAATCACACACCCTTAATCCCAGCATCATACACTCTAGATCCAGCCACCTCTGAAAAAGCCCCACCTATGACCATATGAGGCTTTGAGGGGACATCTAGATATAAGCTGTAACACTGGCCAAAGAACTATACAGAACAATTTCACACCATCAGCTGAATCTTCCAAATTCATACTGGGTCCTGTGTGAACAAGCACAGTCCACACATAACCAAACTGACTTTCACAATTACATGTGGCTGGAGACCAAATGGTGCTCAGTCTGCTGGGATGTACTGCTTCAGAGCTAACCACCTCTTGAACAGCAACAGTGATTCACCAACTGCAATGTTTCTGTTTGCAGTATAGAGTACATAGTTGAGAACTTACTTAAATGTCAAATGTAGATTTGATCTTATGCAATAAAATATGGGCCTTTGACGGACCAGTGGATATGGAAAAACTACTGACAAAATGCAGGCACCGAAGCAGTCATAATTTGCCTGAGATAAGGTATATCCAAAGAGGCCTTGTCCTTCAAAACATCTCCAGCTTAAGTTTATGCACTATACCCGCAGTAACATTACTGCAAAAAAGACTTTTGACTGGTCATTTTCAGTGTCTTTCCATTTAACCATTCAGGAAAATCCTTTCAGACCAAATGGCTTTGAAGCCAACAAGAGAGGTTGGGCATTAGCTTCACTGGTAATTTTTGAAACTGACTATTCAGTAAAGGACAGCTCAAATACTGTAGTGGTCGGTGGCATCAACTTTTCTGCCAGGTGTGTGGGCACAGTCTACCTAGGACATGGGCTATAACACGAGATGACCATCTCAGAGTGCAACCTGAGTCAGCTGAAGTTGGGCTATTTCCATCAGGTTCCAGATTGGGCAGAGGTTTGACTATATGATCTTCCAAAGCACTATCCCAAAAGTTGTCAGGATTGTCTATTTCAGAAAAACTGAATTCATCAAATAAATCCTCAGCTAGCAACGTCTGAGACAACATTAACATCATGCATAGGAATGCTGTTTTCTAGGATTTGACATTTTCAGTGATCAAAAATTACTATATTTTGTAAATGGAAATATTACTTTACTAAAAACAGAAGGCTACAAATAGAATGGTGTCTTTTGTTTCCAAAGACTACTAGAGCAATGCAAAAATAATAAAAGGGCAATATTTCATTTGGGGGAAAATGTTAGGACTGTAATCTGTGAATTATCTCAGGTTTAACACTGAAGTCATAAGCACCACTGGCAAGTATTCTCGGGGAAAACAGGAAACAAATTACAAAGACTCAGCAAACTAGGAATAGCTGGGAACTTCCTCAACTCGATAAAGGACATCGGCACAAAATCCAGAGCTAGTGACTATCACATGGGATAAAAGATTGAGCACTTCACCCCTCAAATTGGGAGCAAGGCAAGGATGTTAACGCTTCCTACTCCTATTTATTATTTTATTGAGGGTCCTAGGCAATAAAATATGGCATGAAAAATAAAATGCAGAGAGACTGAAAAGAAATTTTAAAAACAGGCGTGGTGGTGTATAACTATAATCCTAATTGCTGGGGAGGCTGAAGCAGAAGGATTATGAGTTTGAAGACAATAAAGCCATCAAGACCTCATCTGCAAAAAGAAAAAAGATATGAAGAAATAAAATAGACTCTATTTACAGACATGACTGTATAAGATATCCCAAAGAATCTACAAAATATAAAGGCCAAAAGAATAAATTTAGAAAGGTTTAAGGGTACACAGTCAATATGTAAAAATTTCACATGCCAGCAATGAACAATAGAAAAATGAAATTTTAGCAATATCATCATTTACAATAGTCCCCCAAATCATGAAAAACTTAGGTATAAATCTAACAAAGCACATGTAATGTCTATATGCTTAAAACTACAAAACTTTGATGAAATAAACCAAGGAATGAAGTACATGAATAGAGAGATATATTGTGTTTGTGAATTCAGAGACAATATTTTTAAGATATCAAGTCTATTCAACCCGACCTATATATAGATTCAACAGCACTCAATCCAAAACCCCAGAAGGATTTTTAAAAATCTACACATGCCTCACATGCCTATAATCTTAGCACTCGGGAAGCTGAGGCAAGAGGATCATTGCAAGTTCAAGGCTAGCATGCATCACACAGAGAGACCATGTTTAAAAAAGAAAATATATATACATATACACACATACATATATACATACATACATGGCCAGGCATGATGGCACACATCTGTAATCCCAACACTCGGGAGGCTAAGGCAGGGGGATTGCTGCAAGTTTGAGCCCAGCCTGGGATACATAGTAAGTTCAAAGCCAGTCTGAACTACATAGCAAGACCCTGACTCAAAAACAAAACCAAAAAAACTACAAATTAATTCTGAAATATAGATGAAATGGAAAAAAAAAAACCCTAGAACTGTCAGTTTTGGGGGAAAAAAATTAAAGGCCTAATACTATTTGATTGCAAGACTTGCTATAAATTAAGAGCACATCACAACAGTATTGAAGAAAGGATAGTCATTAGATTGATGGAGCAGAGAGGAGTCCAGAAATAACACTCACACATACATGGGCAAGTGATTTTTGAAAAGTTACAAAGGCAATTCAATGGAAAATGAAGAGTTTTCAATAACTGGTGTTGGAACAAATAGGCAACCATATGTCTGAAAAAAAAGACTCAAAAGTAAATGCAAAACTAAATGTAAATCCTGAACTATAAGCATTCAGAAGAAAATAGAAGAGTATTTCTTAGATATGACACTAAGCACACAATCCACAAAAGAAAAAAGCTGGTAAGTTGGACCTCACCAAAATTTAAAATGTCTAGCCAGGCATAGTGGCACATGCATATAACCTCATCTTGAGAGGCTGAGTCAGAAAGATTTCAAGTTCCAGCCCAGCCTGGGAAACTAAGTAAGACCTGTATCAAAATTACAAAAAAAAAAAAAAAAAATTAAAAGTCCTTTGGATGATACTCAAGAGAATGAATGAAAAGGCAAGCAATTGACTGAGACAATGGTGGCTAACCTTAGAGACTCAGCGCCTAAACTGCAACCCGAAACCCACTTATCACAAAGCCCCAACACTGCCCCTATGTGCATTGTTACTCAAGGCTCGGCTGCTGGGGTGGTGCTGGAGCAGGGATAGGACGGCGAGGACCCCTCCTGCTCCCTGCAGCACCTGTGCCGCCGGTTTGCCCCCACTGGACTGAGAGATAACATGAGGGAAATAAGACTGGCCATTATTATGGAAGTTTCTATTTTTGCATAGCTAAAATTATCCAAAATAAAAAGAATAACTTTTCAGGTCCATTCAGAAGATACAGACAGAGTTACAGGAATGATACAAAAACTGAATGTTGATTCGGTTCATATTCATAATTTCTTGGTATTTTAATTCCACAGATAGGTGAAAAACAATTGTCCTGTGAGCACACTATTTTGGAAGCTGGTGAATGGCACTCTTTACCCAATAGTTTGTAACTCTCCCTTTTTGAAGCATTTGTTTTCAGTAAATCAAGGCTCTAAATTTCAGTGATTTCTGAGAAACCTTATCATTTTCCCCACAAATCTACTCGAGCACTGAGATGAAACACTGGCAAGTTTGACATGCAAGCAGGAATTCCCCATTCCAGTCTCCATATTGAGCACCCTACTAACCTCAAAATTAAGGGAAAAAAGCTTCTGGGGGCAGGCGGGTGAGTGTAGCTCAATAGTAGAGCACTTTTCTAGCATGTGGGTTTGATGCCTATAGCACAAAAATAAATAAATAAATTCTCCCACAATGAGGTGTAAAGGAAGGAGAAAAGAAAAGGAGAAGGGGAGGGCAAGCAGGAGCGAGGAAAGGAAATTGGCCAGAGTGAAGCCCACATAGAAACGAGAAAAAAGTGTCCAGAGCATTTCTGGTGTTTTGGAGAAAGAATGTAAAGCGTTCTCTTTCCCACAACCTCTTTACTGTCAGGTTATAAGCATCTAAGATCTCTCTGTTCGTGGAATCTCAAGACAAACGCCCAAGGACAGTGAGGGTCGCTCCTGCTGCTTCTTCAAGGCTGGCAGTGGGAGGAGTGGCGCGGGTGGGGGTGGGGAGGCTGCACACACATCCTGGCTGCGTCACTTCTCGGCTCAGTTCTCCTCCACTCCACTTTTTCCCATGTAGATGTCTTTGCTACCAAGTTCAAACAGTTCATATTTTTAAACTGTACTTTATAGTAAATTCATGGCTACATTTCACATTTTCATTCAAGTATATTTTTACCTAGATGTTGAACTTCTCTTCAAAGACTCCAAACTCTGACTGTGCAGCTTCCCCCTCAGACACAGAGCTTCAGGGATGGCGGTTATTACTGTACCTTCTGTCCTGCAATGACAACACGATCCCCCAACTTCAGGCCAAGAGATGAAAGCGCTGTCTTGCTAGTCACGTGGTCACAGTTTGGCAGCATGGCCTTGGAGCGACCACAGGACAGAGGCACCGCGTCTAGCAGCATCTGCTTGATTTCCTTGGCAGTTGCTGCAGCGTCAGCCATTTCCAACGGCATATCCACTGGGTCTGGAACGACATCGGCAGGGATCTGTCCTTTGTCATTCTACAAACAGAGGCAAAAGATATCTTTCAACTCTTATTTACTTGGAATGCTAGACAGTCATATAAAATTCTTCTTGTAGGAAATGTAAATATATTCATCATTTCTTTATTGAAGAATACAAACCCAACAATTGTTACATGACAGACACTATTCTAGGTGCTAAAGACACACAGTGAAGAAAACGAAAAGCTCTGCCCTTGAAAAGCACACATTCTGGTGGGAGAGACAAACTATAAACAAGTAAATAATGATATGGTTTAATAAATAGCAGGAAGTTTATTAAACAGAGGAAACAAAGCAGAGAAGAGGGATAAAGGCCATGGCCAGAGACTCTGTCACAGGAGAAACTGTTACGCAGAGTGGTCAGGGAGGCCGCCTGCGACAACGCATTTACACACAGATCCAAAGGAGAGGAGGCGGTGGCCATGCCGGTTCCTGGGAGGGAAACACATGCCATGCACTGGGCAGGGACAGTGCAGAGCCCGTGGGTGGCAGGTGGGCAAGCTTGGAAAAGCAAGCCAGGGCTGATCAGCTCTGCAGTCCCAGGTGTAGCTACAGCCACACGCGCTTAATGACATTTCTGCCAAGCAGGGACCTCGTACACAACAGTGCCTTCGACCATGGGACTGTACCGCCTCGTGATATCCTAATTGCTCTACTTTATGCAAGGACACTCTATGATGCCTACAGAAGGGCGAAATGGCCTAACGATGCATTTCTCATCATTAAGGGGCACCACACGAGTACATGCCACAGTTGCCACCTCAGTTACGAGACCTCAGCCTCCTGTCCGCTCATGCAGCAGTTCAGATTTCAGAGACAGAAACTAGACTTTCTTTACTTCTGAAATTTGGGCTGTCATCAAGAAAATAGTTCTGTTCTCACCATAAAGGGGAGACTATATCCTAGCATTTATCCTGTGAGATGATAAAGTACCCAGTTATGAGCTCACTTCATTAACAGGGTGTTTATATAATTAACGCCCTATCATAAAAATTATCTCACTTGGTTCCTCCACATCAAGAAAAAACTCGTGAACAAAACAGAATACCTCTTCTTAAGAATTTACATTATAGGGCTGGGGATTTAGCTCAGTGGTTCCACTGCCTGCCTCGCAAGCGCAAGGACCCGAGTTTGATCCCCGGTACCAAAAAACAAAACATAACAAAACAAAAGACAAAAAAAATTAGCACTCCAAATTTTTATTAAGAAAACTAATAGTAATAGTAATAAAATAACGATGATGATTTTCTAATAAGAGAAGGCTCATTCATGACTAGTTATGGAATTCCTTTCTTTTGCTTTCATTTCTTTTTTGTAGTAGTAGGGATTGAGCACAGGGCCTACACACTAAGTTATATTCCCAGCATGCATATGCGCATATATATATATATATATATATATATATATATATTTTTTTTTTTTTTTTTTTTAAAGACAGGGGTCTCACCAAGTTGTTAAGTTGCCCAGGCTGGGCTCAAACTTGGGATCCTCCTGTCTTATCCTCCCATGGTTCTAGGATTACAGGTGTGCACTACCACAACCGGCTGGAGTTCTGCTTTCTTCTACCATTAGTGACTACCAAAGGGTGGCCCAGGGATAAATGCTGGCTCACATAGTAAACTGTGTTTTCAAAGGCTTACTCCTTTTTGTTTTGTTTTGTTTTTGCTTTTTGAGGCAGGGTCTCACTATATAGCCTAAAGTGGCCTTGAATTCACAGGAATCCTCCTGCCTCGGCGGCTTATTCCATTTTTAAAAGTGTATTTATTTTAACTTTGCATTTTGTTGTCATTCTTTGGAGATAAATTTTCTTTTCAAAAGAATTTAAAGTATGATTAATAGAAAATCGTAACTTTAATATATTCATTTGTCTTTAACAGCAAATTTTTCATACATGTATCAAAAGTCAGGCTGGGGATTTAGCTCAGTGGTTCCGGCGCAAGGTCCTGAGTTCGATCCCTGGTACCAAATAAATAAATAAATAAATAAATAAATAAATAAAAAGCCTAAGTAAAAAATATTTAAACTCAAAGATCATGACACTGTAAGGAGGTTTTTACTTTCCTGAATGGGAGATTTATGGAACTTAATGTAAGAGGACTGAAAGTTACTGTGATGCCTTAAATTTAAAGGAAAGACTGTCAACATACCCTTTACAGACATAAAGATACTTGCTCATATAAGAGTTACTCCATTAATAACAACATCCAGATTCAACCCTACTGGGAGATGATATAAAGCTTTTTAATTCCTTTACTTCAACCTCTTACCCTAAAGGCAGGGTTTGCTCCATGCTCCAGTAAGCATTTTACAGCACCTGCACACAAGTTATATGCTGCAATATGCAGAGCTGTTCCAAAATTAAAGTCACTGCAAGTGTCATCCACATCTGCAATTAAACATGAGAAGTATATTAACTAAGATTTTAAATTTAGCCATTATAATTTAAAAGGAGACAGGAAATTTGTTTGTAGAGGGGAATGCTTTTACAAGACTTAAGTCAACCCACCGGAAACTATTCCACAATGAAACAAAATTTTTGTATTACAATCTGGCTAAAATAATCAGTTACTTATTTTCCTAGTACAATGAAGCTCACTATCGAGTGCAGCCATACTCTTGTGAGTTTTCCAGCTATCAGAAATTATGCCATATTAAAAGCAGTGGATGGCAACAACTCCCACCTGTAAAAGCAACTGCCTTCGCACACTCTCACGGAATCTCTCGCACGTTCTCCATGACAACCACAGTGAGGCAGTAGCAGGGTTTAGCTCAGGGATCAGCAAACTATAATCCCTGGGCCACATCAGCCAGCACCTGTTTGTATAAAGCTTTACAGGAACACAAGCACACACACTCGCTGACACATTCTCTGCAGCTACTTTCATACTGCAACTGTGGAACAGAGTCGTCAAGACAGGGCCCAATGTAGTCTGAAAAGGCTAAAATATGTAGTTGCTATCTGGCTCTTTACAGAAAAAGACTTCCAAACACCCTACTAAGAAAACAATGCCAAATTCCCAAACCAATTACAGACTAAATGTATAAAATAATATTCTATTCAACAAATGAATTTGAACTTCATACTAAGAAAAGGAAGCTTATAATTCTAAGAACAGTCTAAACTTTCATTAAGTCATTATGTTATACTCAAATATAAGAAGCCCTCCAGACTTGGTAATCCCATTTTGAATTTTTCTATAATAAGAATCTAATACACCTCCGATCCTGGAAATCCTACCTTAATCTACAACCACCCCTGTGTGCCCTATCTACAACTGCAAGCACCTCCAGCAGGCTCAAGACAAACACTTTTGAATTACTAAATACATGCTACCATCAACAGAGGATTTCTTCCCAATATCATTCAGAAATGAAAAAGTAGCGTTTTAAAGAGAAAATGGATAATTACATGAATCAGAGCTTGGAAAATAGCATTCTGGGAAGTTTACTGAATCTCTAAAACATATTTTTTACCAGGAGGACAATACTGTACAGTCCCTTTAACTTAAAGAAATGCTCTTTATTTGCTCCGTTTTTTCTCAGAAGAAAACTGACATCCAATAAGAGAACCAGACAGGAAGTTAAAATACCAGGTCAGATATTTAAACATTCTAGTTTTCAGTTTGAATATCACCATCAAGATAGAGGGAAGGGAGACGCCTAGAAATTTTATCTGTTAAGTTGAATCACAGAAATTCAGAAATGAATGCTATCTGAAAGAAATATCCTGTATTATTTCGATGCCTATTTCTGAAGGTTTGATTGTTCTATTCTGGCTACTCAAGCAAGTCAAAAGAATTATATAGTAGATAGAATCAATTAGACATAAAATCTATGTTAGATTGGAGAATTTGCTGAGATAGGAAAACCCAGGAACACTTTGTTTTGTATCTCTTTGTAATAAGCTTTGCATGAAAGAATAGCAATTAATCTTCAATAAAGAAATTCTAAACATCTCAGAAATAAAATGGATAGGAAAGTTCACAAAACAAGATGCATTAATGAAGAAAAATCTCCTTGAACTATAACTTTTATGCCACTACTGATGTGTAATTAGTAATATCTATGGTGATCTGATAGTACTTGCCTTTTGGTTTTGATGTCTTCAAAATCACTCTTATAACTTCTGGGACATCAAAATAAGCAGCATAATGCAAAGCATTCATATTTGTCCAGCGACTCCGCAAACTAACATCTGCTCCCAGATCAATAAGCTGAGCTGCAAATTTCACAGCTGTCTCAACATCACCTACAGGACATTTTCTAAATTATTTTTCTTTATTGCGAATTTCAAATACCAAAGGATGGTTGGCTACAATTTCATTTAAAAAGCTAAAGCAAACAGCACACTGAATATACATTTGTACCTCAAAAATGTCATTTTCAGGAATTTATTCTAAGGAAATAATCGTACTCAGGGATATGAATAAACACTTCTCTGTAAAGGTGTTCCTAACTGTACTGCTTATTATGAATAAAATTCTGAAACCTAAAAGTACAATAATAAAAATTGGTTAAATAAATTGAAATGTCCACATTTTGGAATATTCCACTAAAGCCATTAAAAACAGGGTGCTAGATCAGTGCTGTTCAATGTTCTGTGGACACCATCAGTCCTACACTGCAATCTGTCCGCATTTTTTGTCACTCTTTTTTTCCTCTAATATTTCTTCCAATCAAGTGAAATGTAACTTTATGCCTTTTAAAACATATTTGGGCTTATGTTTTTATTTAGTTCATTTTTATATTATAAATTCATTTTGTTTTATTTTACAAAAGCATCAGGCCATGATGGATTGCAGTGGGGAGAAAGAAGTCCTTCACCACCATAAGAGTTCCAGAAGCTCTGTATCACACTACTGAAACAGGGAGAGACAATCACAAAACATGTTTAAGTCAGAGGGGCAGATTTATAAAACGGTAAAGCATGAGACAATTCCAGTTTTAGAAAATACAGACATATGTATTACAAGTATAGAGTTCACCTAAGCCTAAAGCCTGGAGTCTGTGGGGATTACTATGCCTGGAAAACCGACCATAGATTGACCTTGCTGTAAGCCCTCAGGAACATTCTAGGGCAGTGATGGCAAATCTTTTAGAGCTTTCAATGATAATAAGCAGCCAGCTACAGCATGTGCCATAGGTTCACCATCACTGTTCTGGGTATTACCAGTTGCTTCACCCAGTGAACAGCCTGTTTAAAAAAGTGAGAGGAACTGACAAGATATAAAGGCTTCCCTGAGAAAAGGGAACCAGGTCTTGAAGGACCTAACTACTCCGGCTACATTGTCAGCTAAGTGCCCTCCAGGGTCTCTGGCATACACTGAGATTATTTAAGCACAAAAGCAAGTGATCCAAGCAAGCAAGACGCTGTCACATACTTACCAATACCATGAGCTCCAGACTTGCAAGTATAATGTAAAAGAGTCATATCCGTCAATCCATCTCTGTCATTCACATTGCAACCTCTTTTAAGAATCTAAGAAAACCAAGGAAAATATGATTACAACACAACTACTGAAGTACCAATTACATTCTTTTCTTTTTTTTTGGTACCGGGGATCGAACTGGGTGTCCTTGCACTTGCGAGACAAGCGGCGGAACCACTGAGCTAAATTCCCAGCCCCCAAGTACCAATTACATTCAAACCACTGGAGAAAAAGCCAAGTTAGTCTACCTTATCTGAATTATACTCAACATTGCATCCAACAATTATGGAAATTGAACTTGTCAGGCAGGAGGAAATTCTTAAAAGATTACTCCAAAGCAATCTGTTACTCCAAATATGTTCCTCTCAAAAGTGAGCAAAAATTTTCCCCAGTGGGTATAATGACATTTGAAAAGTGTAAGTGCTCTCTTCCCACAATATGACATATTGGTCAAGAAATCCTCCCTCAAAAATCAAATATTGTTTAAAAATTGTATTTAAACCCCTATCTTTATCAAACCACCCAGAAGTATAGATAGAATGTAATGGGAATCAAATCCCTTCATGCTTGAAAGTTTGCAAAATTAATTTGTACAAGGAAAGAAGTGGTATATAAAGAATCCCTCCCTGCTCCCACCAAAAACCCTGGAAATTAAAAAACAAGACCAGAAAAGCACCTGCAAATATAAAAGCAGAACCTTTGAACGGTTTTGCTTTTATTATTATCTTTCCATTCAGATGGGGGTGGGTGTCTACACCACTAGCAATCCTAACAATGCAAAACTTGAAATGTAAGAACTTTTTTTACCTCGTTTCCAATAAGGTCAATGTTTTGTTGGACCTGAGGAACCCACTGTCTTAAAATGGCAAATAATTCTGAGACTGAAGTTTTGGGATCAAAGAGAATTTCTTGGCATGATGCATCATTAGGATCAAAGAAAGAAAACTCTGTTTGAAATAAAAAATGTAAATTAAATTTATTAAAAGTTTCAAATGAATATATTGAAAATAATAAGACCAAGCTTCAAATAATAACAATGTTTTAAGATGCTAGAAAAAGTAAGTTTACCTTAAGCAAATCTCAAAATCAGTATCAGGACCACTAAAAATGAGGCATGTTTGAATTGTGGGAATGAGATTTTCAAGTATCATATTACACTTTCTTATAGAGGAAACCAGATGTGAGTGTACAGACCTCAAACTCTGAGTTTGCCAAGTGGTAGTATCTTTAAGGCATCGAAAGCCTGTCAAATTTTATCAGCATTCTTTTCTCTCAAAACACACGGATAGAGGGGATAGGGATGGGAGGGAAAGGAAATGAAGAAAGGAATTAAGATATGTTATGTATGTGTACCAACTTCCCACAAGGAATGCAATCATCATGTACTACAAACATCTACTAATAAAGAAAATGATCTGAAAGATTAAAAATTAAAAACACAAATGTAATGAATAATAAATTTACAACTATGATTAAAACATAAATTTTAAAATATGCCAAATATTAAGTGTGGTAGAAAAATTTGTAAATTGAAGTGTTCTTTTTACTTTTCTATATTTCCCTAATTTTCTATAATAAACAAGCATCACTTTTTACCCACTGAAGAAGCAGGAAAGGTAATGTTACTTCAACCAAAAAGGAAGTAATATTTGGCAATGTAAAAATGAAAGAAACCTTGGGATAAAGGTTTTGGAATCTGCAGTAGTAAGATCACGTAATACTAGACAAAACTGAACATTTGATCTAAATAGTTCTTTAAAATGATTTTTCTGAGATTTAGAGAAAAGTCAGATATGGTCCTATAACTAACTAGAGAATAAAAGAGAATGGCTCATGAAGGAAATAAAAATTTCAAAAGAACAAAATTAGATTCTGAAACGAGACATTTAATAGCTAATCATCATCTTATTTTTCTTGTTGAAAACCTGCCTCAATCATAAATGGTAGAGACTATAAAAAGCAGAACTCAGTATCTAAAAAAGAGAAATATTAGAGAACTAACATTTGCTGAGCACATACAATTTGACAAACTCCTTCCAAATCCCCACAACATCTTACCTGCCAGGTATTATTATCCTTATTTTGCATAAGAGGGAATGGAAGCCCATCCTAGATAACACTACCTCAGAGTCACACCACTAGTAAAGGGCAAATCTGGGTAGGAAACTAGGTCTTCTCGAACATCTGTCTTCCATCTTCTATTTCACTGTTTACCTGGGATAACTCACTGTCAAGTTCAGATTCTAACAGCGTAAACAAGTAGTGCAGCTTGGGGTTTTTAAAAAATTTTTCTTCTTTGTACTTTTATATATCTTCCAAAATCATACTAAATACAAATAATTCTTACTTTTATAGTTGGGACAACTAAAAGATGAAGAGGCACAAAACCTCTAAAAGTAGAGTAGTGGCCCATTACAAAACAATCAGCTCTCCAAATGTGTTGTGACTTTTGCTGAAGATTCTCAACTGGTCACTCTTCTCTGTTCAAAATAGGAAGAAGGGAAACATGATTCCCTGAGTTTCAGAACAGTTGCTGAAAAATGGGCCTCTCACAGTTAAGCCCTCTTAGAGAATCTAAAGCAAAGATGGATTCTACCTGGTCCAAAATTCCTATGGACCAAGATCTTGTGCCTTTTTGGAAAAATGTGTGAACCTTACAAAGGATACCAGAGAATTACAATAACCACTTTGGGAAATTGTTAACTTAGATAAGATGGTTCACCTTAGCCCTTGAAAAGAAAGGATCCTGAACGTCCCAAAGACAATAGAATATATTTGATGATTATAGGCAGAAGCTTCTGCTGTCAAAATGACTCAAAAAATAGCTTCTGTAAAATAATGCTTACAGCATGCAAATGAAAAATCTTTGGTAGAAAATTCTGGCCATCTGGGTAGGTAATTCTGATAATCCTGATTTGGTTCCATCTACCTGAGGCACAATGTGAATCCAGCTTCTTTTTTAAACTAGGAAGTTCTGTATTATTATATCTGACACATTGTGAGAATTTTAAAATGAAGCTAAAAATGTGTCTGTATGTTTATTTATACATGTTAAATAGACATAAGTAAAAACAAGTACTTATGTAAATTAAGTGTTTCTTAAACTCTCAGAAAAATAGAAACACAAATGTTTTTCAGAATCATATTACTTCAGGAAATAAAAATACTACTGGTTTACCTTTAAAAAAAGAAGGAAGGAAATCCCAGCATAGTTTTCAGCATTAAATATAATGCAGACATACAACTTTGATTCTACCTAGGTCTACTACTCAAATAAGGCCATGTTATAAAACAAGTCAACTACAAATAAACTTATGCTATCTCAATATTACACAATTTCTCAGCAAGAAAAATAAGTTGATGGTTAGCTAATGTCTCCTGAAATTTTCAAGTATAATTGTTAAAAGCAAATGAATTCAATTAATTTAAGTTCATATAAGACAAACATTAATTAGAGAACATGAGCTTATCTACTTTTGGACAAAAGAATTACAGATGTTTGGTGTTAGCAAACATGCCCTATGGCTAAAAAAACTGTATCACGAGGAAACATATGTTTCTAGAAATTATCAAATGGTGTATTCACAGGTTTGCCAATCTACAAAATGCTAACATAATAGTTTAAAAAAAAAGATTAGGTATGAAGATGTCATTTTTGTTAAAGGAAAATAAAGGACCAAAGTAAATAGCTACAGAAAGTTGGGGAAAATACGGAGTCAAGCTGGTTTTAAAAATTCAATGAATTTAATAACATTAAGTTCAAACTAATGCTAAACTAGAATCTGAGCTCCTCTGTTAAAATAAGAAAATTTTCTTGGAGCAGATTTGTTCTTGATGGAAAGTGTGAAAGGTTTTCAATTTTTGAGTGGTCCTCCTAGGAAACAAAGATTCTGTATCTTGTCAAGGTAATTTCCTGTGATTCATGTTGTCTTTGCCAGATCTTTGATCAGTCAAGCTTTCAATTAAAAGAGCCAACTTGTAACTTTCTGCATTGGCCTTTGACATCTTTGTCACTTTGATTAAAAGGATACTTACGATGCTAATGAAGTGTTTTGAATTTCGACAATTTAAACTGAGACAAATCAGGAAAAAAACTGGTATTCAATTTAGAGAACCACCTCATACAGTTTTTTGAACATAGACTCAGGTGCTTTTCTTATCAAAAGCTGTTACAGAATTTCCTTTTGGTCTAATTCTTTCAGCCAGTTACTATTTAATTATGGAGAGTTAGTAAATATTTTGTATTTAGAAATTTCTAAGTAGACTCTTTTGCATATGTCCACAAGGAGTCATCTACAAAAATGTTTACTTTAACACTGATTTTAGTGGGGGGAAAATTGGTAAACTGAAATGAATCTTCAGAGGAACAGACAGGAATGTCTCTATGCTTATTTACATTAAATAAGTCATGGATTGATAAAGACAGGTCTCAACAACATACTGCTGAATAAATTAAGTTGCAGAATGATATAAACATATCTATCATTTATGTGAAACAGTAAGAAAACAAAACAGTACTTCACATTGTTTACAAACCTTCATATATGTAGTATAACAACAATGTCTGGAATATATGCATTTTAAAAAGTAGTTGCCTCTAGGGAACAAGGAGTACTGTACTAGAAAGGAAAATAGAGGAAATTTCAACTTTATATTTGAGGTTTTATTTGAATTTTTTAAAAGAGCTAAATATGACAAAATGTTGTATTTATTTGTTCCAATGGTAGACTGTGATATGTTTATTATCATTGTTTTCTACATTTTTTTCAACTTTAAAGAAGGAAATACAACAGGAGAAAAGATCCCATACAAAATAATAAAGATAAATGTATCAACCAATGTGTGATGCTTATTTAAAGAAAATTAAAGAGGAAGTGAGGGCTCTTAAATGGAAGGAGAAGCACCATATTCCTGGACTGGAAGATAAACTATTTAAAGCTATCAATTCATTCAAGAACAGATTTTCGGTAATTTCAATTCTAATCAGCACTTCACTGGGACTTATTTGAGGAAGCAGAGAACAGTATCCTCTTCTTCCTTTGTGCCAGAGCTTCTCAAACATAAACAGACAGGAAGCATCTAGAGATCTGTGACAGTGTACATTCCGATCCAGTGCGTCTCTGGAGGAGCCTGAGCCTGCATTTCTAACAAGCTTCCAGGATGCCAATGCTGCTGGACCAAGGATCACACTTGAGTAGCAAAGATCTAGAAAGTAAATGTAAGAAAAATAAACTCTTGACCAATAATAATAATGGGTGGGGGCTGGGAGAAGTAGCTTAAAAATACTAAACTACATAATATTTTGTAATTAAACATATCCAAATGAAAAAATAGCAGATAGCTCATTTAAACAATTTATGCATAGTGCTTAAAGACTTCTCAACAACACAAAAAGGGGCAAAAGGGCACAGAAGGAGGCAAAGAGGACCTCAGAGACCAGGCAACTTAGTCCATGAATCAAGGTAAGAAAAAAATGTGAGAGTGGCCAAGCGTTGCCTTGGTGGTTGAGCTAGGGTCTCGGGTGGGACTGGCGACCCCAGGTGAGGCCGTGATGATCTGGATCAGTTTGGTGTCAGGTCCAGGACAGTCTCGAGTGAGACTAGCAACTTCAGGGGAGGTCACGACAAGCTCAGGGAAGTCTCAGGTGAGACCCTGGTGATTTCAGGTGAAATTGAAAGTGCTCAGGGCAAAACATCTCAGTGCACTCCAAATAAATGCGCTTCCCAGTTAGGATGGATTAGGGAATCAAGGGGCTCAGAGAACAAAACACCCCACTGGTCCCCTCAGACTGATGTTAAGGACCTGGGGCAGCAACCCATGGAGAAAAAACAAAAAGAAAGCTAAAATGATAAAATATTGCAATTTCATTTGACCACAAATTCCCATCCTCGCCCCATCTGTCTTCTGGCCAAAGTTCAGACTGGATGAGGACTAGGTATGTCAATTGTTGATCGAAATTTTTAATGATAAAAGACTAGGGTCTCAGGAAAAGATAGATTACGCCCTGTTCCTCTTTTCCCTAAAAACTCAGGGACTTTACAAGAAAAGACAGGATTTCCCTCTGGTTGCCTCCTCCGCACAAGATCCGGTGGAATCCCTACTTCCGGCCTATATCCCCCAACACCCCTGACCAATGGTCCGTCTCAACTGGAGCTGATGCCGGCCAAGAAGGGCCCAACTCCTGGTGCGGAGGCCGCAGTGGAACGGGCACCTCCACGGGAGCCAGTGTCAGCTGAGGAGACCCAGCCCCTGGTGCCATGGCGTGGCCTCACAAGGGGAGAAAGACTGCCCTATTCCTCAGCTCCGCAGAAATTAGAAAGGCACAACTCCCCATGCCCCGATAAAAACAGTCAATCCTAAAATGTTCGTGCTGCGGTGTGAAGGCCGCCCCAGCATCACAGTAAGAGCCCATTATTACAAATCTTAGCTAACTGATAAATTTACTTTTAGGCTCCCGATTTACGCTGGTATTTTCACTCTATTAATATACTTAACACATTTCTGATGGATTGTAAATTTTTAAACTACAATTACAGGGTTAACTTGCACTTTTCTCGGCGTTCTGTGGGTGCTATTAATTCAAGGTTAATTTAAAGTCTGTTAGAAGCCAGTCAAATTTTAAAATGTAACAATCTGAGACTGAAGGGAAAAAGAGAGGACACTTTAAAATCCAAGCAGCCACAGCTAAGTTTATTATCAAAAGTTTATAACAAGTAGGATAGAGAAAAATATATAAATAAGACTATAAATATGAGAAGGTTTTTTTTTGGTACTGGGGATCGAACTTGGGTCCTTGTGCTTTCGGGGCAGGTGGTGGAACCACTGAGCTAAATCCCTGGCCCTGAGAGATACTTTTGATATGAGAGGATTTTGTATGATAAAAGTTTTACCCTGCCAGAAAGATAGAGACATAGTGGCAGAACTGGAAAGCTCAAGTATGTCGAGGAAAAGCTTGTGAAGGATGCAGTTTATAGAAAGAAATATGTGTTTTACGTGTTGGTTTGATGGAGCCCAGGCTGCTTCTTCTAAAAGCTCCTTGTTGCCCATAAAGATTAGGGGCTATGGAGCTCGCTCTACCAGCTACTCCTTCCCAGGTCTCAGCTCTCCTCTCCATTTGACTTGGTTTGGTCTTTAACACCCAAAGGAAAAAATAACTAAAATTATAGAAAAATAATTTTAAATCAAAAGCTGGCCTAAATATAAAGAAGGGGCAACTTAGACCCTTTAATTTTTTTCTGTTGGTTACCAAAAAGGTAGAGAGCTAAAGGGTAGAGAAGCCTAGTGCTGAAGACCAGCTTGAAATCACGCTGGACAGGCTATGAAATATTATTGAATTAGTTATTGATTAAATTGTGAGTCTGGGGCTGGGGATTTAGCTCAGCACCGTGCCTGCCTCACAAATGCAAGGTCCTGAGTTTGATTCCCAGTATCAAAAAAAAAAAATGTGAGACTGTCCTAGGCCTATGTGACTTGCTGGATGAGCCTTCAGCTGCCATACAGAAACAGAGTTCCCTATGCCAACGGTCACAGTTGAGATTTCAATGGTCAATGAGACTAGCACCACTGACAGCTGAGGACTTCATGACTCTTATACAGCCATTCTCTCAGAACAAATGTTAGCTGAAGAAAACAAGGAGGTTACTCGTTAATCACGACCTGTCTTTTGTAGGAATACATTGCTCCTCTTTTTACAAGCCTGGCTCTCATCAGCGCCTTAGCCCTGCTGTTCCCTACATCTGCCTTTATATCCCTGCAATGTTGTGTGATCAATAAAGACTGGCAAGTCCAGGACCAGGGATTTAGCTCAGTGGTTCTGGTACCTGCCTGAAAAGCGCAAGGTCCTGAGTTCAGTCCCCGGTACCAAAAAAAAAAAAAGAATGGCAAGTCCAGAGCCTCAGGGTCTTAGCCCGACAAGAGCTCTGACTATCCCAGACCCCCATTACACCAGTCAAACCTTTGTCTTGTCTTATTCTTATCCTTACCATACCTTCAGTTAGGTGGCCAGGGGGGTTCCAAATCCCTGAATAGCCTAATGCCTCCCACTGAGGCAGGAGCACGTGGCCCTGCTTTCCTTGATATGTGATCTAGAGTTATATTAAAAGTTGATTTTTTTCTTCCAAAGTTGAATTAGAAAGTAAAAAGACAAAACCTCAAAGCTCTCCCTCACCCTTCTGACTCTTCCTGGTTATAAGTCTATAGTGAGAGGTTTCTCTCTCTCACCTTCTTATTGGTGTTAGTTTATTGCAAGAAATGTCTACACTAATTAGTCATCCAAAAAAGTTTTGACTAGTCAATTTATAATAAACCTACAACAGATTATTATAGCTCAACTTGGCCAATATTTCTAAGAGTGCATTCTAATCTGAAAATAATTGTTTGTGTGTCTGTGTTTTTATTGTGTGTTTAAACTAATTAAGGTACCTAAACTGCTTTGTTAAAACTTTTTGAGCTCATATGAATTTTATTTTTCCTTTCATATTTTTTTCTCTAGCTCTTTTGGCCTCCTACCCCCCAAAAAAGTTATCTAAGTTTTCAGAAATAGCAGAATGCACTTAGAAAGTTATAAGATGAAGGTTAAGAGACTTCAAAGTCATGTGGGACTTACAAATAAAAGCAGAGTTTGAGAAGATAAAGGTTATATATGATTTAAACATATATATATATGTTCCTGTAAACATCTTAAAACATGTTCTAGTAGATTACCTTATAGATAAGTAGACATTCACGATACTAGCTCAAATGCTTGTGGTTCACATAGCATAACAGTAGACTAATTTAAATATTCAGCAGGGATTCAACTTCTAAGACAACCATGATTGGTAAATAACAGTTCCCTGGTAATACTATATATTTCAAGGTGCTTGATAACTAGGTAAAATCATAAGACTAAACCTACTGCTCCCACTGCAATACTGGTTTAACTGATGATCTAGGTGTTCAACAACTGAGGTTTAGAGACCAAAGCTAAAAAGGGACCTGGGCTAAGAGTATAGCCAGTATTTTGGCCCTGGCCCTCCAAGGTCAACAAGGACCCAGTATAGGAGGAGATCTATCCTACAAGACCCTACCACTTCAGTTAGTCACCCAACTTACCAAGGAGATGTTAGACCCAAAAAACAGGAATCAACCAAGGTACAGTGTGCTACAAAGGAGGGTCGTCAAAGAGAGAAATGTCTTCTAAGCTTCCACAGGAAGCTACAAGGTCAAAAAAAGCCATGACCCATCCTGGCATCTAACACTGACAGAGGAGCTGAGACTCTACACATGGTCCCAAAAATAACCCCTAGGAAGCCTTAACTGACCTGAATATTGGGGGAGAGGTGTTAATTTTGATTAACATTGGTCTCACTTTAACTTGGTCTTACACTCCCAGAAGAAAAGTATAACCAAAGATATGAAAGTTACGATAATGTAGACTAGACATAAACAAGGACCTCCAATCACTAACACCTGCTGGGAGATTCCAGCCACACTACGAGACAGGTCTAAGAGCTAGCAAGTTACAAGTGTCCCTTCCATTCTAGTGCTCATGTTTTCGTCACATGTGCCTTAAAGTTTGTTTATTCTTGTCTAGAGACTACCTGTACCAAACTGTCTCCCCCACATCATCTGGCTAACATGTCCTGATGAAGAAACACAACAGACGGAATAAACTTCTGCTCTCAGTTTAAAGAAAAGAGTACGAAGTTATGAGAGGGGGTAATTGTGAGAAACTGTGGCTCCATCTTTTCTATCAAAGGATATAAACAGATGTGCCTCCATCTGAAACTTTACTTCACCCTAGACTGCCCTCCTTCCACCCCAAGCACCAGGGTTGCATTTGTTACAGTTCAAGGAATGTCTGCAACTTGGACTCTGGGAACATCTCATACCAAGGACATTCAGTTCCCCATTCCCCCAACCCTCTTTAGCAACCCTGCCTGGCAATCATTCAGGACTACCCCTCACACCACCCAGATTAGCCAATTGGGACAGACTGTGGGCCTTCAACCCAGCCAATGGGAAAAAGGTCAGCTGCTTCTCATCAGGATATGAAGGGAGCCTGTTGCTGCCTATGTGCCTGCAACCTCACCTTAGGTGTATAGCAGACCCTTCTGCAGAAGTAAACTTGCCTTGTTAGGATTTCTCGGTGTCTGAGTGCTTTATTTCAACATTGACAAATTGAGTTTGGGGCTTACTGCCAACACTATGAACTTCATGCATAT